ACTACTGAAATAAAATTTCTATTTTTTGAACGCATTACTTTTATCTAAGCTAGGGATTAAAAAGACTTGTGCATTGTTAAATTCAGACATATTCTTACATTTTTTAAGATGAAAAAGTTAGTAATTCAACAAGATTCTTTTTGTCTATTTTGTTAATGAATTATTAATTCGACATATTACACACCTGTCTTAATTGGCATACAAGTACTCCTTATCGATTAATTTTTACCTGGCACCAATAATAAGACTAGATCTATGTTATGAATATTTAATGAAATTTGTAATTAACTTATGGCATGTTTGGTACTTCCACAAAGAAATTGATGTTTAGTAGAATATGTGAAAGTATGCATTGAAACTGTAAAATGTTATCAATATTTTTTGTTGGATAAACATGTTGTTCATAATATGTAAGTAATTATAGGTACTAACAAATATGTTATTTTTCAATGTCAATATTATTCAATCATAACATGTTTAACCCCGCCGCATTTTTTGCGCCTGTCCCAAGTCAGGAGCCTCTGGCCTTTGTTAGTCTTGTATGATTTTTAATTTTAGTTCATTTATATGTTTTGGAGTTTAGTATGACGTCCATTTTCACTGAACTAGTACACATTTTTGTTTAGGGGCCAGCTGAAGCCTGCCTCTGGGTGCGGGATTTTCTTGCTGTGTTGAAGACCCATTGGTGGCCTTCGGCTGTTTTCTGCTCTTTGGTCGGGTTGTTGTCTCTTTGACACATTCCCCATTTCCATTCTCAATTTTATTAAAGATTTAGGGCGTTTTTGGTATTATGTTGCAGTCTTCATGATAAACTTTTGAATCCAATGTTGTGACGCTCATTATTTTGAAAACTTTTGTATATATTTTTTATTGGCTATAGTACTAGTAGAAACTTGTACAAGTCAGATAGAAATTTTACAAGCCTTGACTGGTGGGTCTGTAAATAGCCAGTGTAAAGGCAGATGTTGTACATGTATATTATGTTATTTTGATGTTAATCTAGCAATAAGTATGGGACAGTTTCATAAAAAATGTACATTGTACAAGTATTTTTTATCTTTATGTACATTTAGTGTCATCTTTTTGAAGACCATATGTCATGTATGTTGACCTTCAGATTATTGAGTCTTTGGATTGCTGTCTCATTGACACACAAGTGCCACTTTTTTATATTTAAATAAAGGGAAAGAATTCAAAACAGTTTTTTGCTTAGAACAAACATAAATTAGGTATCAGTATGATATATATGGTGAAAAGTGAGAGAGATAGAAGGTGGCAGTAAAAAATCAAAAGTTCAAGAAAAACCATCAACACCATGGCAAAAAATAAAAATGAGGAAAAGACAAAAACAGAACACAATACATAGAAAACTAAAGAACTTCGATGTTGGTAGTTAAATTTTTCTGATGCACAGACTGTTGATAAATAGTTTTGGTAAACTTGTTGGCTTTATTTTGTTTTTTTCAATAATTGAAATTCTCATTTTTATCATCTGGTTTCAAGCACATATGACAAGAAATAAATTTTCAAAATGTAAATATAGTGCAACAAATAGACTTCTGTATTTTGCTATTTTATTTTATATCACTCTTTTCTATGTACAAATGATATACACAGAACACCTGATACCCAGAATCAGTGACAGTACATGTAAAAATGTTTTATATCATGTACATTATGTATCTATAGACATGTTCATGCACTTAAAGACCTGATAAGATCATATTTTGAACTAATCTATTTAATTTGGAAATTTTGTAAATGTCAATCATTAAAATGGGAAAGCAACCGAAATTAAAAAAAAATTACAAAAGACCTTTAGAGGTCAATAAACATTCTATAACGATAGGCAAGTAAAATTTTTCAAAGCTCTAAATCACTCATAAGTTTGGAAAAATTGACAAAAGTGCCATTCCTTCAACATATTTTAAAAATTCAAAACACTATGAGGGTATGCATGTATGTGCATAAAAAAGTTAAATAATTAATTGTTTAGATTCATTTACATGCATTGTAGGCATCTCTTTACAGGCAATGTAAAATAAATTAGGAAGTTAAGTTGCCTCTGAATCTTCAGATGTGTTGATATACACAGATTTTTTAAAAACTTTGCATTACATTAAGTAATTGTAGCTTTCCTTACACTGGACACTAGAATTTTTGAGCTAATTTGCAGACTGCATTCATTTTCAGTAATCAAGAATATATGTATTTTTTTTTCCTGATTGACAGCTGTACTAATTCTTTATTCATAGCAACATAATATACAAATGTACTTCAATGATTTAGGTAAACTTTTGTATGTTCAGTTGAAAATGATAAATGATATTAAGAATTTTTGTTCATTTATTTTCTTCTGTTGCTCTGCATCACCTTGTACTGTTTCTTCCCTGTTAAAAGTATCACTGGTGTACCAAGTACTGCTGGTACAGTTTGGGCTCTTACACTTGTTGGTCTACCATAGTTGAAATTATACAAATTAAGTGTTCCTGTTCTGGAGTTGCAAAAAAAAAATTTATCTTTTTTTTCAGAAATGCTTTAATTATTAGCAAGGAAATAACTTGTTTCAAATTATATATAAGTATTAGATTCAAAATTTCTGCAATGAGTTATGAGGATGGGCAATGGAGATGGACTAGATCTTTTGGTAGATTTATATCTGTTTGAAATGGTTTTATATACCCTTATCACTTGTTGAGGTAGAAGAATGGTGATTTAATAACATCAATATTTGACAGTTGACACTTTTGTAAATGATGATTTTATGATATCATGTTAAAATTTTATGGGTCAAGTATTTTTAAATACCTGCATATATATAAATCTTCAAATTTGTAAGATGTTTGAGATGCAGAAATAATTTTGTGTACGCATGGACAAACTTTGGTAATTTTTAATATGAATGAAAGGCGATGTGGGGTATAAGTCAATGAGGCAGGCAACCCAACAACATAAATAACCAACAACAAAAAAACAGCCAGAGAGGACAACATACAAGTGTTAACAATGGACAGGTGTTTTATACTATTTGTCAATCTTTAAATCATCAATTCCTGGGTCAATAAAAGTTGTGAATAAAGCTTATATAAATAGCATTTAATCATAATTTATTGTGTACATTTATCCCTGTGTCGTATATATCATCTGTCATTCAAGAATATTTATGGTGCAACATTACAAAAAGAGAAATTTTAATTGCCAGTATAGTTTCATTGTCAATGTATTCGATCTTTTCTTCTGGTATGAACCAAGTGAACCAGTTTTACATGAAATGGTAACAATGATTTGTTAACCAATTTATAATTTCAATCGTCATGCTTAATGATTTACAGAAATCAGTAATAAAAAAAGTGTTACAACTAGACTACATGTAATATGCTAATTTTCAATTTTTTGAATATTGTTTTCACCATTTTGTTAATTTATTGCCAACCCATGGCCAACCACCACTTTATAAAAGATGACTTTTACACTTGTACATGTACCCGCAACATTTAAATGTCAACATTTTATCTTTTTCCAAAATAAGTAATTCTTGCAGCCTTGAGGTTACTACCATTTTTCAAGCCACATTACTTTATGCAGAGTATATGTGTATTTGTCAGTGTTCTTTTTTATTTTGTGATCTAATTTTGGAGATGTTTGGGACTGTTATGAATGATTTTGCATGAATTAATGTTGGGTAATCTGGAGAAAAAAACATAATAACTTTTTGAAGGTTTTATTTGATTTGACATCAATTTTACATGTGTATTTCATTGGAATTGATCAATACAACTAAAAAATGAAGACAAACAATTTAATTTGTATTTTTTAGGTTTTTTTGTTTGGCATTATTTTCGTGGTCTATGAGTCTGTGAACAGGTTCCTCTGTCAGTCCAAAATCAGGTTAAAATGTTCCCCTAAAATAGTTAACCATGAAATTGTGGTCATATCAACTTGAAACTTAGTACACATTTTCATTATGATAGCCAAAACTAAGGTTTTTACTGCAATTACATGGTTTTCTTAACCATGTTAACATAGATATGTGATAGTGGAAAATTAGTACCTCTTCTGGTTAAAGGGATGGGTTATTGTTGTTTACCACCAGGTTTTGGTCACATCAACTTGAAACTTAGTATGCATGTTGATTGTGAAGTAAACTTTTAAAATAAAGTTACTAACAAACTATTTTGACCCATATATATCAAAGTTCATTTACCTAAGACATAGGATAATGTGAGTAGGGCATGGTTTCTTATTTAAAAATATTTTTTTCTTCTCATTTATATTTGCAATACATACTTACACCAGATTGTCCTTAAGTAAAAGAGGATTAAAACAAAAGAAATATGACATGTATGACCCAAAGAAAAAAAATTAAATACATATGACTTAACTTTGATCAATTTCTTATTAAACTGATAATTGAACATATTTACCTTTGTTTAGCCTTCAACATGTTCAAAGATAATTAATAATTGTTTCAACACTAAATCAGATACCATATTAACAGTCGATTCTAGATTTTTTTGTGATTTTTTTTAGCACAGTTAACAGTATATATGCCACTAGTCCTTTATTTTTTTTATTAAAAAATCTGACAATTAAACCTAAGATTGGTAACTAATTATAAAATATTTTACAACAACTTTCCATTGAAACAAATCCATTATATCTATGATACTATTCTATGTTTGGTTTAAACAGTATTGGTAAACAAAACAAACATACCAATAACTGGAGTTGTGATAACAAATTGTACTACTTCAAATGAAATAAAATCAGAAACATTTGTAATAAATTCTTTAGCCAGAGAAACTGAAAGTCTTTTATACCTATATAAACCCCACTTATTAGATATAGATAAAATTAGTTACATGACAACCTAGTATAAGTTGTTCCTATATGTTTACCGAGGGAATTGGCAACACTGATAATGAAATGGTAGCAAAATTTACCTGTTCATGACAACCTGTTCGTACCTGTGCTCAAAAATATTATTCGAAATAATGATCTTTTGTTTAAAATTCATAAAATGATAACTGTACTGAAAATTAGTGTTTAGTACAATGGAGTAATGTTTAAATGATCAAGTCATTTTTAAAGGAAGAGAAAAAGAATTTATGATCTAAAATTGGATTGGATTTAAACTAAAAATGGAAGGTAGGTTTTACATGGTAGACACAATTGATTTATTAATTATTTTTTTTACAATAAAGGGCAAATAAACTAAATATATCTATAACCTGTATGCAGGAATCTCTGAATTTACAATATACAGTACACACATGGTGATTGAGTTAAGAATCATTCTTGCCGGATTTGAATGAATCATTGTGGAACAAGGGATTGCTGGTGATTTTGTAGTGATACCACTTTTGAATAAAAATGCTTTTATATGATAATAATAATAATGATACATATAATATTAGTGTATGCCTTTTTCACTAGATGCTTTTGAATTTATAGTAGATCTGGTACAAAATTAAAACTTCATTTACATGCTGAAAAACTCCCTTTTTCCAAAACTTTAATAATTTCTAGAAGAAATATTGGTCAACAGATCTTAGGGTATTATATTTCAAACAGATGTGTTAATTTTATACTTGGAAGATCTGTACATGTCTCACTAACAATTTGGCTTTGCCAGCGGCCTCGGTGGCGGAGTTATCTGAGTAGTTTAACTACTGTATCACAAGCTAGCCTGTCAACACTGAGGTTGGAAGTTCGAATACCGCACGTGGCAGGTGCACTTGACTCCAATCTTAATTAACAAGATTTGTCAGTTTTCCTGCTGAAGGTCTGTGGTTCTCTTCGTGCACTGCGGCTTCCTCCAGGGCCACTAATAAAAACTTGACTGCCACCAAAGAGCCACATAAGTCATTCAATCTAGGCATTGCTGCATATTTTGTTCAATAAGTATTCTTGAATAACCTTCATCATGTACAAATGTATCTTTAAGACCAAAAGTGCAGAAAGCCAAAAAAAATTGTAGAGCTTAAAAACCAAAATGGCCTATACAAAACAGCCAATGGGTATGTGTTTTGCTCATTGTTGAAGTTCATATGGTAACTTATAATTCCTTTAATCTATGTCATTTGGACTCTGTTATATAACTGTCTCATTGGCAATTGTACAATATCTCTAAATTTTATATTGCATTTTTAAGGTCGGCTTTACCTGAAGAAGTTGTAACCTCACTTTTGATAAAATCATATTATTTATGAAGATCATATTGGCAAACAAAATTTTAAGTTATCGTTTTTTTTTTATGCCATTTGCAAAGCACTTGCTATTTGGCAGATTAGGGTATCCTCAGTGACTGGTAGTCCAACAGCAGCAGAAACCCAAACATATGATAACCATTTCCCTGTGCACAGATCATGTTACTGGAATAGTTTTCATCATCTAAAGCATGGATACTGATTAATGCTGCCCAGTTTCTGTTTGTTGATAAAGGATCTAGTAAACAAATGTTGGTCTGTTTATCAACATTATTATTGATAAATATAACATAAGTTTTATCTTCCTTTGACACCTCTGCAAAACAAAATAAAAACAAATAACAATATTCCTAAGTAACGAACTCCGAAGTTCAAAACTGTTACAAAATATTCCCAACTATCAGTATTTTTATGTAATGTGTTTATGGTTACAAAAGTACATAATAATTACTTTGAATTTACTATCTTTACATCATTTATTAGTATTTTGGATCATTAAACCACAAACATCATGTACATTTTGTTACATTCATATATCATGTATATAATTACTTTTAATCAGGTTAGATATTGAAGATAAACATTCATTTTAACCCTATTTTTCGATTTCAAAAGATGTGTGTAATAACAGAATTTTTGTTGAAAATTAATATGTTTCTATTAAATAGATAATTTATATACTAGGTGATGTAAATAGTTTAAGAACCTGTCAGTGGTTTCTTTGGAAACTATTAGTTTGGCATTTAAAAAAAATATTGGTAAAGACTAGTTTTAAATCTATCTTGATAAACATGATAAAGTTTCATGGTTAAAATCACAAGCTTGAAAGGAGCATTTAATTTTGTATGTATATATATTTTATAGTTTTCTTTTATAAATATGTAGTTAAAATTATGCACATAAGAATAATGGAACTAGGGAACACATGTACAATATGCGCTCTTTTAAAAACACTGGGTGTGTACATATGTTACACATAAGATGAGGCTATAGGCTGCCTTGATCTAACTTCCGATACCCTGAATAGATTATTTTGCATCAAGTTTTGTTCTGGATTTGGTCATCGATTGGTCATAGATACAAATGTAGGAATATATTCTTGTACAATGCATTTTTGTTGAATAATGTGTAAAATGCTTACCGAGAACAAAGCAAAACATCAGACACAAGTGAAAAATATCATTCTATACAGCACTGCAGAAATATCATATTACATTGTATATAGCACTGCCGGAAATATCATGTTATACAGCACTGCGAAAATATCATGTTATATAGCACTGCAGAGATATCATGTTATATAGCAATGGGAAAATATCATGTTATATAGCACTGCAGAAATATCATGTTATACAGCACTGCGAAAATATCATGTTATATATAGCGCTGCAGAAATATGTTATACGGCAATGGAAAAATATCATGTTATACAGCAATGGAAAAATATCATGTTACAATGTATATAGCACTGCAGAAATATCATGTCATATAGCACTGCAGAAATATCATGTTATATAGCACTGCGAAAAAATCATGTTATATAGCACTGCAGAAATATCATGTTAAACAGCAATGGGAAAATATCATGATCTATACAGTATTCAGTAATATCTTCTAAGTTCATTGTTGATGACCTTTTAAAATTTCTAAGATGAGGAACTACAATAAAAGTACTGTTCTGAAAATATTCATCACATGGCCCATGGCTAGTAAAAATCTGTTCAGGTCATCTCTTTTTGTCTCACCTCAACAAAGTTAGAGAGGGAAGACGGGTGGAATGTTTCCTGCGTCAAGGGCAAAGGCTGTGTAACAAATTGTTTAAGTTTGTGTGAGTTTATGGTACTTAAATGATATTAAGTAGTCAGTTGTATTAGCATTGACACATATTTCAAAGGAGGTAATTGGCCCCAACACTCATTCATGGACCATTGACTTAGAAACTTTTTCTTAGTTAAATAATAAAGTTTGTGATTAGGTCAGTTTTAAGAGAAACCACTGATATTTAGTAGGCAGTTGTATTGGCATTAGTGCAAATGTCATTTTCATAGGGGCTTAGTGGTTTAAGTAGTTCATCTACAGTTATCACTTGCTTGTTAACTCTGAGGTTATGAAAATTATTGGAACACCACATGTTGCAATGTGTGCAGCCTGCACTGTTAGCCACTAGTCCGATGTCCCAGACTAGTATATTAAAATTTTATTCGGGCTAGTCAATTGTTTAGACACATAAGAAATATGTCTAAATATTGGTCTTGGGACTAGTAGTTCGAAAAGATTTTGGTGCAGACTGTGTGTGTTCTACTCTCTCTTAGGGAGCTACCATTTGATTTTATGGGGGGGGGGGGGGGGGGGGCTAGGATGAAATTTAAAAAAAAAAGGCAGGACAGGAGTTTTGAGTAACAAAAAAAAGGCAGGATGACAATTTATGTAAAAAAAGTCAGGATAAACTAATAAAAAAAAGGCAGGACCGATTAGAGTGAAAAATAAAAAGGTAGGACAGAGATTACAACTAAAAAAAATGCAGGACAACATTTTTCATCCTAGCCCCCCATAAAAATCAAATGGTAGCTCCCTTAATTGACAAGGATTGACAATTTTCTTGTGGAATGTCCATAATTTTCTGAATATTTCAGCTTCCTTCCCCAATAAAAACTGACCACCATGATATAGCCAAGGTAGTAGAAAATGACATTAAATACAAACTAACAAATCTTATTTTCATGGAGATTATTTGGCCTTGCCCCCTTAGTCATGGTTCATTGACTTTGAAACTTGTACATATGTGTAGTTTCAGGTTAAATTTTCAGCAATTCAGTGAATTGCATTACACTATCTAAAGTGCAAAGAAAGGTGAAATATATCTCTGTGTCAATAGTTCAAAATAATTTGTATGCAAATAGATCAAGTTTAAGTTTTTGGGCTAGTTTCTTCAAAGATTCAATTTTTAAGACTGACACCTGACAAAAAATCTTAAGAAATTAATCTTAAACAATTTATGTTTATAACTTTCGTTGCAATAAACAAATGTAAAAAATATTGCATTCACAGTCTAACACGTAAATGTTGACTTACATGTGAATAGGGTACTGCATGTTTCTTTACAACTCATCCTCCAGATGAAAGTTTTTGATAAATCTTTCTGTCAAGTTTTCAGTTATTGTTGATTGGGTCAGTTTAGAGTTTGTCATATTGAATAGACACTTGCTGATTGTTGAAAATTGTATCTTGACCTCTAAATGTCTTTGGTCTTTTGTGTTGTTGTGTTGTTGTGTCCTTGACATTTTATTCATATTAAATAAAGAATTCTTCTGTGAATTCACAGTTTTAGAATTTAAAGCACTCTGGTTGTTTTTAAAAGAATGCATTTAACCTTTATGATTGGTAAACAATTGAATTAACAATAGTCTCTTCAGCAAATGTCGATGCATATACTTTTTTTAGTATATATATGTAGGACTCTAAAGTGCGATGGGGACGCTTAAGTACGATGGTCACGCTAAAGTGCCATGGTCTACACTAAAGTGCTATGCCTCCATACGCTAAAGTCCGATGGTCCGCGAAAGTATAGACGTAAGAAACGTAGTTGTATTATGATGTTAACAGTCTTTTATACAAACCAAAAATGTACATGCCAGAAGATAAATTAAGAATATTTGATTAACAACTTTTAAACAAAATGTCCATGACTTTATTTTAAACCTAACTGCTTTGTCCGCTGAAGCAAATGTGTGTTGTTTTTTTCAGGTGCTGGAAGAAGGATTTGTGTCCTGCAGTTGACCATTTTACTATATAGATACAAAATAGTATATGCATAGGTATCCTGTATCCTGCTTCTATTGGAAGCGAACGGATACATTTGATTAAATCATTGTACGTTGCAGTATACTTTGCGGTCCCCGTTAAAATATTGTCGATTTTATTGAAAAGTAACATAGGTAAAATAAAGGTACATGTTTTCAAGCGTAAATTATAAACTGTCAGCTAAAATATAATTTGTACATTGTAGGAAAATAAAACATGTATGTGTATTTGCTACGAAAAAGGAGAAAGCTCGGCGAATTTCGCCTTTCGCTCGCATTTAAATTAAAGCTTGTACAAATAAATGTTACTGATATTCCGACAATGATCGAATTTTGTATTTGTAATTTACAAAGACGACTGTAAGGGGAGGTGTTCAGATTATTGATAGACTGTGTGAACGGCAAGCTACACCAATTATCCAATTATTTAACATGTTTGATACGCCCGAATTGTTAAAAAATCATTTACAGGAAATAAAGTATTTTGTGACACCTAAATTACCTTTTTAGCAATTATTACGTGGTCGGTCTTCTAAATTTAGAAACAATTACTTAAGCCTACCGATAAATTATAAATTAAAGCCTGTCACATATGTTATACCTGAGCATACTAGCTTTTGAAAAAAGACTTTTTTTAACATCCATGTACTTTAACGTTTTAAACCCTCGTCACTTATCCTATTGATCCATCGCACTTTAGCGTGACATACCATCGTACTTTAGCAAACAAACAACCATCGCACTTTAGCGTGAGACACCATTGTACTTTAGTGTAGACCATCGCACTTTAGCGTGACCACCGCACTTTAGAGTACCATCGCACTTTAGAGTCCTACATATATATAGGCTGTATAAACAATTAAATTTTTGTAGATTCTGAAACAAAGAAATTCCTACTAAATGCTTCAGGTAGCACGGACAGATTTTTTAAAAGAAGGGGGGTGTAATTTAAGATAATTACTATAAACTGCTGAGCTGCTGGAAGCGAAATTTATTTTTGGGCGTTTGTATGCTAAAAAGGATATATTTACCAATGAAAGGGGGGTGTACTCCCTCTACGGCTCCCCTGAACTTGCCACTGGGTGCTAACAGTATTTAAGGGTGAATATGACATAAGAATTTAAAATGCAGGAAAAATAAATAGTTTGTACAAATGTATGTGCAAACAGATATTATATAATGTTAAAGCATAGACATTTCATTTAATATAACAAATGATTTAAATCCTTGCTGTTTCATTAGACATGTTTTTTTACAAAATGGTGAATGTGTTAGTCCTTGAGGTCCTTGTGCATTTTATGTGTTAGAAATTTTTTCTAAGTATATTCTTCTTTTTAGGTTTAAATGCTCCTTGAATGGTTTCATATTAAAGGAACAATAGTTGTTCTTGTCTATTCTATTTATAGGTTAACTTTAAACATTATGTGGTAAACTTCCTTCTTAAAAGGGGGTGGTAAGGTATGTGCAAGTAAGAACATAAAATAAAAGTTTTATTTCATAATGAAACTGAAACTAAAATAATTTTTTGCTTGAACTACTGTAAATTCAGAAATTATTGCCATGTTTTTATTATTGCGAATAATGCGACAGGGTTATAATCGCAATAATTTAGAATCGCAACTAGAAAATGGAAAATACATGTCTATATTGCACAAACTAATCTGTTTTATTATCTTAAACTTCATTGATAAAATTGGAATGATATAAATGAATCCCTGTTTTGTAGTAAATGGAAATTTGACTGAAACAATTGCTATGTACTCAAGGTAATTTCAAAGTTTAAAGTTGGAGGAGGTTTGCAATACTAGTAAAGTCATAAGGATGTCTGGAGATAGAATAAATGGTCAAGAACAATTATATTCCTTGGTACAGAACAGGCTTTGTTGAAATTTGAATTACTGGTTAAGGGTTGTCACATTCAGCCAGCTTTGAGAAAAAAGGGTGGATTATCATTAACTAAGTTTAAATCTTTTGAAAATTAACATGAATAAGATGCTATTAATGGTTAATGAGACAGTAAACCAACAACTGAAGTTATCTAAAATGAAAATGATAATTTTTACCTATTAATATTGCTGTTGGGAATGTAATTGAAAATTATTTTGAGTAAATTTCGATCAGAAAAATTGACTCAATTATCGACAAAATTGCAAGGATGAATCTCTTAGAAAACTAGCCATAGATTGATACATTATGCATGGTTAAAGGTTGAAAAAATAATGTTCTTCCAAGAATTCCCTTTAAATGTTTCCCAGGAAATGAGATGTGAATTGGTACAGTTGTTCTATTTTTGTCAGTGAATAAATTTACCTGTTTGTGGTAACTTTTTTGTATGCCGTAATAAAACGTTACCATTTAAAACACTTTTACACAGCAGACTTAGTTTAAATTATATAGTAAGCAAACCTCCTCCAGGTGAAGATGGACTAACATTGCCTATTTTCATCCTTCATTAATTTTGGTTAAAGAGTATAAAAAGGGTTATTGTTATTGCTGGTTAAATTTGACATTATGTTTTGAAAATTCTTATGAGTTTATGTTACTTTTTTGTTATTTTTCATTTTTGCATTTTCTGTTGCAAAATAACAAGAGAACCATGAAAGGAAAAAGCAAATCTTGAACAACTTGTGAATTGTGAAATTATATGAGTTAGTATCATAAAATTCTTAAACGAAACTTGAAAACATTTTAAATATTGAATTGTGCACTGAAATGAACCATAAAATTTACATAGATATATTTACATACAATAAAATACAGTGAGAAGAACTTCTGTAGAAAACTGAAGTGTTTGTTTTCGTTTAAGTTTTATAAGACAGATGGTTGATCTAAACATTCTCTTGTTTCTATGTGGAGATATTAAAGTCCGTTGCAATTTTTTCAGATTTATTGACCATTAGCTCAATGCAAGGATTTGTTTCGGTGATTAAATTATATGTTAGACATTGATTTACTTATTTGACGAATTTCTAGACACTATGTTTGTTTTTTTGATGAGTGTATCATAATAAATCATGTTTGTTAAAAAAAGTGTATTTCACGTCATTTAGTTGATCATTTATTGATTATCTCTGTGGATATTTGTATAGGAATTGTAATTTTTAAAAAACACTTGTTTCAAGTCTGATTGTTTTAGTTACAAGGCTTTCTTTTTAAGATCAGGCCCACAGTACAATGTACTTTAAATTCTCAATTACAGTTATATGCGAAATCTTATTTTTCTCATAATCCCCATTAGAATGATTGAAAATTGATATTATTTTGCATCTGATTGAAAGAACTTTGTTTTATTTTAATTCAATAGCTAGTTTTAGAGAAAACTGGTTATTGCATATTTATAAGCTTGGAATCTTTATTGTATTTGAAAAGTATTAGAATTAACGGTAGTATTTTGCCAAATTAATTTTTTCATACAATAAGCTCCAAAAGACTCCCTAAACCTGTTTCCACTGTCTCTCTGCCCTAGCACAGCCCTAGCAAAGCCCTAGCAAAGCAAATATGAAAAAATTCAAAGAACAGAGCGAGAGTTGGTGTTATTGCCTGATTAAAAAAAGATTTTAAGGTGGGGCTGTTTCAAGAAAGACTTTTTATGCCTTCATTTTGAATTTATGATCTGCTAATCTATTCATTCTTGCTATCAGATATTGTAATTAAAATGATGGTTTGTCAGGTGATGATCCTTGCATTAACTGAAGATGCTAAAACATGTTTGTTCCCAACTGTAACTGATTCTAGACATGATATTATTTGCATGTTCTTAGCTAACAAATATTTTCATGAAAGTCAGGGATCAGATAACTTTGATTCCAGGATAGAGTATTTTCTTCATCTTATTTGTTTAATTTTTAATTAGTTGATGATTAAATTTTAAAAAAAGGTTTTTTTTTTCATGATGGCTTAATGTTTAAAACAGATAACCAGCATGACCAGAGGGTCATGTTTTTTACTAGAGATATTAAGTTTGAAACCTGATAAACCTTTATAAGCAGGATAAGTATAGTTTGAAGATGAAACTTCTGTTTTTTTAAAAAATTGGGAAAAATAAAAAAAAAAAATACAAAGTTAGAAAGACTGACATTGAGAACTTTTGGAATTTTTTTCAAAAGGAATGAGAGAGTGATTTATGTATTAGAATACACAGAATAAACAAAGTGACAGAGACGAAAGTGCTAGGCTCTTAAGTTAGAAATATTGAAAGAAGAAAAAGGGAAAAATTGTAACAACTGAGATTTTCTGTTGACATTTTGAATATTTTAAAAAGAGTATAGGAGTAAATAGAAACAATGACCTTACTTGTAGTTGTGATTCTACAGTATACACATAGGACAGGGTCTAAAATAAGTGTTATCATTTACAGTCACCAGTAATCACTCTGTTTCTCAGCGAATCATCACTAGTAAGAGTGATATTTTATTGATTCATTTTGCTTATACTGTAGGAACTGTACTAGCAGTTGTATGAAAAAACATAAAAAAAATTTTTTTTTAGGTAACTAATATTTCTCTTCACAGATAACTGTTAAGTAAATTTTATATCCATAAACTTGTGTTTTCCAGAAGTTAAAGAAAAACCAAAGCCATTGAAAGTAGACCAAGGAACAGACACTTTTACTGAGGAAACTCAAAAACATCAGACATCCTCTAAAGTTGACCAAGGAACAGATCCTCTACCAGAGGAAACACCAGAACAAACAGTTAATCAGGAGGAGGAAACTTTCTCCCCAGAAGACCAAGACAAATCATTAAGGGTTGATCAGGCAACAGGAACTGAAGACATGGGGGCTGGGGCCTCAAAAGACGGAGAAGTGGTGGATGATGATGAGCAGTATGTCCAAAGACCAGAAAGGAAGAGGAGTAATGAAGCAAACCAGGAGCCTGGACCATCCTCGTCACATAGAGGAATACAACAGAGACCTTCTATAAGTAGGCGGCTGACAGCTCAGAGTAAAAGTAGCTCACAATCATCAAGAACAGATGACAAAAATGATGTTTTGAAATATATTGGTAAAAAGTAGCATGTGAAATAGCATGTATACTCAAGTATTAAAAAACCTATTTTCCCTCTGACTTATGCCTCCTGCAATGATCTATATTATGTGGTATTAGAAAATCATTTAGATATGTATAAGTTGCAGTACTTTGTTTATCACTTCCATATTTTAATGACCACATAAATTTTGTTTGGTAGGAAAAATATAACTAAAATTGTTGATGCACTTCTTCTCAATTTTGTTGTGGTTAAATTTACTCTATTATTCATAAAATGAATTCAAATGCATTCTGTTGTGACAGGAAAATATTTTACTTCTTTCAATGGCCAACAAGCATCGAATATATAGATATTAAATAACTTTTAAGTTAAAATTTTAGTTCTGTTTTTGCGAAGTCACTGATTATACACGTTTTTCTTCTTTTGATTTTTGAAATACAGTATTTTATTAATGGGGCTTAGAGGTGAAAGGGGTTACATAAGATTTTGAAAAAAATACAGTTTGTGCTATGAACAGTGAACTTTCATCAGTAATAAAAACAATTTTTCAAACATTTTCCAATTTCCCTTTTAAAAAAAATATTTTTCATTAATGGAGGCTATCCCAATTTTCGTCTGAAACAGATATATATCTTCTCTCAATCAAATTCTGTCTTTGCATGCACGTTCTTGATGATTTATATTTGTGTTGTGTGATTTGTGGTGTTTTGTTGATTAGATGCTGTTTACATAAATGTGGAATTAATTGTAGGATTTATGATAGAAGAAGCCAGTTTGGTACATATTATATATAGTTTACAGCCAAAAAAGTGTTGATGCACTCAATTTATTCACTTCTGTGTGTGTCCCAATATTTGCCTAGGAATTCCATCAAATTTATGTTCTAATTTTTATAATTTTTAAGTTAATGAAAATAAACATAAAAGTATCTGACAAATAGAAAATGAACCAGCACTCTTGCAATTTATCAATAATTATGTCATTATGACATCATATTTGTGCACTGGAATAATGTCATTGAAAATTCTGTCTATTATTTTTTTGGCAAAAGTTTCATAGTTTTTGCTTCTAGTGACATTGGGCACATGCATGGGCCAACCTTATCATTATCATAAGACATTGAGTAACCAGTTCTCTTGGTTTTATTGTGAAAATATGAGTATTGTGTAAGGTTTTGCCACCGATTCTCAATTCCCTTTGAAAGATAATTTATACACAATACATTGTGAAATTATGGTACTCAATGATACGTCTGGCTGTAAACTGTATATAGAAATATTTCTTTGTATAAATCAGTTAAATTACAAATTTCTAAAAAATGTATATACATATTAAAGCTAAACTAGAAACAATGTATGGTAGAATTAGAAACATTTAGACACTGCTAGAATATTGGAAAGAATTCCAGTTCTCAAAGGGGCACAGATTTCACAGCAAATTGATGTTATTTGTTATGGATGTACATGTATAAGACATATAATAAAGTTCAATACAATACCTGTAATATACAACACCTGTTATATATAGAACTGAAACAAATTGTTTTTAGAAAATAGCAATAAATGATATTAGTCATATTTCTATGGCAACAAAACATTGTTATTTTTTTTTTAGGATAAGTGATTTCTAAATTTAAGGAATTTTTATTTTTTTCTACTAATTCTTGGTAATATATGTTTTCACTGTCAAGTTACCACAAACAAAATTCAGATGTTGGCTACAAACTTAATTATGCCATAAATGTACGTAGAATTGCTCCTTCTATTTAGAGGCTATTTCATAACCCAAAATAGGAATAGATATTCATGAAAGTAGTCAAAATTTAGTAGTTTAATTCTCAGAAAAAGTAAAAAAAAAAAATTATACTTGCATTGAAACTGCCCGTGTAAATATGTGTTGAAATTAGTTTCAGTTCTGTAATAATAGTTGTTTGGTTCAATTTTGTCACTTGATTTTGAAAATTTAGCTAAAATTTTGGGCCAAATTAGGCCTTTAAAGTATACAAGAATGTTAAACACTGGCATTTAAAAAAAACATATGATACATTTATATTTTCTATTATATGGTTAATTGATGTAGGATGTACCTTAATAATTGTTTTCTTTCCTTGGAGTTATGGTAACTTTGGTAACAATAGAATTGATAAAAACTCCCCAAAATGCACAGCAATTTTTGTCTCGCCTTGACGGAGTCAAATAGCGAGACATAGGTATGCTGTTTCCGGCGGGGGCGGCAGTGGCGTCAACAATGTATTAGTTTGTGATTAGGTCTAGTTCATGGTGAACCACTAGTGGTAGGTTAATGATATTTGGTATGCAGTTGTATTGGCACATCTCATTACCATGGAGATTATTTGGCCCCGCCCCTTCAGTCAAGGTCTATTGACTTTGAAACTTTGCTTAGTTTACATGTATTAGTTTGTGATTAGGTCAGTTTATGGGGAACCACTAGTGGTAGGTCAATGATATTTGGTATGCAGTTGTATAAGCATTGGCATATCTCATTTTCATGGAGATTATTTGGCCCCACCCCTCATTCATGGTCTATTGACTTTGAAACTTTTGCTTAGTTTTCATGTATTAGTTTGTGATTAGGTCAGTTAAAGGGGAACCGTTAGTGGTAGGTCAATGATAATTGGTATGCAGTTGTATAAGCATTAGCACATCTCATTTCCATTGAGAATATTTGGCTCCGCTCCATTAGTCATGGTCTATTGACTTTGAAATTTTGCTTAGTTTTCATGTATTAGTTTGTGATTAGGTCAGTTCAAGGGGAACCATTAGTGGTAGGCCAATGTTAATTGGTAATCAGTTGTATAAGCAATAGCACATCTCATTTCCATGGAGATTGTATAGCCCCATCCCCTCAGCATGGTTCATTGACTTTGATGAAACATTTACATAGTTTACAAGTTAATGTTTGTGTTTAGGTTTGTTTAAAGGGCTCGACTTATAATAAGTCAATGGTATTTGGTATGCAGTTGTATTAGCATTGGCACATCTCATTTTCATGGAGATTTTTTAGCCATGTACCTTCAGTCATGGTTCATTGACTTTGAATATTTGCATAACTTTCATGTTAAAGTATTGCTATTTTAATTTCAACATTTGCATTATCAAAATTACAAAAAGGCGAGACATATCTTTGTGATAACAGTTTATTAAGTTAAAGCTTGGGTTCCAAATTATTTGTCTATTGGTAAAACTACTGAAGACTATGAAAATAAAACAGCTTGGTCCATGTACACGATGTATTTGTCATACATTACTTTGTACTTAAAACCTATGAAAACAATCAACTTGTAAAGAAGGATGATCTTTTTAAGTAATTTTCAAACAAAAATTTATGGACAAATACAACGGCTATGACTGATTGGGTTAATGAAATCAGAGTTATATAAATTGAAGAAAATGCTGCGGCTTAATTAAATAGGAAATTTGATATATTGAAGAAAATGCTGTGGCTTAATGAAATCTGAAGTTTTATAAATTGAAAAAAATGCTGTATGATACACTCCAGGGAAACTTCTTGTGGATCTGTCACAAAAAGATGCATTTATAGAGAAATTGTATTTTGCAGAACAACACCAAAAGAAAATAATTTGTGTTCAAACTCTTGCTATCAAATTTAAGGGTACAGGCCTTCAAGTTGTATAGAATGTTGTACCAATTCATCAATGAACTTGAAAAAGAAGATTTTAATCTTGATTATTATTTTATAATTTTAACAGAAGGCCAAGAAGAACCTGTTGTATCAGTTTCAGCTAATGGATTTGCAGTACCAGAAATTACTGTCATGGAGGGTCAGGTAATTATTTATTGCAACAGGTCAACGACCCCATGATAACTAGTTGATATGGAGTAAGAATAAGGTGTCTGGGTAGTGTGGCATGTCTCCCTGCAGACTCTGGCATTTAAGAAGTTGAAAGAACACTTTGAATACAGAAATGTTTCATTTGTTTGTTTATGTTTCAACTACAATAAGTAGGTCACATTGATCTAAATTAACCAATTACTCATACCCATAGAAAAGAACTTCATTATATTGTGCAGATGTGACTTTCATGATTACATGTACACTGCTAGTTATTAAGGTTGTTTCCTGTTCATGTATTAAATTTTTCCCTAAATATTTTGTAACTTGTTTGATTTTTACATATGCCGGAGGGTCTGGATGGGAGGTCCTTCATTTCTTTATTCTTTAACTTTTTAGACCATTTTTCTTTATTCTTCATTTATTTTTACCCTTATTCTCTACTCTTTATATTTCAGCACCCAATTAATCTCTATTTTTTTTTGGCTTATATTTTTCTATTCTTTATATTATTTGCCCTTTATTCTGCAGTTTTTATCCGTTATTTTTATTCCGTAAACCCCAACAAGACCTTCACACAATGCATTAAAAATTTCAACCCCAGAAACCCTTATATATTCCAATATTTTTTCTAAACATACATAAAAATGCTGTTGTGACAAAACATTCTAGAATTTAGATTTTTTCAATTGCCTTTTTCATATGTTTTAACTTTTTTTTTTACCAAACAGGACATTCAGCAATCAATAATAAATCAATCTTATCAAACATCACATTTAAGGATGTAGTAAGGTGAAATTTAAAAAATCTGGAATTTAAAATTGATACTATAAATCTGAAGAGCATAAGTTAAGGAACAAAATAAGCTAAAATTATTGATAGGTTATGGAACGCCTCTTCTAGATATTTAGTTTTAAAAAATTGGTGGGAAAAGGCTGTCTCGAACGTTTACCTTATATTTAGCATTGGCATTATTTGGGTCTCAAATCGTAAGAAAGGAAATCTAGAATCTGCTTAAATTTTCGTAAATGACCTTTTATGAGCTATTGAAGTCTTATATGAAAAGAAAAGTGGGTGATATGGGGCAAAATATTTTACCCTGTATTGTAGGAAAAAAACCCAAGGAGTCAGAACATCTGACAAAAATTCCTAAACCTGACATGACTACATCCTTAAGGCATCATTAACCAAAAGTTTTTTTTCTTCAAATGTTTGTTGTGCAGCTAGACATATCTATTTGTTTCTCTAGATTATTTTGATACATAATACATTATTAATTGAAAAAAGACTGTATTTTAATATTAGCAGAAGACTTTTTGACATTAATTGTCTAAATGTGCATCTGGTGCAGTAGAATTGGTATTATACTTTATTTAAAGAATAACATATAATGAAAATATAACTCCCAAAACAATAATAAACATATATATTATGAATGAATTAAGTTAACATTTTTTGAATCAAATTCAATTAAATGATACTGAAGTTTGATTAAGCGTAGCGTAACATAAAATAGCAATACCTAGGGATGCAATTGTAAACACTTTCAAAGGAATTCTTTAATTAGATTACAATAGTAAATGTTTATTCTGTTGTTTTCTCCAACAGATTGATTTCCGGTAACGTGTTACTATGTAGGGAATAACAAGCTATAAAGTTACATGTAGCAGTAATAAATTATTCATTTGCATCTAATACTTGTACATGTATTAAGTAGAAGGTGAAATCACACAGCTTCTAATTATTTTAATTCCCAAGTGCCATCACTTTACTAAACTTCATTTATTGTTAAAGTAATGTAATATATACATATTATTCCACTGTTTGCTCAATAGTAAACTTCACAGAGGATTGTTAGTCTAGTAAAGAATAATTTTATTAATTATATAACAGTTTGAATTGATAATCACATTGTTACCAGCACCTGAGGCAGCTTTTTGTCTAAGCTACACATTATTTGCAATTTGAATGAAAACTATCAGATCTTTTTATTTTCAATATAAGTAATGGATATTTTTCTTCAAAGCCTCAAAAAAACTCACCTCCATTCCTGTTTAAGAAAAATACAGAAAATGGTACCTGCTTGTCAATATAACTGTTGAAAGATGTTGGAAGTGTGGTGAAATTGTCTCTTTTTGTGGCAACAAACAAATCCAAATTTTTAATTAAAAGTCTTATCTTTGTTCTAGAAATGGCTTAGATTGTCCATATATTACAGAGCTTTGGAAGAATGAAATAAAAAAGAAAGGATGTTTTGTTTTATTAAGATACACCCTACTTCAACTTTTTTTCATAATTTAAGTTGGTTGCTCTCAAAATAATTCAAGTATTGACTTAAATACAGTTTGAATTTAGGTATTGACCAAATTATAAGTAGAAGAATAAACGATAATTTTCTCAAATGAAAATAATACATCTTGTACAATATAGATTCACATTGTATAAAATTGTATTTAGAAACAAGCAGCTAGTGCTTTTGTTAATTTTTCTTCTTGAGATGGAATGATTATAGCTAAAAACTTTTTCTTTTTCAGACGGTTACGTTTTTATATGAGGAGGCAAGACCAACAAATAATGTTATTCAGGTTTGTATTTCTGGTGTCCCGTGTTTGAAATAAATCTCATACATAAACTTGCCTCTGCTTCTGGAACAACTGCAGAAAAAATAATTTGTTAGACACTCTTGTTAAGGCAAGACAACACAAAAGTGAGAAAATGAGAAAAAATTACACTTTATTTAAAATAAGGAGATGTCGTTCAATGGGACAACTATCCACCAGATTATAAAGGATGTTGATATAAGCAACTATATTTCACCATCAGGCCTTTAACAATGAGAAAAACCCAAACTGAATATGTCAGCTATAAAAGGTGCTGACTTTATGAAAATGTTAAACAATTCAAATGAGAAAACCATTAATGATAAACTAACAAAAACACAAGTTTAACAGACAGCAACGAACAACAACCGCTGATTTACAGGCTTCTGACTTGTTGACCAAGGTAGTGGTCAAGCAGTTATTTTGATCACTATGATTAAACAGAAGACATTTTTTAAAACTCTTGATGAAAATTTTAATAAATAGAATGTCTAAGACTGGTTAACACATGTTTTGATTATACTGAAGAGTTGATAAAGTTTGGTTTTCAGCATTTGATTTTTTATTGTTGTAGGTGATACATGATGGGGACAAGCTACGTCCTGTTATTGGTGGTTTTTCCTGTGATGCAAATAAATGTAAAGGAAAATATAATCAACAGTTTAACTTGGAAGGAGAATACAAATTTGCCATGTAAGTGTACTAAACTTGAAGGTAAATAAATTAGAAAATTTGGTAATTGAGACTTTAATAATTTGTACACTTTTAAAAACAAATTTTGTATAAATTTGTTCAATTTGTATTATAGAAACAATGTGAGATGTACACCGTTGACAGTTGTTGTAAAAAGAAGGACAGATTTATTGGCTGAAATTACAGATGATGGGTTTAATCCAAAGAAGATATACATAGACCAGGGCCATTCTATAAAATGGCAGTGGAAACAGTGTACAGCCCCTCACTCTGTACAGGAAGTCAAATATTGTATAGAGAAAGGATGCTTTAAAAAGGAGGCAGAAAATGCAGAGTAAGCTTTGTCTTGATTGAAACAGTCATACAGAAATTACTAATATTATTTTTCTGTGCATAACAACAGAAACGACATTTGCAAAACATCTTAATATTTTATCCCTGTTTACACCAAGATTAACAAATTTTTTTTATATGAAAATTGTTCTGTTATTAAGAGTATGAGATTAATTTAAGTGTGTCAACTATAGTTATAATACAAAATAGTAAACTCCATGTATGTTTAGTCCAATTTTTTCATATATCTGTACTGTTTTAAAATTTATGATAACAAATGATTTAAAGAATAAAAGAAATGTGAATAAAAAAGAGAGATGTGTGGTGTATGTCAATAAGGTTAGAAGGCAGTATTTTACCTTACCTTAAAGTGTTTTTTTTTTTACATTCAATAAATATTTAGGAAAATCTTTTGTTATATTAGAATATGTTTGTTAAGATATGATTTCATCAATGTTGAAAGTCACCCTAATACATTGTACAATGATTATCTGTTTTTGTTTGCAGGGTTGTGAAAACAGTAACAGGAAGTTTCAGACAAACTTTCACGTAAGTCATATTCTTTTAATGCATATTTTTAAGTAAATGTACTTAGAGATTTCCTTGTAATTTTAACAATGTTTCTTTGAGTGATTATACTAGATCACATTTATAGTGTCAGTCTACTCATGAAAAGTCGATTGATCATTTGTGGTTCCATTTATGATTCGTTGTTATCATTTGATGGAGTATTATGAATATTATCTATCTTGAATTGAGTACTTGCTTAAATCAGTCATCAACTTTACAAGTGCCAACTTATATTCTCAAAGAAGATATCTCAACTTGTTAGTTGAAATAACTTTGTTTTTTGGTTATGCTTAACATCTGCGAGGTAGGTATGGATTCCTTTAATATTTTGATGTTTTCCAATCAGATGTGAGGTTCTAACAAGTTGCATTTGAATATCTTATAACACTTTTTCATAGTACTATAAAAATAATCAATATGGCTTATATTTAATTTACCCATTTCTATTTACAGGAGACCAGGCCTATACTTTTTCCAGACTGAGAGTGGAGAAGTTGAGAAAGTTCACCATTGTGCTGTACATGTCAGAGAAACACAGAGGTTTGTAATGTTCCCCTCTATGTGAGACAATAGTTTGCTTGTTTGTTGGCTTTATACATGTTCATTTAACTTTGCCATATTTATGTCTATGATTCAGGCACCAACAGCAATTTATAAAAATTCTGGTAAATTTGTTGATTATGAATAAAAGGTGTGGTATTAACAAACGAGACAGCAAACTAACTACACAAAAAAAACCAACACAAATGATTCTGATTTTAAATAAATGAAACAGTGGTGATGACTAATAATAAATACATTTTCCATATAATTAAGGATGTGTTTTAAAGTGAATCAGTATAATTGCTTATGATTATGTGATTCCAGTATTTTTTACACCTAAATTCATACAGGTGTTACTATTTTTTTTCTTTTCTAAAAATTGCAGGCATGAAATCTAAAATTCGTCAGTTGGAACACGGATTAATCTAGGATGATGGACCATCATCCAAACATCTGTGATGTGATGGATGAAGGTCATTATATGAGGAAGCCAAGGGCTTCCGAGGGTTAATAGTGAACCTTTTATTATGTGCCAGCCACACGCCTATTTTACAGTTGAGTGATTTTTTGTATGTCCAGGTAGTATATAAGGCCAGGTGACCTGAGTAGTATCCTCTTTTATTTTGAGGCAAACAGTAAAATCTCCAGTGTAAATGGGTAGTAACACGACCAGTATTTGCATTTATATCAAACCTCATCGGGAATGGGTTTTCACTAGGGAGGGTACTATTAACCCTCGGAAGCCCTTGGCTTCCTCATATAATGACCTTCATCCATCACATCACAGATGTTTGGATGATGGTCCATTATATATCATAACCCGAGCTTGACTCGGGTTAATAGTGAACTCTTTACAGCCAAAAATGCAAATACCAACAAGAACAACAAGAACATCAATCACCATAACCAAACAATTGGTCTCTCATACTTTAACAAGTATCTATGTATGAGCCTAAATCATATCAAAGTATATAACTGCAGATAAAAAGAAAATTCATCTGTCTCCATACATGTATATCACTTGTACGAAAGAGAATACACAATCACCAATATGTCTAACTTCTATCTTTTTATTCCATGTGTTAGATGTTTCTGTTTTCATACCAAAATCATAAACAGTCTCTATTAATACCAAATATAAAACATCCTCTAGTAGAAAACCTAACTACCACTCTACATAATATGTACATGTAGTAGATCATAAATTATCACATTTTGTCTCAATAACATTACTCCAAAACTACCCAGAATTGCAATGACTATCATGAAATAATAGAATATTTCTTTGTTTTGTGGAATAAAGACATAAGCTTCATAATAACTTTTATTATGTTCAAAAACTAAAATCTGTTACAATCTTCCGAAAACAATTAATACTCTAAAGTTCACTTTTAAATGTCTCTCACATGTAACAAATATAACAAAATAACACTGTTGTTTTCTCATTGTTCTTAAATTATCACATTTTCTCTATGCTTCTTCTCAAACGTTCTCGAAATTTAATGCTATTGACTAAAACTGTTCAATTTAACTCCAAATGTCAGCAAACTCCTGTTGCAAAAAACCAAATGGAATGTCCAAAAACCATTCATCTCGCAGAAATGCTAGATACATCATAACATGTACGTAGAAAAACCATAGCTGATCCTCCTGGTCCACCATACAGTTCCTGTAAACCACTAGCTATAAATAAGAATTAAATACTGTTTCAGTATATGATGGCAATGGAGTTTCAATATCTTTAAAATAAAACTTTTGAAAAGTGTAAGCTGACCTCCAGTTAGCAGTTTTTAATATATCATTCAGTGAAATTCCAGCTTGTTTAGCAGCTGAAGTTGAAGCACTACGATATGAGTGTGCCTTAAATTTGTTTATATCAATTCCTGCATTACCTAACACTCTTTTCAACCAACGAGCAATAGTTGAAGTTGTAACACGTTTGAATGTTCTAAAAGAAATGAATAAATTTTTACTTTTTCGAACATCCTTTGTCCGTAAAATATAATGTTTAATACATCTAACAGGACAAATTTCCTGTTTTTGATATTTATGTATGATAACATCCAAATTAGATTTGTTTGGTTTAGTTGTTTTTAGTAAACTGGTATCTTAAAAATCAAAGAATTGTCTGTTACAGATACAAATCTCAGATCTAAATTAACAAGTGTTTGTGATCTTTGAGCTGATGACAATGCAAATAATGCAATGCATTTCAGAGTTAACATTTTTAGAGATAAATTCTCATTTGGATATAATTGTGATAAGTACTTCAAAACTGTACCAACATTCCATGTAAATGTATATCTAGGTAAAGACGGCCTTAAATTAAAAATGCCTTTCATAAATCTAGTTATGTGTTTATCTTTTGCTAATACAGCCATACCCATTAATGTCAGAGTCTGACAAATAGCTGATTTATGAGAATTAATACAGCTGTAAGATTTTTTTGTTTTCATACAAAAAAGATAGATAATTCAAAATTTGTATCACAGATGGAGAAGTGGAATTAATTTGTTCTTTACTACACCACAAAATCCACTTCCTCCAAGCATATTCATACTGTTTATTGGTTGAATCTCTCCATGATTTGGAGAGAATTCTAACAGCTCTTTTTGAAAAGCCTTTATCAATGAGATATCGCCGGATACAGTACAAGCGATAAGGAATAATCTTCGTTTGTTCATTGAATGTCTTTGACCATTGTGAGCCAAAGTTAATAGATCTGACCAATTTGGTAATTTTAGTGGAGTAGAAATCAATAATTCTAATAATTTTGGAAACCATGTTTGTGTGGTCCAAACAGGAGCTATAATTAATGCCTTCCTTACCTTGTCCTCTTCTATTTTCTGTAGGACTCTTGGCAACTGACTGAAAGGAGCAAAAATATATGGTAATAAATTACTCCAAGAGAGAGAAAATGCATCTGAAGCATAAGCTTCTGGATCAGGAAACCAACTAACATTCTTTGGCAGTTGTTTGTTTAAACGAGACGCAAACAAATCAATCTCTGGGTTAAATAAACTTAAAGTCACTTTTACAAAAACTGAACTATTTAGTTTCCACTCTGAAGAATCTTTAAATTGTCTAGATAAATTATCTGGTTGTATATTTTGTTTTCCTGGGATATGTACCGCAGATATAAATACTTTTTTTTCAGTACTCCAAAACCAAATTTCTTTTGCAAGTTTTAAAAGCGATAATATTGATCCCCCTTGATTATTGATGTATGCAACCGCTACTGCGCTGTCTGTTCTAACACAAATATGACAATCTTTAACAGATCTACAAAGAGCCTGCAATGCCAAAATTATTGCTTTTAATTCTAACACATTAATATGATTCTGACATTCATCTATATTCCATCTACCTTGGGTACAATCTTTCTCAAATACTGCACCCCAACCTATCAACGACGCATCAGTTTGTAAATAAACTTTTGGAGGCTCTTGTCAAATTGGACAACCATTTTCTTTTTTAATATTTTGAATCCACCATAAAATCTCATTTTTACTCTCCACCGACAAAGACATATGAGCATTAAAATTTTTAAAAGATTTTTGTAAAGCTTTTGTTTTGTCAATGTCCAAATATCTATGCTGTAAATGTGCAAGTGTAATTGCATGATAAGATGAAGAATATAACCCAATTAATTGGGCAACCGTACGAATTTGTGTTATCTTCCGTTCAAACACTTTGTATGAAATTTCTATAATTTTTTGTATTTTATCTTCTGGTAAAAATACCTTGAACAAAACTGAATCAATAATAAATCCCAGAAACATTGTTCTTTGTGAAGGTATAAAATTTGATTTCTCTATATTTATTGAAAAACCTAGTGATTCTATTAAATCATTTACAAAATGCGTGTTTCTTTTTGCTTGTTCGAAACAAAGTGCTTGTAATAGGGAATCATCAATATAAAAGAAAGAACTAATGCCTAACTGTCTCACATGTGAAAATACCACTTTCATGATTTTTGTAAATATTCTTGGAGCCGAAGCTATTCCGAATGGGAGACATTCAAAATTATATAATTTGTTATTCCACATAAATTTCAAATACTTTTTACTGTCTTCGTGTATCGCTACAGACCAATATGCCTCGGACAAATCCAGGCTTGTAAAAAATGCATTTCTAGAGATGCTTTTCAAAATAACTTCAAGAGTTTCTTGTTTAAAATGATAAAACTGAATATAACTGTTTAATTTTTTCAGGTTAATAACTGGTCTAAATGTTCCATTTTTCTTTTTTACAAGAAAGAGATTTGAAATAAATTCACCTTTCTCATGGTGTGAAATTTTAATTGCTCCCTTTTTTAACATATCAGATACCTCTGTATCAACTAATCTTTCCTCATTTTTATTAAATTTTATAGGTCTTTGAATTATTTTCTGAACTGGTATCTCATCAAATTCTATTTTGTAACCAGTAATTGTTTCTAATACCCAACTATCTGATGTTAATTTTTTCCAATTTCTAATATGATATTTTAATTAACCAATGTTTAAGCCAACTTTTTCAACATGTTTACATATAATACCAACCTTCAATTTTTTCTTCTGTATTGCGAATTCATCATGGGTTGCCTGTATGACGCTCTTGGGTAGTGGCTCTGCCCTCTGAAATTGCCTCTTGGGTTTGACATACCAAACCGGTACCCTCGCCGATAGGATCGGCCTCTGTAGTTTTTTGAACTGAAAGTTTTGTTTATCTTTTGTGCATCATTAATCTCCCGAAGTCTTTTACTAATATCATCTCCAAAGAGTTTTTCACCCACGACCTCATTTCTGTTACACAGTTGATGGAATTTACGTTCAATATGAGGCTTCAAATTCATTCTCCTTTTAATAGATAACTCAAAATGCAAATTACACTGTATAGAAATAGCTCTTGAAATTAACTCTCTCATTGTCTTAATACAAGGATTTTTCCCTCGTAATAATTCCGCCACCTTAATCAAAGGGACCATGCCTGCCCCTGTTAGCTTTTGAATATTCTGAGAAATCAAATCCTCAGTCTTAGCTCTACGGGCTAAAAATTGCCAAATTTCTGGGTTGACAGGTGGTGGTACTAAAGCTTTACAATTGCTAGGTATCTTGCTATCCTTAGTCAAAGATGTAACATCCGACTTTTTCTTACAAATTTTTTCTATGACTGATGCTATCGAAGGGCTGACCTCAGAATCAAACCGTTCATCGTCCTCAAAAATTTTTGGCATTTCATAATCAAACTCCTCGTCTTCACTTTCAACGACAAGTTGTGTGGGATCAACATTACTCTCATGTTCAGACAAATCATCAGTTTCAAACAAATTGAAAACATTTTGGTCATTTTCGACCTCATTAACGTCATTATCTTCAAGTTCCTGTATAAAACTATGGGGGTCACTACTTGGACCTGCAGTACCACTACTATTGACATTTATTGCAGACACAATATTACTAGATAAGTCAGCAAATAATTGTTTCAGTAACTCATTTTGCTCGGCTTGAGCTTGTTTACTTTTAGAAGTTTTTCTGGGAGTCTTTGGCTTACTACAGCTAGCGGACGGTTCGTCCTGTGTAATTTGAATACTTCTTTTCAAAGGTGCTTTGCCTTTCTTATTTTTGCCTGGACCTTTTCCAGGTCCTTTTTCTGTAGGCACAACCACTGTTTTCTTATTAGTTTTTACGTTTGTACTCAGTTTGTGAAATAGAATCTATATCCGGTTTATCTAAAATCTGAATGCACTCCGGTGTATTTGAAGCGTGATTCACACTTATATTTTCAGAAAACCCGGAGAAACTTGCGTCAAACTCATCCTCGGAAGCAAAAAGCTTCATAATCTCCTCATAGTTTCTTTCATCTTCAGATTCTGAAGAAGATGGTCTACGAGACCTTGCCATTTGAAAATCTATAGTATAGACACGTGTATTGATCAAACAGGGTCTGCTTGATACGTACTTAAATGCGTGCGGCCTTGAAATAAAAGAGGATACTACTCAGGTCACCTGGCCTTATATACTACCTGGACATACAAAAAATCACTCAACTGTAAAATAGGCGTGTGGCTGGCACATAATAAAAGGTTCACTATTAACCCGAGTCAAGCCCGGGTTATGATATATAATGTCATTTTAAGCTTGTTACTTCACCTTAGCTATATCAATTTTCAATACGTTCAAATTTTTTTACTAGTTGCAGGTAAAATTCAATATGAACTGACCAGTTACAAACATGTTTTACTTCTTTATTCTGCTGTACAATTACCTTATTAAGATCTTGTGTTTGTAAGAATGTGTACACATATTAATTAAAAGATGTGCTGATTTGTTAAAAGGGTAATTCAATTTTTTACATACAAACTTCATGTGATTAAGAAAAAAAATATAAAAGTAAAACAACTTTTCCTATATTATATTTCATTTTATGTAATTTTTCAGAGAATACAAAGTAGAACTATTAGACAGATCCTTCCAGCCAATGATTTTGTTGATAGAGGAGGGTGACAGAGTCTGGTGGTTTTGGGACAAATTTAAAGTAAGTTTTATATACTTTTGTGTTTTATTTCAATCTGCTATATCTATATACATACATGTGTGCAAAATCATTGATGAGTACAAAAATTAATGCACATTCACATTTAGATTTATTTTATACATATACGCTTCTGATATATATGTATAAAATATATTATGCTTCAATGTGGGAACCAATGCCAATTGAAACATCAACCCGAGAAAAATTTGTTACAGTGAATGTGATCTAAGAAGAACACTGGTTGCCAATAGAAAATTATATCATTTAGCTATTAATACTTAGCAATAGCCTTTACCCAAAAAAGCATTTCGCGACAAGATGACTCATATAATGTTTTGATTTCATACAGATATCTATTAGGATAGAGCTGTTGTTAATAATTATTTTTACTGAACACTATATGAAAAATAGATATCATTGGTCAGACACATTTATTATAACATGTTTAAATGTCACAGTGACAGCACAGATGATATTTCTGCTGGAAGGATACCAGATTATTTATCAACCCCCCCCCCCCCCAAAAAAAAACACTTTAAAAAACTAACAAAAAACAAAATGTAAGATATTTTTCAAAAGCACACCGTACTATTGCTATACAGCTATATACAGAATGAATCTAAAATTCTTCCAATCTGTTATAGACTAATGCTTACAATAGATAATTTATATGATTTTCATTCTTTTAGTTTCTTAAATCCTAAAAATATTTTTCAAATGGCCTGTAGGTATATTTTGAAGAAGAATAAAATTCACTTTGGTTCAGTAAAAACACTTGCAAATTGTATTTTTGTACCAAATGAAGAGTTATCTTCAGTGCAATTCTTTAATTGTTTTGTATGAAGTGTTGACACAATTTAACATTCAGTAAATAAAGAAATAATGTTTATATTGTTTCAGTGTAAGAAGCTTCACAGTGTATACCAGATAGAGGCACCAAATGGTGAACATGGAGATGACGAACCTTATGAAGTTAGTTTATTGTCGTGAACTTGTCTGAAAATTGACCTGTAGACTTTTAAAATACTGTGGGATCAATTATTTTTTATTACCAATTTTTGAGGATTGAGGAAAAAATGCATTTTCTTTGATACTTGGTTTCAGGACTTTTACCAATTCTGAATACAGGCTTATAGAAAATATGTATATATTCAAACGCTTAAATTCATAGTCAACCTTAAATAATTTAATTTTGGATGTAACACGTCTTCTGATTGGCTGAAGTTTAATTAGTATATGATAAAAAATAAACAGAAGTTTGAACTTCATTGTCAACTTCATGATTTTAATATATTATTAAACATGTTGAATAGATATTAACACTATTGTTAAATAACAAAATGTTTGAGTCAAATCAAGATATCTTTTACCTATATGATATCAAATATAGCTATCTTATTTTAGTCATCCTTTGGATTGTAAAACCCCTATTTACTAAAGCAGGATTTTATAGTGATCATTGTGTTATTTGCCCCTCTGACGATATACAGATTTTCTCCACAACTCCTAAATCAGTGACTGGATTTTAATAAAAATTCAAAGAATTTTTTATTTTGTAAGTTCCTATGGCATATCATTTTTTAAAATCCCATTAAGATTTTTGGGATTTCTGATAATAAATGATTCTCTTGTAAATCTATGTAACATGTCTCTTTTCTGTAATTTTTTAGCCTGTACAGAATGGATTCAGAAGCTCTGTTCCGAGGTGAGATTAAGATTAGTTTTGATTGCAGGTTTTATATTTCTGAATCTAATAACTTCAAGGTACATTTTGTAGTAGAAAAATTCAGCTACAATCTATATTCATAAAGGGTCAACAATTTTTGTGCACACTTTTTATACATTCCTGATTTTTTTTGTTTTTCCTGAGTACAGTTTTTCTCTTATTGAAAATGTGTGATGCATATTTTTTGGAGGAGGGTGGGAGGTTGGAAAAAGTAAGAATTTTGCACACTATGGAAAATGATTTTCAAAAATGAATGCAAAACTCAGCTTTATATTTTCGTGTTTCCCTGAGGGAATTGAGTAAATTCCTTCTTTTAAATTGTGGTGTCATCTAATAAATCATATTCTGCTAGAAAAGAAATTGGATGTTCATGAATTGTATATATTTTTTTTATTATTTACAGTAAACAAGGCCTACTGTCCCATGAATTCTATATATTTTTTTATTATTTACAGTAAACAAGGCCTACTGTCCCATGAATTCTACACACCAGGAGTTTATTATTACTCAGATCAGAATTTCCAAGAAGCTGCAGAATACATAGGAACAATTATAGTCAAACCTAAACAGAAAGAACACTATGTAGACCTAACAGAGAAAGGCTTTACGCAAGGTAAAAGATACTTTAATAAAGTTGAAGTTGGATTTTATAGAGACATATTCTGTTGGATTTATTTATCAGTATGGATTGTATAGACATATAGATTACAGTTATTATTTAAGAATCCGTCATTTTACTTTGTATAGCCCCAACCAGTCAGTGACCAAGGCAGTATAGTGTCTGTATTTATGTCGATCCTTAATTCCCAAATTCAGCTGTTTTCAGAGCATTTCTAGAGCATGCTCTTTGTTTTGTTGAAAACTGAACATCCTTAAAAGATTTTTTTTAGAGATTGTTAAATTTCATCTTCCTTAATATCCTTCTATGATTTAATAAATGAAAGTTGTTTTATTCTATTTTACTGCATTTGCCTTAAATCTTTCTGTGTGTTCATTTTACTTCGAGTAGACTGAAGATGTGATGATGTCATAAGCCTAATGTAATTGACATTGCATAGAAAATAGTGATAATCAGATTATCTATGGTATTCAAACTCTAAAAGGTTTTTTGACTACATCTCATCTCAGGGCTATCATTCTGCGATGAGATTGTTGCTCAGAAACTCCCTCTCTTTTCTAGAACAATATATAGCTTGTAAATCCCAACAATAGAAAATGTTCTTGAATATATTACTAAGGGTCTTTTACATTTCATTTACAGCAGGTTATACAAATGTCTTTTATTCAATTAAATTATTTTTATGATTTTATGATTATAGATGTTGTGAATGCCCAAACAGGAGACAGAATTTGGTGGACCTGGGATGCTGAAGAAAGTCTTGAAAGAAACCACATATTTCATATATCTGAAGTTGATAAAATGCTCAACCCACTCGCTAAATTACCCACTTCTGAAAATGGTATGTCAATAAATTTTAATGTGTCAGAAGTTTAGAATTATAATAACAAAACTAATATTTATGGTAACTTAAATTTGCAGGAAGTTTCGAGATTATAATTAAAAAAACTAATATTTGGGAAACTTAGATTTGCAAAAAATTTAGCATAAGACTAGATATTTTATATTTATAACATTAGTATACAATGGATGCTACATGTAGTATATGTGTTAATGAGACAGCAAGCCAGTGTTACAAACAAAACCTAGACACATCAAAGAGGTCAATCAATGAATGGTCTTCAAGGCCACATAAGTATGTAAAGTTCTACATCGACCTGAGCCTAGGAAATGTGTTTGAAAATTTATCAGAAACTATCAAAGATTTGTGCCATCCATACCAAATTCCTTAAAATGTCAAAAAAAACTTAATATATGACAAATATAGTTTGAAAAAAAATATTTATCGGTTCTTAAGGATGAACTTAGGTGAAATTAAAAAATTCTAGAATTTAGAATTGATACTATAAGTCAGAAGAGCATTAGTTAAGGAACAACATAAGCTAAAAATATTGATAGGTTATGGAGCTCCTTTTTGAGATATTTAATTTTTTTAAAATGGCGGGAAAAGCTGACTCAGACTTTTAGCTTATATTTAGCATTGGTATTATTTGGGTCTCAAATCGAAAGAAAAGAAATCTAGAATCTGCTTAAATTTTGGTAAATGACCTTTTATGAGCTATTGAAATTTTAAATGAAAAGAAAAATGGGTGTTATGGGGCAAAATATTTTACCCTGTTTCGTAGGAAAAAAACCAAGGAGTCTGAACATCTGACAACAATTCCTAAACCTGACCTAAGTTCATCTGAATGCTCATTTGAATCTTGTATGGTTAATGTTTTACTGTTAATGGTAGAAAAATTGTATTACAGAAAAATACCACCACCTTAATGAGGATGCCATCAGACTTTGTACAAGTGTGGGTCTGGCAACTACGCAATATACAACCATAGGGGTGTATAATTACAGAATCGTGAATGGACCAGATAGCATGAATACATGTTCAGTAATAGTTAACCCTGGACCAAAGGTAATAGCTCTACTAACAACTGAGAAAATATAACTATGATGAAAAGTTTTCAATATGTTGACTTATTCAGTTAATTTAAGATCTATTCCTTTAAAATGGATGATGGAGGTTAGGAAGGGATACTTAAAGTCCCTTGCTATATACCCATATCAATTTTAATGGAATAGCCCTTAGTCAAAGTGAATCTACTTTTAAATGATAAGGTGGATACAAAATGGTTTTAGCTGATTATCATGAAACTCAATTAACTCAAAGTACACTTTCTGTTCAATTTGATGAAATGTAAGTCGAGCTGACGTTTTTCTAAAAAAATAAGTTATAACACAAATAGCCTATGCTGTAACCTAGGTAATTTGAAATCAAATTGAAAATAAATTTTGAATATCCACGGTTTAAAAATTCCTCAGGTGTGAATCAGTTAATGTAAAGTTAATAAATCCTAACTGCATTTGAAGATTCTGTTTTATAATATTGAGAAACTTTTCAGTACAAACACATACTGTGGATTCATTTATTTTCGCAGGATTAGAAAAATGACATATTCATCGATATTTGATTTCTTGGTTTTGCCAGAGTCAGCATACAATCTTGTAGAAAATTTGTAATTCGTTGAACTTTTAAATTTGTGGTTCACCTGTACCCACAAATCCATGAAAATTGGTATCCAATGTATAATAATGAATCCACAGTAATAAAAGACTAATTAGCCATAAATGATAATTATTTTTAACTTTCTTACAGAATCACACAATACATCTGACAGACAATGGATTTGAACCCAAAGTGATCACTGTCCGTCCTAATGATAGAGTCTGGTGGGTTTGGCAGTCAAGTAAGAAGCCACATGATATCATTCAAGTAAGTCAATTGGGTTGCTATTGTCTTTTGTATAAAGCTGAAACTTATGCATTGTAGTCACATATTGAATAGTCTCAAAAATAGTTGTAATCAATAGGTGTTTTAAATTAGTTAAATTGAAATCGACAAGATTTTCTCAACTAAATAAATAAGGTTATATTGATTATGCTAATTTATAGTATTTAAGAATGAATAGATATATAAGAGTTCAATGCATGTTTGAAAGCAGTAAAGCAAACACTATTGAAAAGACTATAGATGGGAGCCAGCTACAATTTCAATAGAATCCCTGAAATAGATACTTCAGTTATGCAGGGTTAACGTTGTTATGATAAAACAAATAAAATGTAGAGACTTTTACAGCAGTAACATTTTAGAAATTGCTGCAGTAATATTGATGATGGTTTCTAATGGGCTGTTGTTATAAAAGTCACAATAGGTTATGTGAAATTACGAGTGGGGCATGGTGTTCTAAGACCACTTATTTTCTTTCATTTTTTTATGATCATGTTCAGAACATACATGTGACAATATTTCCAATTCTTTCAGGTATCTCATCAAGGCAAGCCAATAGATGATGGATTCTGTAGTGGACAGGCCAGAGATGCTCCCTCAGCCTTTGTGCATCAGTTTATGGCACCAGGTGTATTCTATTTTATTAGGTAAGTCATAACAGAATTGGGATTCCCATAAAAAAATTATCAGTAAAATACTTGTAAATCATACAACTTACATTCAATTTTTATCATAAGATTTTGATATTAATTGAATCTGATTTTGAGTATTTATTGATGTTTTGATTGTTTAGTTGACATTTGCAGTATTTATAAAACCATTTTGAAAAATGTAACTGACAGATTTTTGATGTGTTGAAAATTCAGGTGAACATTTTAAATGCCAAAAGCATTCTTCCTGATTATATATTTCATAGTACTGTAAATTCAGAAATTATTGTGTGCATTTATTATTGCGATTTTGTCACTTTAGACTAAAATGTGATTTTGATTTTTGCGATATTGAGAAAAATACCTGATTAATTCATATAAAAAATTTCAAAATGCGAGTTTAAATTTTTGCGATTACAACCCTGTCGCATTTATCGCAATAATAAAAACATCACAATTATTTCTGAATTTACAGTACTATATTGTCACACATTGTGATAAATTATTCAAAAGACATACTCTATTAGAATGAAACATAAATTAAGCTGTTTCATCTAAGCAAAATTTATTTTGGCACCTAACAATTGTTTCAATAGCTCTACTTTACCGTAAATAAACTGACTAGTTTTAAGAAATTTGTTAACAACAACTGTTTCTGCCTTCATCAATACAAATTTATTGTTATACTTATCGATTTTGTACTCCATTTCAGTTCAGTTTTGCCAAAAGTATTTGGTGCTATTGTGGTATCAACACAACCACAGGTAAGTTTACACAGATATCTTTTACACTGAAACTGGACAATGTCAATTCTATACATAGAAATTATATTTCTGAATTGTTCATGAATACGTTGTAAAAATGAACACAAAATGATGTGGAGTAAGCATCAATGATATATCAACCTACCAACACATACAAACAGTCATCTAGAAAATTGAATGTTAAGCTCCAAATTGTGTTGAGTGTATAAAAGTTGTGAATAAATTTTACAGAATCAATCAAAAGAACTGCTATCAAAACCAAAATCTCCAACTAAGGAAAAAACATTAAGATATATGACACATTCTATATAAAGGGCCAATATAGAAATCCCTGGTATTGGGATTTGTGTAATTAAAAGTTATAACACAGTTTTTCCTGTGATAAATACCTGTCCATGTCATAACCAAATGAGAAAAGTGTGCACAAATAAGGAGAAATCAACATTCATTTATCCATCTACAGAAGGCTTTAATTTTGCATTAGATATTCAATCTCACATTAATTTGTTTTGCACGGACCCATTTTCAATATTCATTGAATTTTATCATGAGAAAATGTAAAATTTAAACATGATGAAAGTATTAATGAAAATTGATGCAGTAAAGTTTTTTTCTGATTCTCTCTCTCTCTCTCTCTCTCTCTACTTGAAAAACAATTATCAGGTATATTTACTTCAAATTTCACAGGTACATGAAGTAAATGTAGCATTAGAGATCAGACCAGACCCAGTAACAATCAAATGTAATGACATTGTATGTTGGATATTCAGAGGTCTTAGATCATATGATGTGGATGAAGTAAAAAATGTTGATCAGCTCACAACAGAGGAATTAGAATCAAAAGCTGTCACTCCAAGGTTTGTTGTCTTCATTTCAAAATATTTTTTGGAAGTCAATATTTTTAGACAACTTCTAACACCTTTCTGAATAAGTAATTACTGTAAATTCATTTATTAATGAGTTCATTTATTATTGCAATTTTTGAAGAATGGAAAATCTGCATACCGATAAATGTATGTGATATCAGAATGCGAGTTCTTATTGTTGCCAATCTCACCCAGTTGCTTAATTCGCATTTATAAAAACCTCGTAATAATTTCTGAATGTACAGTACACAATTGATAATTTTGTAATGAAAACAATATACTAGATAAGTACTATGAGAATCATTTTACTGTGACAGGAGTTACTTGTATGAAGTTAAAAGACTTATAAAAAAAAATGATGAAAGGCTAATTGGACATGACTTTCCAGAATACTATTCAGGGGATACAATTTTTTTGTGGATTTCGTGGATATAGGTTAACCAGGAATTTAAATGTTCAACAAAGTACACATTTTCTAAAGGACTATATACAGATTTTGGGAAACCCACGAAATTAAATATCGGTGAAAAGACTAGTTTTCCTCAATCCATGAAAATGAATGAATCCACAGTATTCCTGTCCAATTTGCTGATATAATCTTATTTTTAATAATATTCATGTTGTCCTTAAATTAATATTGAATATAGATATCCATTGACATATAATTGCAATATAGTTGATGTCTGAATTTGTTAAATCCAATATGTCTGACATATTTATTTGCAGGCGATGTATATCACAAGCTGTACAGAAGACAGGAGTAATCCATTACTACAGTAAATCATTCAAAAGACAGAAGAAAGAGTCTGATAATGTAAGATATATATGTTCTGTAGGGTCATATAGTAAAGTGATCATTTTCTGTTGAACCTTACTTCAAAATAATGATGCATTTGTAAAGTAATTTTGATGTTGTTTTCGTTTTGGAATTTTAGGTTTCGTACCTATAGATAGAATTGGATGTAATTTGAAATCAACTCATGTTATTTAAAGGTTATTCAATGTAAAAAAGAAATCACGGATTTTAGGAAATCAGTGTGGATAATTGTTTTGATTCTGAACATTGAATTGAGTTTAGAAAAATCAGTATAAAGATTAAATTAAAAGATAGAATTGAAAATTAAAGAATTTCTGGAATAAATAGCTTTGCATCATCTTGAAAATTAAAGAATTTCTGGAATAAATAATTTTGCATCATCACTAGGTATATTCTGGTCCAATGATTGTGGTTGAGGGGAATGAAGTGAGTCAGTGTGGGCTTTAGGCTAGATTTTTCGGAACCACCCTGTGTTATACAATATGTGTTTTTTTTTTTTAAGTAGTCAATTTAAAAAAAAAAATGGATAAATAGACTCATCATTGATGCTTATAGATCATTGAATATTAGAATCAATATTGCTCAGGTGAATTTTGGATAAAACTAAGGGCTGTTTCATAAAAACATACATTGGACCAAGGGAGACAACTTGATATTTCTACTGTAGATGAATGTGAATTATGATGCTGTACAAGATTAAAATGTATGCAAGACTACATAATTACTTCTTTGGGTTGTTACTAGATTTTTAAAATTCCTTGCCAGGGCACCATGTATGTTTTATTAAAACAGCCCTAAGGTAAAATCACCTGATTCAAGCTGTAGTGCCTAAGCTCTTTGATTTAAGCTCGTTACAGTTCGTTGTAATCTGAGCAGCATTCTTATGAATTGATGATCGTATTTAGAAAATTGTGTAATTTAAGTTGTGTTAGCAATAATGAAATGCAGAATTTTTTATTTGTTTGTTTAGCAAAAGAAGAGTATGGAGATGGAGCTTTGTTGCATTGCTTCAAATAATCAGCTAAATAGATTTTGCTTTTTAGTTAAAGTTTTTTTAGAGCTGTTCTCTTTTTAAATTCTGATAAGCAAAGGAGTAGGGGCAATAAGGCCCTTATCTGGCCCAAATATTAGTGCAAATCGAAAAGTTACTACTGTAAACCAACTTATTTTCGCGGATACTTTATTTCGCGTTTAGCCCTTTCTAGTCAACTTCGCGGCAATTTAATTCCGTGATTTTCTAATTTACTTGATGAAGCTACTTAAGGAAAGTTCCAAGTTTTACATATTAGCCACCATTTATATTCGCGTTATTTTTCTACTCGGGAAAGTCGCTCAATAAATCGCTCGCAAAAATAAGTTGGTTTACAGTATATATATTCTTAAATCAGTCATAACTACACTAAGGTACAAGGTGTTCAGAAAATAAAAGCAAATTTCACACTTAACGAGTTACCATGGCAACAAACTATGACTAAATTTGTATATTCTCGAAAATTTCTTGAATTTCCTTGTTTTACATCAATGTTTTAGTATATATTAGATTGGAAAAGTATGTGCACACCCAAGAAACAACTTTATATTTTGTGAGATTATGTCAAAAGTTATAATAAAGCTTCTCTGAAATTATTTTGTTGTTTCTTGGATGCACACAATGTTTCCACAATGGAAATAATGATGCGAAACTGCATAAATTCTGGAGTTTTCTTTGTTTTCATGAAAATGATGCATATTATGACTTAATTGTGATGTCAAAAATCTTATGTAATTCATTTTTATGTCTTAATTTTATGCATTTCCAAACATTATGTGCAAATTTGAAATAGTTCACAAAAACTTTTTTTCTTGGCTCAAAACTGGTCCTTATTTTAAAGTTTTGACCAAAATCAAAAATAGATCCATTTTACAATTAAGATGGCTTTACAATTAACAATTTTAATTCTGTAAATTACATATTTTAAGTAAATTTGATACCCACCTCCATATTGTCATGCAACAAAGTAAATCTGATAATTTTAGAGGGCATTGTGACCAACGGACACATATTCTAGTTATTTCCCATTTCAGTTTATGCCTTTAGGTTGATATTTAAAATTATCAAAGATTTGGTGGTGAAGACATAAAAAAACATTAAAAAAAATTGTGTTATTTTTATTTTTGGAATCTTTAGTATGCCTGTACAAAGTTGAGGAAGACTATTAGAGGTGAAATTTGTATTTGTGAATTACCTACACGTTAAACAATTTTTTTTAAATTGTGGACAAATCGTACAAAAAATAAGAGTTTGTTTTGATATTTATAGTTGATGGATGACATCCGAGTCAGCAGTGTGATTTGTGATGAGCGCTATGACAATCAAGTTTGTCGTTTGGATTCAGAAGGTTTCCATCCACACTTCCTGTATGTAACCAAGGTAAGTATTGTTTCCATGACAACTATGTTTTGTTTGTTCTGAAAAAAAAAATCTGGTTCTTTCCCATGTCATTTGGATAACTTGGCTGCTGTTTGGTATTGAGTTGGTCGTGTATTGTAATGACCTTGTTGTATACACCCAATAGTAAACTCTGTAATGTAGTGTTACATATAACTCAGCTTCTGTATCAACCAATGAGTTGATGCTTGGTCTAGAAATTCATAATACTCAGTTGTACCATGTTAGTAATTTTTATTATGTCAGTTCCAAACTTTGAGATTTTATATATACTTGTAAAAGTGTGATATTTATATCTGTTAAAGCTATAAAGATAAAGAGCATATAGACTAAATGTAATACAAAATGTTCAGTGATTTTAAATGGACCCATCACTTCACTTTTAATAATTTATAAATTTTGACAAATAAATATTGAATTTGTTGCAGTTTCAAAATTAAGCAAATTGCTGAGAATGCATCAGCATGTACAATTGAGCTAAAAGATTAAAATGGAAATAGATTCAAATTTTACTGAGGCTGCTTCTTTTTTGACTGCTTAGGCATGTTTTGTTTTTGGAATGATCTAAAATTTAAAATATGCATTACTTTTGATATTCAAAATCTAAATTCTATGAAAGTTGAAACTTTTGTCCTAAATTACTGTTATTGCATTTGATTTGTTTCGTTATTTTTTCAGGGTCAGAGTGTTTTATGGACATGGAAAGGGAATGAAGAAGCTCATAACATTATACATGTATCATCTCCGGAAAGCAAGGTAAATTGATCTCTGATATGATGTAGAGGTTGATATGGTTGAAATGTAAAGAAGCCATTTGTCTTTTAGATGAAATTTTGAAGCTAAATTTTTATTTAATAGATATAAGAAGATGTGGTATGAGTGCCAATGAGACAACTCTCCATCCAAGTCAAAATTTATAAAAGTAAACCATTATAGGTCAAAGTACGGTCTTCAACACGGAGCCTTGGCTCACACCGAACAGTAAGCTATAAAGGGCCGCAAAAATTACTAGTGTAAAACCATTCAAACGGGAAAACCAACGGTCTAATTTATATAAAAAACGAGAAACACTTATGAACCACATCAACAAACGACAACTACTGAACATCAGATTCCTGACTGAGAAATCTGTTTAAAAAAATGGAAATGAAGGAGTTTGCTTATGTTTGGGGAATTAAGATGAATTAAATTTTTCTTCTGGGTGAAATGTTGAAACCATTATTTCACTGATACAACAGTTCTTTTGCTAGAAGAATTATTTTTTCTTGCAATTGAAGAATTATACAGAGGTTACTCACCTTTTCGGTGAAATGTTGAAGACATATTTTCTTTGATGCCTTAATAAAGATAAGAGTACAGCAGTTATTTGTTTTAAAAAATAGCAAGGATGTTTTTAGACATGACAATAACAGCATTATTAACAATTTTACCATTATGTTTATTATCATGGGTAATCCTGCAAGGAACATGAAACTAAAAAGAATCATTATTTTTTAAGAATATTTAGATATATGAAATTTTAAATAATTTGCAATTAGCCTTAGATGATATATAAATGACTTAATGTTGTTATTAGGAAATGTCAAACGCACCTACTCAAAAAAATGAAGTAAGTTCAAATAAGCTGGCATGCTAGTTGAAAATCAACTATTTGATATGCTCTTGTAAACAGAAAATATATATTGATATATTCAGAATTTGATAATTTTCAGCATTGCAGATTGTAATAAACAAATATACAAATATGTTTATTATAAGTATGCAACAGTTCAAATTGTAAACATTATTGCAAATAAATTTATGTTTAGTTTGCAACAGTACGGATAATTAACAGCAAATATGCAAATAGGGGAACAATTAGCCTCCAAGAAACTTTTAATAATATCATTAAAGTCAATTTTTTTTTCAATTTGCAAATGAGGAGAGATATTGAAATTTAATGTAAACTGTTAAATATTTTGTCAACATGCTAAGAGTATCTGCTAGATTGGAGAAATATAAGTTGGGTGTTTATAAATACTCTATTTTAGAAAATCTATATCTTTGTACATCAATTTATTTTTATCCTATTGATTTCTAAAATGGCGGATTTTGGGGCTTGATATTGAACCATTCTTTCTTTATATATTATCAATAACTATATATTCAGTTATACATTTCATAAAATAACACATATTTACTCAGAATGCTAAAATATTATTGCTTTTCAAAGGTTTGCATTTGTTTGAAGGCTTTTTTACATGAATATGCTTGATGTCATAATTAGTTTTTATACCATAAATCAACAACGTGTTTACAATTGCTCTTGCAAATGTTCAAGTATATTCAGACCCGTATAAATGCTTAACAGTATCAGAGCTCCAGATAAGAATTCACAAATTGGAGTTTTTACCCACCATTTTTTTATGTAATTGGGTGATAAAGTTTTTTAATTGCATTATCAATTCCAATTCACCCCTCAAGCAAATATAAAATTGGGTTTTTCACCACCAAGCTCCTTAATGTATTGGGTTTTTTCATCAACACAATATTGAATATTTAGGCATGTTACAATCACATTATATCAACCCCAGATGTGTTTCCATCTTAAATGTGTTTCTTTCTTTGTAGAATATGTGCTAGCTGTTTTATTTGGTTTATTCACTGACGAGCAATTGTACATTTAATTTGTGTCCCGTTTTAAACGTTCTGTCAGTTTTGTATTTTCTCAAAACTTATGTAAACTGCAGCTGGTGTCAATAGTTGGACAGGAACTAATTGCCTTTCTAGATCCCATATGATCACCCTACAGTTTAATTATAGTTGGGGTAGGTGTGGCTAAGTGTTTAGATTTTTGTGTAATATATGTGAAATTTAGGTGCTGTAAGAAAGTTTTGCCAGTCCTTTCACCTATTTGCCAGATCTACTTTTTAATAAAAATAAAAAGTAGTTTCCAGATTTAAGATATACCCCAAAACCTTAAAGGGTGGTTTATAATGACGGAGACCACATTCAACTTAAATTTACAAATAATTCTGCAACATCAAGTAAATAAATGACAATGTTATACTGCACTTGCCAATAAGACAACTATCTTAAGCATCTAGAACAATTAGACCAAAACAAAGAAAGTGTCAAGCTGCATTGACGTAAAAAACGGATCTGTGTATTCACTCATCAACTAAAATGAAAAAAATAATATATAAACTGTTTTCGTTTAATTCAATTTACATAAATCTGGGTTAAGTTGTCCCTTATGGTTTCCGATGCTTTCAAACTACATATCATGTCATAATTGATTTGGCCTTTCACTTTTTCCAACTGATTTCGTTTTTGACGGAACCCCGTGTTTATCGCTCTAGCAATGTTCTCGTTATGGTACGCAAACACGCCCGTGCGTTCAATGGCCGCTTCCTAAAATCACTAGCTGAGTCTTGTTTTCATCATAACTTTCCCTCAGCTAACAAAATGAAGCCGAAAACATGCTTCTATTCAATATTTTTACCGGACATTTACTTTCGTTTTAATTCATTGTATGTTATGATAAATCCCGAGCAATTCGAAAAAATATGACAGCATGTCACACGCTAATTGTATAAACGCCGAGAAGATCGAAATGTTTTCCTAAACACGTGTACCTTTTGAGCAACGGAAAGTTCCAACAGGGACCCATTACAGCTACTTGATGCAGGGCTCTATTTTTAGAACGAAAGGACATTTCCAATTATAAATATTATAAAAATAGATTTACGCGACGACTGTAATCAAGTAAGGGTAAATAACGCAAACGATAGCGAATAAAAGCGTTAAGAACCCATGTTTTTTAGCATATAATTGAGTTTTCATTTGAATTAATTGGGTTATTGAACCCTGCAATGGGCAATTGCATTGGGTTTTTAATTATTTTTATTGCTTGATCACGCAAATACGCAGCTTATCTGGAGCTCTGACAGTATACAAGCTGTTGAAATCCAAATGAGTAATTTGTATTTGAAGAATGTCAGGTTATAAATAAGCCTGTACTAGGCTGTTTTAGGCTGTTTTGTTTGAGAAATTGTGATTCCAGTGTTTAACTATATTGGTAGAACTTTAGATAGAATTTGTTTACCAAATGTGTACATGGTTTGTGTATTAAGAGAAGTACTTCCATATTGTCTATTTTTTGGCAGTTGTTTTTTTTAGGGAAAATTTCCAATAGAATAAAAATCTTTGACTCTTTGATGTTACATTTTCTATCAATCTAAGAAGGGGATAAAATTTTCATGAAAATTGGCCGGTACTGTGTACTTATACAATTTAAAGTTTTGGAAATTAAAGAATAGGGGTGGTCATTTGTAAATTAATCTATTTTGTGATTTTGTAATGTGTACTTAACTCTGGCCAGATTAAAGTCAATAAAGATTCTGCTTGCTTGATTGTTTCTGTTTTGAAATGTAAATGAGAGTTTGTTAATGTAGAAATAAGCAGCATACAAATTGTTAACTTTTTCACTTCCTTGTCATAGGGTCTTTGGTGAATAATTGTACTGTTGGCAAACACATCTCCTTATTTTTACATACTTGAAAAATGAACCAAGAAGCGTAGCATTCATTTTGGTAGTTAACAAGACAATTAATCAGCCTATCATTGTAGTTTCTAATGAATTGTTATTCTCACTTTCTTTTTGAGCTACAGAAATACATTTTGATCAAATTTGTTTTCAGATTTGTTTCTTTTCTATTTAAAACACATACATATATATATCAATAATTTGAAACCGATTAATTTTTAAACAGGAACCATTGAATGTAATATCTGGACCAAAAGCCTTTAACAGTGGGAAGCCCACACCTGACAACAGTTTTCTGTATACATTTGATGAGCCTGGATCTTACACAGTAGCTTCACAAGGAGCGCCTGGTTATTCCTGTATTGTATTTGTCCTGGCAGCAGGTAGGTTAATAAGAAAGTAGCATGGATAGAAATCTAAAGGAACGCAATAAAAAACTTATGGTAACCAAAAAATAAACATTGAATAATTATCAATGGTGTTCTCTTGTTTTTTTGCTCGTCCTGAACATGCATGAAATATTTGCCACTGGATGTTAAGCAACCAACAATCAATTGTTTCTATTTAATCTAATAACAACTTTCTAGACTTTTAGATGATTTGAGGTCCTGCCATACATGGAGTCAGGGTTAACTATTGCTGATAGGTAGCCATCTCATTTGTGTTTACACTCTAGCTATACCTGGAAGTTACTTAAAGTTTTCAACAAGAAGCAGATGCTCACTCTAGTTTATGTTCTTTATATTACTTCACTTTGAAAAATTGACACAATTCAACAGGAACTGTGGATTCATTATTATTCGTTGGATACCAACTTTCATGGATTATGTTGGTGCAGGGAAATCATGAATTTAAACGTTCAACAAATTACAAATGTTCTATAGAAATATATAAGCTGACTTGAGCAAAACAGCAAAACCTACAATCCATGAAAATTGGAACTGACGAAAAATAAATAAATCCACAGTGCATGTAATTGAATAGATGCTTATTTTATTAAATGAAAAAAAAAAAAAAGAACATAAGACATCAACTAAAATTTCATTTTAGAATTTTTGTTCAGACCTCATACCTAAACCAGCAGAAAACTTAATGTTATTTTATGTATCAGTATTTTTTCCAACTTAAGCATCAAATAAACACTCTCTTGCGTTCTTAAATCTATATATAAAATGATTTATTTACCATCTGTGTTTCAGCTGGAAGAGTATCCGATCCTTATATATCATCAGTAGATGGAGGATCAGTTAACAGTGGGACAAAAATTACATTAGGTTGTGATTCTCCTGGTTCTAAGATATATTTCACCATAGATGGAGCACCACCAGAGTTACATCTAGACTCAGCAAAGGTATATACCTATCAATGAATTAGATTTACTATGAACAGTATATATAAAAAAGAAAATGTGGTATGATTGCCAATGAGACAACTACAATAGAACAAATGACACAAAAACTAACAACTATATGTCACCGTACGGCCTTCAACAATGAGCAAAGCCCATACTGCGTAGTCAGCTATAAAAGACCCCAAAATGACAAATGTAAAACAATTCAAACGAGAAAACTAACAGCCTAATTTATGTACAAAATAATGAACAAAAAACAAATATGTTACACAGTATATGGCTATATGAATTGAACGATACCATACTAATTGGAAAATCTGGCTGCTACCTCTTATTTATTGCTGTTTAGATACAATAAAAAAAACATGATTCAAATTCTACTGTAATGCATTGTTTAATTTCAGCTATACACAGAGAAAGGTATAAAGTTGAAGAAGCCAGGATTGTGTTTTGTCAGATTTATGGCTGTCAAAGAAGGCTTTCTTAATAGTCATATTATAACTTCAAGGTTAGTGTGGTTATTGTGTTATATTGTTTCATAGATATCTACTTTAATTTCAATGTGACCATTCAGAATCAAATGGAATATGGGTAATTTCATTGTTAGTACATCAAAATGAAAAAAATGATAATACATTGGCTGAATATATGGACTACTTGTTTAAGGACATTGTTATCCGATCCTGACTTATCCGATCCTGACTTTTGGTGTACACTTTGTAAATATTACCTGGAATGCTTGAATACCTGCAATGGCAAATGACTCTAAGCTGCTCAATAAAATGGACAAATATGTTATATGTGGAATTGATATAAAAAATAAGATTTTTAGCTGGTTTATGCATACAGGAAACTTTTCTTAGTACCACTTATAAAATTGCTCTCTTCCTAAACCTTACATTAAGTACTTTTAGCTGTATACTTTTAGCTTGAAGAATTTCACCCCAATTTCACGGTCCACTGAACATAGAAAATGATAGTGCGAGTGGGGCATCCGTGTACTATGGACACATTCTTGTTTGTTGTATATGATAAACTCTTTTGCTTCTATTGTAGACGATACTTTGTACTACCAGAAGAAAGTGATACACAAGATGACACTAGTGATTCTGATGCTGAATCTGCAGTATCTGAAAAGCGACCATCACCTAAGGTAAGCCAGACAGCCTAGGTGACATTGTAGTAGAATACTCACTTTAAGTGTTGTAAGACAAGTGTTCAATCCCTCGTTTAAAAAAATCAAGGCATTAAAATTAGGATTTGTTGCTTCTAACCTATGCATGCATCATTTTTTGAAAGGGCACAGATAGGTCAGCTAGGAGTCAGATTAATGTTTATGTTTGATAAAATGTTTATCAAAAAACTGTTGTTACCTTGTTAGCTATTATGTTTAAAATCTAACTCAGTGTGTGGGGCAGTACAAAGCAGTTTATGTTCATGCAACATTAATATCTTATTGTCCAGAATAAGGAACTGGATATGACACATGAATCAATCCATCTAACCAAAGATCATGATTTTGTTAAAAAAAAAAAGTTGAGACAAAGAGGGTATTATAACCATAGTTCTAAAGAAAGACAGTGAACAACATGACCAAAAGGAAAAAATTGAAAAAACGAACAACATTTTGCAAAATACAAAACAGAAAACTTAAGATTGAGAATTACAAACAAAAAAAATCTGGTGACATTTTGTCACCAGTGGTAAAAAAGGACAGAGACATATTGAGGGGCATATTGGTTTCTTATTTGTGCATATAGCCGAGAAATACCTTAAGATATGATATTATACATTTATTTCCCGTGCCTGAGGGAGATATGAAGATTTGTTCACCCAAGAAAAATCATATTTCCCGAGGGCATTGCCTGAGGGAAATATGGCTTTTTCGAGGGTGAACAAATCTTCATATCTCCCTAAGCCAAGGGAAATGAATGTTTTATTCCACTGCCTATATTTTTTTTACTTTTGAACATAAGATATTAATCAACATACTTGTTTTCTTATCCGTTTGTTTTTTTATAACTAAACACAACATACACAATGATAATCAGTACCGATTAAAAGTTAATTATTGACTCATTCTTATTTGTTTTTAGATCTGAAAGTATTTTTAAAAACAAAATTATTATACTATCTTTTTTAAAAAACCCAATCAAAACGTTTTAAAACATTAACCGCGGGTAACATTGCACAAGGCAATCCCGACGTTCAGAGGGGAATATGATACTCAGAAGGGAATATGAAGTTTTGTTCGACGTCATGTGGGATAGTTTCAACCAATCAAATGTTGATTTCGCTATCAAAATCAGCATGCAGTGGAATAATAACATTTGTTTTTGCTATTTTTTTTAGACCAAGAAGCATTGGACATGGTGGGACTGTGTACCAACAGTAAAAGCATGCTTTACTGGACCTGGAATTATGGAAATATTCTGGGATTCACCAGATGAAAGTAATTTGTCACTTATCAAAGGGTACCAGGTAATTGACAGTTTTATGATCTGTATTTTAGATAAGATAAAAGATTTTAAAAATCTTATCACAAAAAAAAAACAACAAAAGACTTAATGGGCAGAAAAAAATAAAACTTTAAATTGTATTGATAGCCATCATGAACACTTTTATTAGATTGGAAACTATGCTGTACTTACTATTTAAAACATCAAAAACATGAAGAAGAAAAGATAGAGAAAATATATGACTGAAATCTGTTTTTTAGATAAATAAAATACTGTGAAATATGTGAATTTGTTTATATATTTTTCAAAAAGACATTAAATATTCTCTTTTCATCTGCTAATGAATAGAATATTTTAAATTCACCTGAATTCCACCTGATCAAATTTACACTTAATCAAAATTGGTGAACACATATAAGGGTTTGTTTGTGATATGTTCACAAATTATTTTATAATATTTAGCAAAACATTTTATTTTACAGCTATTCTTGAATGGTGTGTCATACTGTGAGATGTTCCCTCCTAACAATAATAGTATAAACATCAGTGGATTGGCTGGTGGACGCTTGTATGAAGTTGTGGTGGAAGTATACTCTACCAATCCTAAACAATCTCCACAGATGTCTAACAAATTGGTAAGTACTGTGGATTCATTTATTTTTCGTGGATACCAATTTTTGTTGATCGAGGTAAAATGTGTGTATTTTTGTGAATATTTGATTTCATGGTTTTGCAAAAGCCTGCATGAATGCCAATAGAAAAATTTTACTATACACACGAAATACACGAAAATTGGTATTCAACGAATAATAATATATCCACAGTAACTTGTAAGTGGATGGGCTTGTTTATATTTGTTATGGAATTATTGTGGAAGATAAACTCTTCTTCTTTGCAACATATTTCACTTATGTTAAACATTTGCATAATATGTCAGGGGACTGGCTGATGAAGTGTGATACAAAATTGTGGAAATATATATCACCAATCCTCAATTGGAAACAATTTACACACTGGAACACAATATGGTTGTGGATTGTCAAAATGTGGTGCATGGATTTCTTAAAAAAAAACACATCAATAAATTGATAGCAGATTGACTGGTTGACAATTACATGAACAAATATAATCATCGTATAAATTGTTGATATGTGAATCTCCAATCAACAATACGATTAGAAAATGTTTTACAAACTAGATACTAAATTTGCAAGAAATTGGCTTGTGGATTATTATATGAAATCGAGGTGAAACTATCTTCCATCAATCCATATCATTGACTGTTATGTGTGAAATGTTTTGTTTTGTTTTATCTTATTTAAGTTTTATTTCAAGCAACTAATATATGAATAAACATTGTCAGTGGTTCTGAAATATTAAAAAGTTTCATATGTTTTTATTTTTTTTCTCAAATTTTAGAAAAAAGTAATGTTCTTATCAACATTACATTGCAATTTTTTTTATTTCAGATGATGAAGAGTCCATTAGTCTCAAATGATGGAGGACCAATTATCTCCCTTGAGAGAACAGATAAAGAAGATGCCATATCTGTTGTATGGATGTCCATTGATTCCAGATCATACCCTATTTCTGGCTATCTTGTTTTCTTGAATGACCAACAATGTGGATCAAGGGTATGGAATAGTTGTTATTTATCATTTAGAAAGACACTGATTAAAAAGAATAGAATGTTCATTGTCAAACTGACAATTAACTTTTTTGTGAAAAATTCAGACCCCCCCCCCCCCCCAAAAAAAAAAAAAGAAAAAAAAAAAGAAAAAAAAAAGTTTTTTTTTTATAACAAATGTTTATATTTTATTTTAAATTCTGACATGTTAAAATATCCTCCCCAGATGTTTCCCTGAAAAAAAAAGATGCTATCAACTTAGTTTTCTTTAATGAACACCTACTTGAAAGTATATTACTGAAAGAAAAGTTAGTATTTTCAATTTTAGATAGGTTTCTTGCATGAAAATAGAACACAGGCCTCATTACATGACTGATTTTACTTAATGTATATTTTGATTTAATTTTCTTTTCCCTCAGTTTAGAATATTTCAGATATGTTTTATTTTACAGCTTGTCCCTGATCCAGACAGCAACAGATGTAAAGTTGTCATTGGTGGTTGTGAATTAGGTGTCTCACATAAAATCTATGTGGTAGCTTTACCCAAAGGTAAGAATCCTATAAAGTAATGTAGCTTGTTTTTTATGGGGTTTGACCTGGGTTATGGGATGTAACTCATAAAATCACTACACATTTGTGTCAACCATTTTTATAGATATATTCTTTATACTTCTAGATAGCACAGATAATATAGTACTTCAGTTTCAAGCTAGTTCTTAAGAAAACATTGATGAAACTGAATATTACAAAATCATTAATGATTTAAATATCTCCTTTAACACTGGTTAATTCCCTTAAACATACACACTATAGTTTCTAAGATTAATATTGGTCTCAATGATTTTTACCAAAGATTTAAAACTTTGTATTTGCTTGCCTTGTCACCAATCAAATTGATGAGTAAGAGCAAACAGGTTGATAAGGAGTCAGAATACTATGCCCCAGTAGGGTTACATGTCTTCCTGCAGGTTGTTCAAAGAAGAGTTCATATTTCTATCACATTTTCTTGTTTTTTTAATACTTTGGATTCATATATTTGTGTGGGTTGAGCAAAAATTGTTTTTTTTTTCATTAATATTTGATTTCTAGGTTTTGCTAAAGTTTGCATATTAGCCTGTAGAAAATTTGTACTGCGTTAAATGTTTAAATTCATGGTTCACTCAGACCCATGAAAATTTGATATCCTTTAAGGATGTTCGCTACTCTGTTTCAAAATAACAAGCTTTTTAAAAGATTGTTATGAATTGATAGTATATAAATAAAGAAACTAAAAAAGCAGAAAAAAATGAAGGGTCTGTGTGCTTGTTTTTCGAGATATAAGCCATTGAAAATTTGACCGGAAATAATTCTCTCTAGATTTTTTGTACATGTAACATTGGCACCTTTTTTCTTTCAAAAACGATGAAAAAATAACAAGGATTTCATTAGATTTTCAAAGATGACATTTTAAACTATATGTAATCAAATTATGGAAAGGAAAGTAGGGGTTGGCAAAATTTTTAATGGCACTACATGGATAAAACCAGAGAATTCTGAATATCTGGCAAAAATTCAAAAACAAGAGGAGCGAACATCCTTAAATAATAATGAATCCACAGTATGCATTGAATTTGACAATGGGCATTAAACAACCATCTATCATTATCTTTAGCTATGACCTTTAATAGTGTGAAAATGAAGGTGACCACAGCTTTTAAGTTAAATAATGCTGTACAGCTCATGTAATTTAAAGTATTTTCTGGTATGGAGTGAATTAGAATTTTTTTGTACATTAGAAGTCTTGTCTAAGAACTTTACAATGTTATGAAATCATTTGTCCGAACCAGGTTTACCCCACAATTTTCTTGGAAAATGCCTGTACCAAGTCAGGAATATGACAGTTGTTATACGTTCATTCCAATGGTTAATGTTTGAATTTGTCAGTTTTTATGGACTTCTCCTTTTTGAATTGACCTTGGAGTTCAGGATTTTTTTTTAGACCTTTTTGCAATTTTTATTATGAATTTGATACTTATCATATGTTATGTATAGATTTACCAGAGGGTGAGTAAAAACAATGGGTGACAATAGAATAATATAGCTATAAGTTTGATTAATTTTTGCCTTGCAAAGTATGAAATTTGAAAAGCATATTATTTTAATTAAAACTTTAGTATGAGATCCAGTCTATTACAACTGCTCAGTTTGATTTAAACATTTTGAAGAAGTACTTAAGAGAAAAATGTTTCTTGTTTGAATCAAAATTGATCAGTTGAAACAATTTTATTTAGGTGACTTTAATTTAGATTTTTCTGTCTTTTACTTCAGCAATATTTGTTTTGAATAGCATTGGTAGAATTACATTGAATTTGGAATGGTCAGTTCAAAAAAAAAAGATAAACTAATAATAGCATTTTTTACAGATATTACCGTTTTCATTTTTGTTAGCAACTATGAAATTGAAGCATTTTGTGGCTAAGAAACATTTGCAATATTTTTATATGAACGATTGGTTACTTTTTTCCTGCATTTATATGTTTTAGAAATTATACTAATAGATAGTACTGATTACTTGTATATTTCGGATATTTTATTTTTTCATCTTTCCTATATTATTACAGCATAAACCATACATCTGTTAACCTTTTTTTAATCATCCTTAGTAGAGAAGTCACCTTACTGCAAGGTATTGAGACTAAGCCTTTTACAGCTCTTCTATAATAGCATGCAAAGCAAACCTTTGATCAACTTGCTTGCTATGTTTGCAAACAATAGGTAGGCGGAGTTTCAGTCTGTTTTATGTATACTGGGATTTGATTGGACAATAGAAATTGACATGCAATGAAGTTAATGTTTATTGTCCAATTAAATTCCAGTATATAGTAAACAGACTGAAACAGACTACCTACCTGTTGTTTACAAACATCCAAACAAACATAGCAAGCAAGTTGATCAAAGGTTTGCCTTGCATGCTTTTATAGAAGAGCTGTAACTAGTGAAATTGTTTGCCTCAGACCGACTGGTCATTTTATTAAAAATTTAATCAAATACTAAAACAAATTTTAGATATTGAAATCTAAAATTGACCAAGTTAAAAAGCTTGATTATGTTAGATATCTACTGAATAATATGACTTTATACCTGATTTATTCTGGCTTCAGTGCTCACAGTTTATTTTAAAGTACACATCTCTCATAGTATTGATCTGTTTCAAGAATGTTTGATTTTTGCTGTAGTATTCTCAACACAATTTAGTAAGTGCACAATAAATAGCAAGTAGGCTTAATTTTACATGTATTTCTTCAGTAATTCATTTGTTTATGGTCAAAGGAATAAAAGTAGGTATGAATGAATGTCAATAAGACAGCAACATCTTACATGAAAAAAACACAAATACACCGGTCAACATAAGGTTTACAACAATTGGCAAATGTCTTTGCAAAATGGCATTCTCAAAATTGACAGCTTTAAATCAGATTTAGTGTTTAGTATTTTTGAAATAACATTAAATAATTGTAGCTCATGTTACATCTTCCAATTATTTAGATGTATTTAAAAAAATATTGTTTTATAATGCCATTTGAAAAACACTTAATTTTTACTGTTTCCTACCTAGCATAAATTTATGCCTTGTAGCTGCTGCCCGAAAATTTTCATTGGCACTTTTGGTTGTGAATCTTGACAAATAGTAGGTGATCAAGATATACTCATGGTTAAAACAATTTAGAAAATTATAAAATACTACCTACCTACCCTAGTTTTTTTTAAAGGAGGCTTTTTATAAACCTATACAAATGTTGTTGCATATGAAGCAAGGGTCCTTGAAATTTGATCAGTGATTAATGGACAAAAACATGTAAATTTAAAAATTAGCAATTTAAAGAAATACTGCATGCAAATAATGTAATAAGAATTTATACAATAAATATATAAATACTTACAGGTGAAGTCGATGACTCTAAAGTATCAAACCTTCTTGAAGTGACCTTGCCCCTGTATGTAAGTGAGATAGTGCTGCCACCTGAAGGCAAACGTCTGGAAGAAGAGGAGCTATACCTAGAGTATATTGAGATACATGAAGGATCAGGTTACCTACAGGCCATGGATGGTAAGCTTATCTTTGATTTTGTGTGCATGTTTGTGTAGATGTGTAATTTTTTTTTAATTTTTAGTTAGGCAAGACATAGTGTCATTTTGACATTTTGCTAATTAATTTGAAAAGTTGGGAGTGTGTAGGTCAAGAATAACAATTTGATATCAGCAATGTCTCTTTTGAAATTATTTGAAAATTACTGAGTCATAAAATTAAATGCAACGCTTATCCCGTTGCATTTTTAAAACAATGATAATTAAGGGGAGGAAAGGATGGGATGTATGCGTTGAATTGAAACAGATAAAGTGTTTTTTTTGGAAATAAACAAAATAAATTACAAATAAATAAGTTGAAATTATTTATTTGTGTTAAAAATAACAAAATCAGCTTTGTAAAACATTTCAACTTATATTACTTTTCAAAAACTTCCAAGAAGTTGAAACAGTTAATTTTTCTAATTGATAAGAATTTGATATAGTTTGTTCAAAGTTTTGACTGCTTATCATTTTTTCTGAATTTGTTAAATTTTATTTAGTGTACGCCACAATAGATAGATTACTTGATATTCATATAATAGCTATTATTGAATCTCGGCTAATGACAGCGATTCCTATAGCAGTTCAGTTATTTTTAAGTCACTTTAGCAAGAAATTCTTCTAACTTTTTTTCATTAATAATATATGTGCAGAAACATAAGCACATTCCTGAAAATTATATCTCCCAAGTCATGCACCAGTAAACACAAAAACATACCTATGTGTTCACTCATCAGATAAAAAAAAATCAATATAATTCTGGGAAAGGCACAGGGAAGGGTAGGGTAACCTTAAGCAAGTAATATCTTGTATTGTGGCTTCAATGCTTGTGTTTATTTAGTTAAGTCTCCCAAACGAAGTTTGGGAAGACTTATTGTTTTTGCTCAGTTCTTATTATTATTATTATTATTCTTCTTCTTCTTCTTCTTCTTCTTCTTCTTCTTCTTCTTCTTCCGCCGCTTTTAAATTTGAACTTGTCCGCACCCGTTCTCCAAAACCGCTTGTCAGATTAACTTAGGGTTTCACAATATGTTAGACTAACATGTCTAGTGGTGCAATCAGGGTTTTGTTTGTGCAATGGGGTTTATAAAGGGGTACTTTGAGGGGCAAAAAGAAAAGAGGGTTTTACTATAGAACCCTATGGGATTTTATTTTTTAAAATTTTCAAATGATTATAAATTGAAAATCGTTTGTGATAGACACAATCTTTTTAATTGAAAATGTTCTAAATGATAAAGCCCATTAAATGAAATACAGGGTTAGTCCCCAGGGGTCACCCCCACCCCCTGCCATTTAAGAAAGTTCTAATACCTTGTAAGTGGTCAAGATCCCCACCCCTAAACCATATATATTCTGGTTTGTCATGCTAAGATGGTTTGAATGATATACAGGGTTAGTCCCCAGGGGTCATCCCTACCCCCTGCCATTTGAGAAAGTTCTAATATCTTGTAAATGGTCGAGATCCCCACCCCTAAACCATATATATTCTGGTTTGTCATGATAAAGCACATCAAATGAAATACAGGGTTAGTCCCCAGGGGTCACCCCCACCCCCTGTCATTTAAAAAAGTTCTAATATCTTGTAAGTGGTCAAGATCCCCACCCCTAAACCATATATATTCTGGTTTGTCATGCTAAGATGGTTTGAATGATATACAGGGTTAGTCCCCAGGGGTCATCCCTACCCCCTGCCATTTGAGAAAGTTCTAATATCTTGTAAATGGTCGAGATCCCCACCCCTAAACCATTTATATTCTGGTTTGTCATGATAAAGCACATCAAATGAAATACAGGGTTAGTCCCCAGGGGTCACCCCCACCCCCTGCCATTTAAGAAAGTTCCAATACCTTGTAAGTGGTCGAGATCCCCACCCCTAAACCATATATATTCTGGTTTGTCATGCTAAGATGGTTTAAATGATATACAGGGTTAGTCCCCAGGGGTCATCCTGACCCCCTGCCGTTTGAGAAAGTTCTAATATCGAGTAAATGGTTGAGATCCCCACCCCTAAACCATATATATTCCTATTTGTCATGTCTCAAACATTTGAATGACGTATAGGGCCAGTCCCCAGGGGTTCCTCCCCACCCCCAATGTTCTAGTATCTTGTAAATGGTCGAGATCCCCACCCCTAAACCATATATATTCTGGTTTGTCATGCCAAGATGATTTGAATGATATACAAGGTTAGTCCCCAGGCATCACTAATGCATATAACTTTACTGGACCAAACCAATTTTCACTGGACGTTGCCCAATGTCAGGCAACCCTGGGAATTACGAACTATGGGAGCTTCGTTTGGGAGACTTCGTAACAGCATCCTGTTACAATCATTTCTTGTTTATATAGTTGTTGTTGCATGCTTTTTCTACAGAAAGTATAAATAAAGCTAGTAGAGCAGAAGTTAATGAGAGAAATAGATTTCAAAAAGATATGACCTCTTCAGGGTCACAGAGGTCAGCAAGTTCACGTCGTTCAGGTAAGAAGAATGCATAGAAAAAGAAGAGTTACCTATATACATGAATATATGTGTATGTTTATGATGATTAAAATCTTTTTTAATTATTGAAGTTTTAATGTGCTGTTTAAAATGTAAATCTTTTTAAAAAAGATTGTTACTTGAGCATCAAAGCATCAGAATTTTTTAATTTGCTCCTCTGTGAAATTATCCTTACTTTAATTTACTAGCATGACAAAGTTTGCAGGTCTCTTCTTCGGTTTACAATTTCTAGAGTTTTGGGTCTACCTATTTAAATTTTAATTTAATGAAGTTGGTCAAAATTGATTGAGCATGGTTTCAAATATATGGTAGCTTATTTCTTAAAAGGAAGCAGAAACTACAAAAGGAAAAATCACCCATACTTTATACATAAAGATATTTTTTAATTTTCATGCAACTTGTCAATTCATTTTGGACTTTACCAAGACCAATTTAAACATGTGTGAGGCATTGAAATCAATATTGTTTAGGTGACACAGCTTGCTTTTCCATTTAGGAATATTTGTTATATTCTGATTCCGCAAATTTGATTCGACACCTGATAATTTTAAAGAAAAATGTCCCTATAGTTTTAAAACATAAGTGACAGTTGCAAGAACATTTTTGAACACCTGCATAAGTTTGGGTATAAAATTTATTTAGTTATTTTCCATTATTGTAGTGAGAAATTTTTTTACTAAGTAATATTCCATGGTATTTTTGTAACGAGCTTAGAACTAATATAACATTAGTATTTTTTATAGAGCTTTTGCTTAAGGAATTTAGGATATTAACAGGTGCTTTTATTTTAACATTGTAGCTGTTAGATTAAGACGTTTAGGTGAGAAAAACCATAACATCAGTGTGTGATTTAGTCACTTTCATCATTCAGAAATATGTATCGTTTTAATATTGTATCAAAAAGACCTTGTCTCTTTCATCTCCTCCACCTGCGTCTTTTAACGTTTGGTAATAATGAAATGTTGCAGCAACCTTGCCTCTCTCATTTCCATCTGCAGATTTTCATGTCTGGTAATCATAAAATGTTACAACATAAACCATACTTGTGTTAACAAACTTTTTTTGAAAGTGGTTAATTCTTATTTGATTTTATCAAAAGCTATTTCATAAAATAAACTGTGGATTCATGGTTATTCGTGGGGTACCAATTTTTGCTGATTTCGTGGGTATAGGGAAACCATGAATTTAAATGTTCAACGAAGTATAAATTTTCATACGCTTGTGTACAAACTTTGCAAAACTACCAAATCAAATATCCTCGAAAATACGATTTTTCCATAATCCACGAAAATTGGTACCCTCGAAAATAGATGAATCTACAGTATTAAAAAGTTGCTGAAACCAAACTCATCAGGGAATATTTATGTAGATGTATGGTGATTGATCAATCTGTTTTAACTGTAGAGCATTTTGATATTTGAATATTAAAAAAAATTTAATTTGGTCTTAATCAAATTTAAAATTGAAATGATCAATTGTAAGGCAATTGAATAACAGAAGGATGGTTGGTGTTGTAATGATAATAATCAAAATTTAAACAGCATGGATTTTAATGAATTTGGTGTTTGCAAATGTTATTCATGGCACATGATGTGGTAACACAATTGTAAAGTAGACCAAAAACTTTATTTGAGATTAAAAGTAATTTACTGCTCCTTAGAAAATAGTTATAAATAGTGACACAATAATTTATGAAATAAACACTTAAGACAGCAATACTGCAATTAGTGATATTCAGCTTCTATGTGAATACTGTGCATTCAGTTTACTTTTGTATTCTATTTTTACCTGCTTAACAACCCATTCTAATTGTAAACTTTCCAAACATTCTCAATATTCCTACAGATCTATCAGCCTGGTACATGTACTTCTTTTATTGTGAATTGTCCTGCTATTTTAAGAAATAAATGTCCAACCTGTTTTTCCATAAAAAGTTCTACTTATTTAGTATTCAGTGGAAAATCAACTGTTTATAAATTGTGTATACATTTTTATGTTCCTTCTTTTTCACATTACTTGGTGAACAAATTGCAGAAAAAGGATGTAATGTTATATCAAATAAAAGGGAGGGGGCGGGAAAATCACTTATATCATTTGCAATTTATAGAAGAAATTACCAGAAAAGTCACTAAAATGATTTGATATTTGATGATTAAATCACATTAAATTTTGTATAATCATTCTAGATACTAATTTAACATATAGTATGTGTAATTGATACAATGGGCACAAACTAATGTATGTAATGCTCATTTTTAACCATCTCATCAGTCAGTCTATTTTGTATTGAAAAATATTTCGATCAAATTAAAATTAGAAAAGATAATTTCTTGAAAAATCCATAAAAATGAAGGATTTCAAATTAGTTTCAGTTTATAGCAAACTGATTTTTCGGTTTGGCTTCAACTTTTGGTTTTGCATAGCTTCTTTTTGCTATGTTCTACATCTTAATTCTGTAGTTCTTGTACCTGTGTATTTTGACTTTATTTTGTTTGGTAATTGATTGTGATTTTAATGGTTTTATATATATATATACATTTATATGATTAATAATTAATTTCAATCAGTCCTTATTCTATTTCTACATTGATTTTCTCACTAATTGATTGACCAGCTTTTGTTATGTTTCTGACTTTATGTGCCTAGGAACAAATACATGTAGTTATTATAATTTTGTTATTTTTTTTAACTTTTATTGACAATTCAGAAGGAAAAAAAGATTATTCTGCATATGATTATTTTAATTGATGACTTTTTAAATTTCAGATAACACCAGGATGAAACAAATACCTGAGACAATTGTTGAAGTGGAACAACGGAAATATAAAGGTATGTAGAATTTAATACAGCTAAAAATGGTTAAAATGTAACTAGGTTCTGGTGTAAAAAGAAAAAGCTAGTTGTGTTTAGAATATTTTATTTGCCAGCAATTTCAGATCATTATTTGAGCTACTTCAGCAAACAGAAAAGTTTCAATGGCTTGTACTGTGAATTGTATAGAAAATATGCATATTTACTCAGATAACATGTTCACTCATTTCAAATTTTAAATTTTTGTTGATTTTCAGGACCATTATTGACCCTGTATGAACCAAGTTCAATACACTTTGTGTAACATATGAAAGCCTTTGTAAAAAATAACATGTTATAGTTTGTCTGTTGTGACTAAATGTTAAATAATATTGTTATTTTTAGGTGATACATTATTTATTTAAAGTGTGACTATTAAATGTTAGATGATATACACCTTATCGCTATTTGTCCGCCATTACTGGACATCACACAAGTTCCCGTAAAATTTTGACGTCATAATAGAAAATGTCTGACGCCACAATGGAAAAGTGATTGTTGTATGACGTCAAAAGTTTGAGCGGGACAGATTCTCGGGTCAAGCGGGAATAGCGATAAGGTGTATTGTAATAGTTCTTTAGGTGATACATAATTTAAAGCATCTTACTAACACAGATTATCATAGCAGAAGACATTTCTTGTTTTGGATATTTAATGTTTTATATGAAATCTAGTGACTTAGTTTTAGTAATAATGTCCAGTGGAATACTTTAAATGAAATTCATGAATAACAATTTGTAGGAATGTGTATGATAAATCATTTTGATTTTAGCATTATATATTATTTGTTTATCTCTAATTCTTAGCCGATTTACCCTTTTCTTGACCTGTTGATTTTTTTATTTAATCAACGAGTGGTTCATTTGGTTTCAGTTCTTCATTAGTGATAATTCAATTATGATGTTAAATTTTCTTGCTTTCCTCTATATTTCCTATGGTGACTTAAATAAAAAAGGCGACCTGAAGCCTGAAAGTTTGTCTGCATGGTCTAAAAATCATTTGAGAAACAGATTCTACCACCAAACCTAGTGCAATACCATATTTCTCCACTCTCAACAGTTTAATTTTAAATATTTAAAAGGCTCGATGAGCCTTGCATCTTAAATTTGAAAATTTAACTGCCTAGAGTGGAGAAATTTTGTTTTACTATTGATGCAGTGGTAGAATCTATATATATCTTACTGGTTTAAAGTGCTAAATCTGCAACATTTCATTATATTTTATTTTCATTCTGAATCCAAATATGCATATTTTTTTTTCTGGTTGTTTACTTAGATGTTAGACTTTTAAGGAGAATTTTTATTCTGATTCAAAATATGCAATTTTTTTTCTGGTCGTTGACTTAGATGTTAAACATTTAAGGAGAATTTTTATACTAATTCAAAAACATTCAAATATTTTTCTGGTTGTTTACTCAGATGTCAGACCTCTGAGGAGAAAAGGAGATACTAGTTTGAATGAAAGTCTAGATCAATACAATAAACAACAGTCAATACACACAGGAAGTGTCTCATCAGAGACCATATCTAAAACTCAAGGAATGGAACCGCAGCAACCATCAGCAAAACCTTTGAAAAGTAGGGACTCAAAACAGGATCTGCATCAAGTAAATAGAGCTGATTACATTTCCAGAGCAATGACAGTTGGGAAAGGGGTCAACAAATTTGAAAAGTCAATAAAAAATCAAAGAATGAATTCTTTAGCCAGTCAGGAATATCCTTACCAACCAGAACCACCACAGAGTGAAAGAACAGAAATGAGCAGACGGCAGTCATATGCTTCAAATATTGCCAGTAGAAAAAGCTCTCTTCATCCAAATGATGCTTTTCATGAGCCATATGGAATGGAAAGAGCATTGTCTCCTGCTCAAATGCCCCTATCTCACCATATGGATCCTATGTCAAAACGACCCTCAATTCCAGTAATTAATGAACCAAGGAAGAAACCATTATCTTTCAGAATGTTAGGAAAACTTGGAACCTTAAAATCCCTGGACATTAAAATGGAGGAGCATAAGCCCTTTAGTGGCATTACTTTCAAAATGGTGGCAACAGCAATGACAAATTTTCTAACACAACAAAATTTCATACTGTCTGGACTTGCACCAAAAATTTACAAACACAAACCTAAAATGAAATTTGATTGGGCGAAATTTCGCCATTTTGTTCAATCAACAAAAGCATTTGAAAATCCTGTTAATAATGCTACCAGAGTGTTTCAAATGAAGGCACCACCTGTTGTGGCCGGTAAACAGACAATTAACCAATACATGAGACACTTTCAGGAAATGGCAGATGACAATGACAACAGTGAGTATGAAGAGAACAATGTTCTTCATCCACCAAATGGAACTAGAGGACAATTTAGAAGGCATCGGAGGATGTCAAGGTCACAGGAGGATATACCTCATCCCGAGAACAGTAACTTGTCTCCTTATCCAAATCAAAGGTATAGACGAGATGGCAATGTTTTATCTCGCCTGCCTCGATCTTTTGATGGTCCAAGTCCTGATAGGATAAAACGATATCCAATCATGTCAGGTGCCCGTAACATTGAAAGAAGTAGGGCCAGAACTCCTAGATATGACACAGATACTCTGAGACGTAAACAAGACTATTCTCCATCACGTCATGAGAGAGATCTATCAAGGCCAAGAAGTTTTACCCAACAGGATTTCGACCAGTTCCTTCATGAACAAGGTATGCACAATAACTATCCAGAATATGAGGATCCTGATCTTTATTATCATGGTAACTATGGAAGACCAGGTCGTGGACGTGATGATCAACCAGGAAGAGATGATGGATATTGGGATGAAGATGATGAATCATCAGAAGATTTTGATCCTTTGCCTCCATGGCAACAAGAACTTCCACATGGGGAGAGATATAAAATGTTACCACAAGGGTATAACACACGGAGGCCAAGGGAAAGACATTCCCCTGGTCGACATGGAAATATTGTGCATGATAGCAGTCCTGATGAGGTTGAGAGACGTACCGATAGAAGCAGACGGTCTTCACATTACAGGTATAATGACAGGAGTCCAGAGGATGGTCAAAGAAAGCCCTACAGAAATCATGAGGGTTACTATAATGCTAGTCCTGAAGATGATAGAAGGGGCTACTTTGGTAAGCACAGTAGTCCAGAAACCACCAGAAGAGACATAGTCAGTCACAGAGGTCAAGACAGATCAAGAAGGGAGTTTTTAGATCCTAAATATGATGCTGATGAAATGCTGAATAGAAGAAGTTCATCAAAAGAAAGAAGTTCAAGATTGGACACTGAAAGGTCAAAAAGTAAGCACAAAATATACGATGAGGAATTATCGGGAAGAGATATTAGTCCTAAGGAAAGAAAGAAGAAATATAAACATAAGAAGAAGAAACCAGACGCGCCAATGACACTGAAAGAGTACAACAAATGGCGGGATGATCAGAGTGACAGTGACAATACAGACAAAATAGATGCAAAAGATGTTAGTAAAGGACTACAGTGCTTGGACACATATGGAACCATGTTCAGAAATCAGCTTGTATTGGATGCCATTGCTGTTGAAGGTTTGTCCAAAGTCAATGTTGTCTGCAAAGTTCACAGGTCACAGTGATGCAAGATCACTGCTCAATGAAGCAATCACAAGTCTTAAGTTATCTGCATGTTATGATCGGTGAAGTTCACAGCTGAATTGGATGAAAATGTCGTTATAACAGCAGCATGTCACGTGTTAATTCATTATGATCACTTTCAATAATTGATTAATTTTTTTTTTTAATTTCAGAATGATATTCACTTGATGTTTTGACATTATTTATTTCATTTGATATGTATACATGTTGTGTCTGATAAATAGAGCAGATTCTATGCGTCTTTAAAGCAATTCAATCTGAAGAAAAAAATTTCATTGGTATTGATAATGTTAAAAAATTCTGCAGTCTGCAGATGTATAGAATTGGAAAGATCAAACCCTCAAATAATAGATCAGTGATTGCTTAGGAAGCATAAAGATATTCGTTCATATTCAGTTAAAAAAATGTGCATGTACTTATATCTTATTTCATTGTCTTCACTGATGATATAAAGAATTTCAGCTTGATTTACAATAGAATTTAACAATAAATTTGATCTGTAACAAGCATTTGTTGAAGTACAATGATGGCCAGTAATCCTGTTTTTCTCTCTCTCTGTAAATCATTTAATTAACATTATGTATGTCAATGAAATGCACAAACTTTCCAGGGTAACAAAATTACATTTACTTAATGGAATAAGAGCTTTTTAATTCCAGCTATAAATACAATTGGTTTTAATCATGAACAGATATATCATGTTTAAGAAAAGTATTTGCCAATCTGGCTAAAAATATAGATCCTGTGTCAATGCTTTGCTTACAAGGATCTGACAACACTCTGTTCTACTTGCCTTTCTGGTAAATATAACCTACAGCCAATGAAAGTTCAGCCTTCAAATTTTTAAAGGTGTATACCTTTATGATGACAAAATCTTCAAAACAGAAAGTAAAACGGAGAACTCATTGTTAGATCCTTGATTGAAAGCAATGACATAGGATGAGCCGCTAGATGTAATTAAACAGATATATCTTGGTCAGGTGGGGTATTTGCCAAAAATAACTGTCTTGAGAATTAAGTTCTGAGCACCTTGTTAATATTTTTTTGCTACTGGTCAGTATAACTTAAACTTTGCTCTGGAGTTGTTTGTAAGGAATATTCCTTTACCCTTAATCAACCTGAGATATGTCGGATCAATTTTTTCAACAATTATTACTGGGACTTGACTCTCCACCTATTGCAGTTCATTCAACATTCTGACCCAATTACAATTTGTTTTATCAAACCAAACTGGTCAACTGGTCAACAATTTTAATCAACGGCTGTTAAAACCACAGTCAAGTCATCAAAGAGCAAGCTGATGAATTCAAGCATATTTACAATCATATAAATTATATTTTAACTCCACTTCAATGATATTATTAAAATCTTGCTAAAAATTTCTATACATATAGTTATTTTAAAGAGTAATTTGAAAGATGAGTAGTATAGACATTTTATAGCAATAGGTGGAGAGCAACACTTACAGTCAAGTCACAGTAGTGATCATACAATATCTACAAGTAGGATTTAAGGGAGGTGCGAACCAGGTTAAAGTGTTAAAAATCATATACCAAAAGTTTTGTTTTTAGATGATTTAAAAATTTAGTTTCATCTAAATATTTTAAATGACATTACAACAAAGTGTATTTAATGGGGATTTAGTGTACAATTATTCATACAACTTCATAGGTGTTAATTCCTCCTAAATACTGTAGGTTTTGTTTTTTAAATCCATAGTCATCTTGACCTTATTTTCTTATAACAATGTATACCAAGGATTATAAATACATTAATAGTTGTATAAACAAAATTTTGAAAGTACTTTTTATGATAATTTTCAGATGAATCTGAGGGTAAGTGGAAAAATCAGCAATGCATTTTTTATGTAGATCTAACCCTTTTGTTTTCTTTTCCTCTAACAATTTGACCTTTCTTCACATTTTTATGTTGTAGTATTTGTTTTATAGTGACTTACGTTCCTATTTTACATTATTGTTGGGTTTTTTCACAAGTAAAATAGTTCCAACTATATACATATCCTCTTTCAAGTGGTCAGATCAATATTGTTATCACTAATAACTATTAAAAATTGACAGCTGTTGAAAGTTGAAATTCACTTTTTTTTTTTTATTAAAACTGATTAAAATTTGCAGTTTTAACAGCACTAAATTATGTTACTAATAAGATACGAAGAAATGTATTTTTGGAATATTTTAGACCTAAAATTGAAGTTTAATTAATATTTTACATTCTGAACCTTAGGCCACACCAATTTGATTTTTAGTTTTTCGGACAAAAGCTCCAAAAAATATGGGGCGAGCGAGCAAAATTTTTTTGATTGTATTTATTTCTTGAAAATGAGTTTTGTTGAGGCGGGTGCTCTACAAGTGGAGCGAGCGGTATAATTTTTTTTTAAATTGTGCGATTTATAGTATTTGTACATGTTAAAACTGGGTTACTTCAAAGAAAAAGGAGAATAAACATGCTCTTATGCATATAATTTAAGTTGATGTATTTGTGCCTGTAGTACATTCTGTACCATACCCAACTTTTTGGTTCGCTTTGGTTTAGAATAATTTGGATTATTTTCGTTAAATAAGCTTTGACTGCGTGAATTTTCATTTAAATTCATACACGTGTATATATTAAGGAAGCATATCAGATGCAGTTTAGCAAGAGGAATTATGTTTGTTAGGTAAATGAAATATGTTGAATACAATTAAAATATGTGTATGTATTCCAAAAAAATGCCCATGAAAAATATTAAATATCTTTTGATATAGTTGTTTTCATTATATGGTAATGATTGTTTATTGGCTGCTTGACATCCAGTTGGAACTATTTATCAATAATAGGATCAACATAATGAGTGAGGTGAATATTTCAACAACATCCTGAGTAAGATAATTATATTGCTATGCATGCAGATCTCAATGTATTAAAACATTTAATCCCGCTGCAAATGTTTGCACCTGTCCTAAGTCAGGAATCTGATGTACAGTAGTTGTCGTCTGTTTATGTAGTTCATACGTGTTTCTCGTTTCTCGTTTTTATATAGATTGGACCGCTGGTTTTCCCGTTTGAATGGTTTTACACTAGTAATTTTTGGGGCCCTTTATAGCTTGCTGTTCGGTGTGAGCCAAGGCTCCATGTTGAAGGCCGTACCTTGACCTATAAGGGTTTACTTTTATAAATTGTTACTTGGATGGAGAGTTGTCTCATTGGCACTCATACCACATCTTCCTATATCTATTCCCTTAAAATACATTTAACCACATTCACATGCATTATTCTGACTTAGCAAAATACTTTTTCCTTTTGCCCCTGAAACCTGCAATTAATGTATTTCAAACTGGAAGTGGTTGCACCAATAACACATCCCTAATTATTATTAGCATGCCAATCCCATTACCACCACTTTGGTCTCGAATGTTGGAACTCTTAAATTTTCCCTTACAAAAGAGTTCTGATTGCATGTCAATAGACTAACAAGGGGATATGGAGTTTTCATTGAAATAAGATAAATCTGTCATTTTTCAAAAATTCATGTGAATTTAATATTAATTTCATCCAAGACAGATAGCTCTAGATATCTATGTCTGTTGTAGTCCTAGATTACTCTGACCAGTCTGACGTCCAACGGCTGTTTTGTCAGACAAGCTGGGGCCGTGGGACAACAGCCCCCGCAACAGCCCCCATCTTGTCTGGCAAACAGCTGTTGGACGTCGGAGTAATCTCCGACTATGTCTGTTGAAACAATGATCGGGGATGACAATGGTTCTAACAAGTACTAATGTGATCGTGGTCATCTAATGAAAGATTTTTTATTTTTGTCTCTTAGAACAGATAAAACGAAATGCATTTCAAATTACTGTGTGTTTAATAACTACGTGTCCTCGGCAATGATCTGACACAACTTCATGTTGGCATCCCGATTTTTGACCTTTTATTTACAAATCGATTTATCACACGTGTGTTTGAATCGCTTGGAGCAATATATGCACGAGAAAAACGTCTAAGAGAAAAAAAAATGTCAAGGATAAACTAATTTTGGAGCGGCATGTGGCCCAAAAATTGGCGGAAGCGGTAATTATTTTTTTTTATTGAAAAGTCAATTTCTCCAAAACAGGAGCGGGAAAATCCAAAGAACTATCAATCAAATTGGTGTGGCCTTATATTGCTGACATTAATTAGTCGTATTATCTCGTTAGGCTACATGTTTAGGAAGAAAGAGTTAGGATTAACTATTTTTTAAATTACCAATTAGTGTGATAATAATTACCTGTTTGGACTTGGAAGTTAATCCCTTTTTAATTGATTGTATATAAGTTATAACAGAACTATAAGTATTGCATGTTTATGTTTATGATAATATTTCATATGAAACAGAATTACTCATACTGACATACAACATAGCTAAGACTGAGCAACACGCACACCAACAAATAACAAAAGGTGATCTCAGTTTAAATTGCTGAATGTATTCAGTTATCATCCTGGCACCAGGTATATTTAAAGTACAATTTATTGGAAAGCTGCTGCAACAGGTTTGAGAAGCAAAAGGCTGTACGATGACCTATAAATCTACGTCAATGGGAATTTTTTGTCTCACTGTCAGTCTTGCCACATCACCTTGTTTTTAAAGGCAGACATTCCTTTGCAAAATTAAGTTACCTAAATTTAAATGTTTTGTATAACAAATTCTTTTTTCAAATCAGAGGCAGATTTAGGGGGGGGATTTTTTTTAATAGGTTTAATTGTTATGAGAATATTGCAAAACAATAATTCAAAATTTTAAATGAAGACAGCAGTTATTTTCTAAAACAGCACCATGCACCATGCAATATTACATTGACAAAAATGCTGTAAGTCTGCTTGCATTTAATGTAGACTCCTTTTGCACTATATTCTTTTTTGGGCAAATGCATGATTATATGTCATGTTTCATCATTGGTGTGGTAATTTATGTTTTTTTTCCAGTCAGTAACAATTAACATATTCAATCTGTTTTGTGTGTCCTTGTGTTTTGAATTAGATGTAATGAGGGGTATATTGGTTTATTAGAACTTTTTGATATACAAAATATTCAGTTTTGATATGGTTATGAAACATGTAAAGTATATTGTAATAAGGAATTTTTTTATATCTTATATATGTAATTTAATACATCATCGATAAACAAGAAATTTGATTCTAGACTTTGCTACCTGACTTTTTTAAAACTCTGTTGTTTTATGTCTAAGTTTGACACTTCTAAATATAATAGAATTCCTTCATACATTTTTGTATTATTCAAAATTAACAGTAAACTGTGTATTCTACAAGGATCACCAGTCCTTCATCTTTCATCTGATACCTTAATTGCTAAAATAGATGCTACATAGTTTAAAATTTACCCTTATTCGTAGGAACTATTTTGTTTTAAATATGTACTACTTTAAATATGTTCTTTTTTGAATGAGCCCGATTAGGTAGTGTTACATCTTACAAAGTCTATCCACATTATTTTTGCAAAAAATTCCGCTCAAGCCAGTGTTAGGGGCCGTCTTAAACTTGCAGTGAGGTGAGAGGGTTTTTTTTTTTTTTTTTTTTTTTTATTGCTTCATGTTGAAGGCGTCACTGTGACTTTGAGATGAAGAACATCAATAAAAGTGCTGTTCCTTTGCTTTTTGTGTGTTTTTTTGCTGTGCATGTACTGATTTTGTGTCATGGATGGATACCCATATCCTTTGTTTTTCTATTATAATGTACAATCTTATGTCATTTCTGAAGTATAATGTGTATTGTATTACTATTATTATTATTGTGTTTTTCTTTTATAATTGATTTCTTTGATTTTTTTTTCTCACTTAACATTCAATTTCTGTAAGAGTTGTTGATTTTGAGCAGGCAATTACAGTTCAATTTTTTTTTAAATTCAAATGAGGCAAAAAGCAAGTTATTTAAAAAAAAAACCAATTTATGCTAACAGAACATTTTGAAATTGTTGAAAATTTTCATGAACTCTTGGGAATATTAAATTGTAATTTTGGATTGGTGTTTAAGTAATTAAAATTACTTTTGATTCTTTCTATAGATATCTCTACTGACATTTCGTTTGGAAATAGTACTCAAAACAGGCAATTCTTAATTGTGCAAAATTCCATATTTTTTGGGGGTTACCGGTACTTTAAAAACATGCAAGGAAAACACTTGTGGAAAATAGACATTATTGTTGAGAAGCATCCTTGACCATGTTGACAGTTTGGTCTATAACCCTTTTCATGAAATAAAAAAGATTTGGAATAAACATCAATGAGTAAACAAAGAAACAATAGCAGAGTACCAAAAATAGAAGCATCAGGGGTAGTCCAGTGGTTGTTGTTGGTTGCCAACTGTCATAATTGTTTTTGTTTAATGTTGTTTACCTAAATCAACCCCTTAGTTGTTCTTTTAGAATTATGTAACTCTTAGCCATCAGGGGCTTTTTATAGCTTACCATTTGGTATGGGTTTTGGTCATTACTGAAGGATTACTGTTACTTGTAGTTTACATCTCTTTTCCTTGTTTTATGATGGATAGTTGCCTCATTGGCAATCATACCACATCTCCTTATTTTAAAAGCAAGAGATCAGTGTAATGATAGAAATGCTTTCAAAACATCCTATACATTTTTCTCCCTTTTTTAGACCAAAGCAGTATGACAGATGATGCAAAGAAACGTCCTAGGAAAAGACTAGCTTCAATGTCAGAAGAATCTGAAACTGAAACTGAAACTGAAAGTAGTGAAACAGAGACTGAAACCTCTGAAAGTGATTCAGAAACAGAAACTGATGATTATGCCATCCCAAGTGAAGGAAGTATGGTTGTCATGGATGCACAAAGACCATATGATGAAGTCAGAGTTCAAAGACGTGAAAGACGTGAGAGAGAAATTGTTAGAGGTAGCTCACGGAGACTGAAGGAATTTAGAAGTGAGGGTGTTGAAACATCTGGATATTCTCCAAGACCTCCAGATACTCCAAGATCCAGTCGTCATTCTGGAAGTAAAAAGCAGAGAACAGCTATTCTTGAGGTCCAGGATGAGGTTGAACTGAATAGTAGTACCGTGGAGAGGCATGGCAGCATGCATGAAGAAAGGCAGGTAGCAGTCCCTGGAGACAAGTTGGGAATCAGTAGAAGGAAAATCATTGATGAAGGAATGGTAATTTATTACTTTAATGAAGTTATGGATATTAAAGAGATATTAAATGATGATGATATAGTTAGCTATCCTAGTATAAAAACTTTATGGATAGCTTGATTATAAAATACATAAAAATGGTTTCTTGTACATAAACAAGACCTTTGCTAATTTTGCTTATATTATTTGATTGACTCGACCATTTCTAAAGCATTATACATTATTTCTTTAAAAAGAAATTTATCATTTATGACAATGTTATTATTTCAAACTTCAAGCAGTGAAACACTTTCCTGAGGTCATTCGTCAACAGAGTGGTGGAATTTTTTATCTACTACATGATTTTTTTTCTGATTATACAACAGTTTATTAGCGTTAAGGTATTTCTAATTAAGAGTTTTCAAAAGGAATTAACACTTTGACAAAAAAAACATCAATAACAATTTGAGAGTAAATAAAACTATTAAATGACAATATAACTAAAAAGATATACATCTATACTCCAGAAATATTAGGTTTATCAGAGTTCTCGAAATTAGAAAAATTGTGTTTGTGCTTTCCTAAATTTTGGTGGTCAAACCTTCGGACCACCACTTTTTGAGAACTCTTGGTTTATATTGCCTGTATGATAATGACATTTAATTACAGATGATAAGTAGTGATGGAGATGGAATTCTTCCAGCACCCTCTATCAGCGTTGAAAGTCGTGGTAAGAATGGTCTTCGTGTGTGTTGGGATAGTCCAAAAACTCCTGACTCTAAATATAAACTGTTGCTGCATGTCGTCAACATTGTTGGGACAAAGTTTGCCAAAGAAATCCATAACAGCGATATCAGGTTAGTTTTACAAAGTCTCTCCCAAAAACTGTGGATCTGTATTTTTGTTGTGAATTGTAATGGAAATAATCATTGAACGCCTATGTAAGTTATCAAATTTTTTCATGTCTCACTGAAAAACAGTGGTTCTGCGACTCTTTTCACAAAAGTCTTACGAGAAAAATACTTGTAAATTATTGTATTTTATTTTAAATTTCAGAATAACTTAGAATCAATTTTTGTTGTAAGATTTTTGTGGAAAATGCCCCTGTATTTGTGTGTGGTAAATGGTAATTTTGGTGGTATGCCTATTAACCATTTTATATTTCTACTGTTGTTATAATTTTTTTTTTGTATGAGTCTTGATATTGATGGATGTTCCAGTAAAAAGTAAGTGGGGGCTATTAAGGCATATTTTTAGAAGCCTACCACCTACAGAATATTTAATGATACGTTTACCACTAAAATATGTTCTAGACCCAAACATCCATAAAAATAGTTTTTATTGAACATCCTCAAGGAAGAAATGTGCCGTTTAAGTAATACAAATCTCTCTCTCTTGCTGTTGAACAACATATTAGGGCCTCGCCTAGTGGCGGGTCACCCTATAGTGATCAGTCTGTCTGTCCGTAACAAATTGTGTCCCTCTATATCTAGAGAACCGTTATAATTTCATACTTTATACTTGACATGTATATTAACCAACACCAGAGGGTGTGTCATAATGTTTGTACAACTTCCTAGGTCAAAGTTCAAGGTCAGCAGGGCCCACAGAGATGACTCCCATCTCAATGATGTCTAGTTATTCGATGTTCTTCTGTGACAGATAATTTGAAACCACCCACATATCATTAATTTAATCATGACATTGTTGCACATATAAGTGATAGTGTTTTTATACTTTTTTATCACTTGGAAAAAATTTTGTTTATGTATATAGTTTTTACATATGTTAGGAAAATGTTCCTTTTTAATACAATATTTTTTTTCAGTTTTGAATGTAACTTGGTTGAGCATAATAAGCCAGTGAGAGGAACACAACACTGCTGGAATATTCAAGATAAAAATAAGTGTGACATCAAGGGATTGGTGTCTGGTATGACCTACAGGTAAATACTTATTTCATTTACAGATGTAAAATATCTTCTGTAAAAATATATAATTTGTATTAAAATATTGTGTTGGTGGGCAACATATGACAGTATTTAAATGAAGACCTAACCCGTTATATTTGTAATTTTTTCAATGATCATATGCTGCAGTTATTGTTATTATCAAAGAAATACACATATTCATATAAAAATAAGAAGATGTGGTATGATTGCCAATGAGACAACTCTCCACAAGAGACCAAAAGAAATTAACAACTATAGGTCACCGTACGGCCTACATGTATATATTAGGGATGTCAGTTTGTTTCAAAAAAGTGTAAAATGCCTATAATTCACATTTTGTAGGTATTTTTCCAAGTGAAATAATTTATGGAACTATTTAAAGGGTTTAACGTCCATAAGACAACAACCAACAAAGAAGACCATAAGTTCACATCTTCGATATCTATTTTAAGATTTATCATGAATAAGAGGAGATGTAGGATAAACATCAATGAAACAGCAACCCAACAACACAAAAAAGACAATTAGAGGTCAACATTCTTGTTTTGTTTTGTTGCTTTTGTATTCCTCCATATTTCCTTTTTAATTATACAATATTAGAATGCTAATTAATAGTTTTACATTACATTTATTTCAGGGTATATGTTATTGCCAATTATACAATGATACATGGAGAACAGCCATGTGAAATACAGACCTCTTCATCTGTCATCTATTATACCACTGTTGGACCACCACGTGCACCTAGACTAAAGATTGTCAGTGTAGATATGTACCAGGTAAGGGCTGTTCCATTAAAACAGATAGACAACAGTCCACGAAACACTACAAGAAACACTTCACAAAAAAAACACCAGATTGAGCAGTATGACTTGAGATTAAATTGGTGCAAATTTTTTCTTGTGTTCTCTATCATTTTTTCTCAATTTTGTAAACCATTCATTAGAAATACATATATAAAGGCAACATTTTGTAATTCATAACAAAGATATTATTTGAAGTTGAAATATGACCAAATGGATTTTTCAACGTCAGTGAATTTATGGCAAAATGTGAAGTAATTAAAAATAGAAAACAAAAGCTATATACTAAAACAATAAACAAAAAACAACTCTGACACAACCAACAACAACCACTGGATTATAGGCTCCTGGCTCTGAACAGACACATAAAGAATGTGGTTGGATTAACCAGGTTTTCAAGAGCTAAACCTAATCAGTCAACAGTCAATGAAACATTGCCCTAGACACTATACAGTAAAATAAAGATTGACAGTGGTATAATGGCACATCAAACAAACAAATTAGTTGGAAAGGGATTGACTAGTCAGATTGGTACAAAAAGGTAGTTAAGTCGTTTCTATATTTTTATTTTTAGAGCTTATATTTTACGATGTACCCGGTATGTCTCATATAAGTTTAAAGTAAATTATTCACTTTACTAAAAAGTCAGCAGACGTATATAAATTCTCAAAAATGATAAGCACATTTATTTTTTGAAATTTTAATTTTATGGAGCAGACGTTTAAAACAGAAGTTTATAGTGATAAATAATAACAATGAACACAGTTTTTTCTTTGATTTAAGGCTTTGATAGAATGGGATCAACCAAGTTTCCACAAAGACTTACAGATCCGAGGATTCCAGATTTATGTAGATAATAAACCCTTAGGTCGAGTGAGGAATAAGGATACCAGACAAATGCTGATCAACAATATGGTGGCAGGTAAGAGTTATCTTTCCTTTTACTTTCTTTTTACAATTAATTCAATCTCAAGAGAACGACATTAGAACGATCCATACATACATATGAATTCATTATTAGGTATTAGAGATATCACATACATGGGTACTTCTTCTAGGGGTGTTTAACGACCTCGACTACACATGAGGGTCTCGCACAGTCGGTACATTGATACAAATCATCAACCATTATAAATGATAAGAGTTATCTCCCATATCATGTCTCAAAAGGTTAAAAATGCTATATTCTTGTTCAAAAACATGTCTGACACCTGTAATTAAAATCACAGTGATTTATTAATGAATAGATATGATAAGTTACTTACATCTACATGTATTTATTTGTAGAATGATAAATATTATTTTCCTCCATTGTACTAAATGTTCAGTTTGCTTCACAATAATCATATTGAATTCATGGCATGTCTAATGTCAGCCATTTTAATAATGATTTATAATCTCAGAGAAATTGTGCATTCATACCTTCCTTATTCTTTCTTGATAATAGGTAGAACTCTGAGTGTTTATGTGGTGGCTGTTGCCAAACAGGGTAGCATTGAGAGTGAGCCTTCACGTAAACTCCACATCACCTGTCCAAGGAGGCCACCTGCAGTTGCAATTACCCAGCAGCCCTCTCATAAAGCAGGATGTGTATTAATTTCCTGGAACAGACCAGAAGGACATACTTATTCAACTAATGAGGAGGATATTTCATTATACGGGTAGGTTATAATGTATAAATGTGTAATTATAGCTCTGTGTTACATATAAACTTATCAAAGATAACAGTTTATAATTTTGTATGCCAGCATTACGTCTACTATAGACTCGTCAGTGGTGCTCAAATAAAAAAAGTTAAAAAGCCAAATAATTTATGAAGTTGAAGAGCATTGAGGACCAAAAGTTCCAAAAGGTTTTGCCTAAAACAGCTAAGGTGATCTATTCCTTGGGTAAAAAAATCCTTAGTTTTTTCAAACAATTCAAAGTTTTGTAAACAGTTTATTTATAAATATTACCATATCAATGATAAATATTTGAGTCTTCATTAGTGCTTATTAAACAATCAGATAAGGACATATTTTCATTTGTTTTCAGTCACTACATATCTTTTAGTCCAGAAATATTTTTTTCAGAATTTATTTGGATGGTAAATGGTATGGAAAAATCACAGCGAACAAAGCCAGCAACCGCCATGGTTACCAGTACTATTTGAATGACCTTCCCCCTGAACAGACATATGACATCAATGTCAAGGCCATAGCTGGGTACAATAGAGTTGACCCTGATAGTTCACATGTATTCTCACTCAGTGATAGTCCAATGTCAAACTCACTACCAGTGTCAGCCCCTGCAGCCCCTAAATCTCCCAAACTTATGCTTGAAGGACTTCACATAGATGGAATAGATGTCAGTTGGCAAGCTCCTCAGCAGTTTGGTGATGCTTCAATATCTGTAAGTTTGCATTTTGAATAAAACAACTAAAAAGGGAAACTACTGGTTATATTAAATCATTGCATTTTTGTTACATTTTGATGTCTAGTCAAAGAATGAAAACAAAAATCTACACATGTCCTCTGTTGGAATTGTTGTTGTTCATTTCTATTACAGAAAAAAATTATTAATTAAGTGACAAACTTTTAAAAATATATATGTTCCGGACCATATGAGTATTTGGACCATACGCGTATTGTCATGACCATAGGGGTATAGGTCCGGTTTATTAACACGATGAACTTTGAAGAGATGTCCCATAGATTAAGAGTTTCTAAAACCAAAATGTTTACTTATTCAATCATATTTTAATCATTGTTACATGATTAATGAAATAAAGTGAATTTTACTTATAAGTAGGAATTATAGTAAAATTATGTTTACATGTTCATTATTGATTTGTCCTAACATTTGTACGAAACGCAATATGTCGACTTATGAAAATAACTTCAAGAAATAACTAAATTTACTGTTAAACAAGAACTTTGGTCATTGAACCCTCTTTCTTTTCTTTTTTAAAATTTATTTTGGTGTTTCTATTTAAATTAAAATTTCTTAAATATTTCAAATTGTTTTTAGTTATCTAATGTGTTCTTGCTCCTATTTATACAATCTTACAATAACAAAAAAATCATATGAATAGTAGGAAAGAACACAATTATTAAAAGAAAATAAGTTGAGATTATTTAAGAATTTGTATACCCCCGCATTGAAAAAGTGGGGGTATACTGTTTTACCTCTGTCTGTCCGTCCGTCCATTCGTCCATCCGTCCGTCCGTCCCATGAATATTTTTCGTCGCATCTTTCTCAGGAACTACATTACTAGGATTTCTGAAATTTGGTTTCAGGGTTTATATGATTCGCCTATACCGTGTGATGCGTTTTCATATTCATCACTCAACAACTTCCTGTTTACCTTATACTTTTAGCGGGGCGGGGGTATCATTAGTGAGCAGTAGCTCACAGATTCACTTGTTGTTTCTGAAATAATAATTTAAACACTAAGAAAAAAGAAAAAAAGGTCCATGCCCAAAAGGCTGGTGATTTCATTTGTAGACGAAAAAGTGACAAGATAAAATGCTGTAAATTGATTCTAACGAAGAAAAGATAACAGATACACCAAGATTCAGACAATATGTGAAAGTTAAAGGAATTCAGTTAGTGACGTGTGTGGGTTGGGGATCTGAGAATGAGCTGTGTGCTCCTGCAATGCAAGTTAAAATATATTTGAAAAATACCTATATGGCTTAATACTCATATGATCCGGCCCATTAATAACCAAATGAGTAGGATACTCAAAGGGTCCCACCGTGTATGGTTGGACCATATGGATATAAGCATATGGTCATGTACTCATATGGTCCAAATACTCATATGGTCCGGAACATATATATATTAATTCAGTAGATTACTGTGGATTCATTTATTTTCGTGGGTACCAATTTTCGTTGATAACGGAAAACTTGTTTGTTCGTGGATATTTAATTTCGTGGTTTTGCCGAGGTCTGCATACAAGCCTAAAGAAAATTTGTCATTCGTTGAACGTTTAATTTCGTGGTTTACCTGTACCCACGAAATCCAAGAAAATTGATATCCAACGAATAATAATGAATCCACAGTAATTGAAATTTTTATATTTTTTATTATTTATTTCATGATTTATATTTTTGACAATAAAAAAGTTTAAGATTAAGAATGAATAGAATAATAAAGAAAACTTCCAAATTTCAGGGCTATCAAATGTTGAAGAATGGCAAACTTTATGGATCTATCATACCATCAGATGTCAATAGTTTACGTATCAGAGATATTACACTTGGAGAAAGGATAACCCTACAGTTGATTGCCTTGACAGATCATCCTGTTGGTAAACATGAGAGACGACATGAAACAACTGGAGACAAGGATTCTGGGATTGATGGATCAGGACATCCCGAGGATAAGGGTACATCTAGTGGTAGGTATTTTAGAAAATCAAAATGATATTAAAAGATTAATTTCTATATTGTAAAATTAAGGTATGTAAGATTTATATATTTTTTTCTTAAAATAAAAACAATTTGTTGAAATATGTTTCATTCATGAATATTTGCTTGTAGGAGTATCTTTTCAATTAAGCAGCATCTTTAATATTTAGTTTTACACATTTTGGCCATCACAGAAAGAGTGCATGTTGCACATTTAGTGTACCAATAATAGAAATATATATATTTTATCACATTATATCTATAGTAAAAAAAAAGTACACTTATAATTTAATTTTTCCTGTAACACATCTATTTTTATTTATCTTTTATATAGCACGCTTTGATAAACAAAAAATGATTTTGTTTACACAAGATATATTATATAATGGGTCAAACGGATGGCCATTGGTTGATACTAACATCAGTGGTAATTTGTAGAGCTAAAATAAATTGTAGAGTAGCAGTCTGATATATCTTGCTTCAATGCTTTATTACCCATATAAAATTTATATATCTTTTTTTTGCACTTTCACCTATACATTGTTTGGTAAATGAATTTTTGAATTTCAGCAGTAAAATTGACATACATATTCCGAATGATAATGTATCAAAGTTTTTTATAATTAAGGTGGTACCAAACACCTTGACTAAAATTAATTTGGCTCGTTTAATTTTCATAAAATTTTGACAAAATATTTACTTTGACCCTTTGACAAAAATATAAAAATTTCAAAAAAATTGAACCACACACTTTATCGGAAAATTTCATTGGATATATAGCAATTTGACAAACGCTAATTTTGATCTTTGAGAAGCTGAATATTTCCTTAACAATAGAATACGATAAAAACTTTCAGCGGATTTTTACAGAGTTATCTCCCAGTAGTGTTATGTACCACCTTAAATCCAGCTTTGTGCTAGATTGACAAAGTCTTTGTGAAACCCCAACAGGATAAAAAGTACATATTACTATTTTATTCTACATATACATTAATAAATTCAATGCATCAGCAATAAACTCTAAATGGCTCCTTGTCTTAGAAAAGATGTGAATAAATTGACCAGAGACTACTGGTATTTTAGATCTGCAATCAAGACCTAATTCCCAAAACAACAAAAGACACTCACTGAGGAATTGGGACAGGCACATGATCATGTGGTGTAATGTTTACAACAAGACATCCTGAAAGTAATGATTATCTGCATAAAGTGAAATGTTTTCATGCTTTTCCCTATGTATTATGCTAGTTTTTGCCTTTTGATATATACAATTTGTTAGAAAATTTGTATGCCCATGCGTGCTGTTAAAGCTAAATTATTTGGCTATTTTATTTTAGCTTGCTGGTTTGCAGATCTGTTTATCTGATTTTTTCTTAATTTGAAATAAAAAATAAAAATGGTTTTGAAGAATTTTTTTCTTAACCACCATGCATAAAAATTTAACCTGTAATTGTTCAGACTATCTTTCTTAAATAACCAGCACCCATGAGATTTTGATAGGAGTGTCTTCCCATCCCCCCTCAAGTCATTCACAATTTATTCTGGTACAGTCATAACTGGGGTCATAATTGTGGAGGCAAATTTATAAAAATGAATTCTAGCTTTTTCTCTCAGCTTGTGTTTTATTTTTGTATTATAAGCAGTTCTTATCCCTTGTTCCAATGTAGATAATTTATGTTATGGGACAAAAGAGAAGCTGTAAAGCCTCATTTTAAAAACTTGTACTGTAGCCACTTAAATTGTGCAAGTCAATATATTTAAGTCTCCCAAACGAAGTTTGGGAAGACTTATTGTTTTTGCTCAGTTCTTATTATTATTATTATTCTTCTTCTTCTTCTTCTTCTTCTTCTTCTTCTTCTTCTTCCGCCGCTTTTAAATTTGAACTTGTCCGCACCCGTTCTCCAAAACCGCTTGTCAGATTAACTTAGGGTTTCACAATATGTTAGACTAACATGTCTAGTGGTGCAATCAGGGTTTTGTTTGTGCAATGGGGTTTATAAAGGGGTACTTTGAGGGGCAAAAAGAAAAGAGGGTTTTACTATAGAACCCTATGGGATTTTATTTTTAAAAATTTTCAAATGATTATAAATTGAAAACCGTTTGTGATAGACACAATCTTTTTAATTGAAAATGTTCTAAATGATAAAGCCCATTAAATGAAATACAGGGTTAGTCCCCAGGGGTCACCCCCACTCCCTGCCATTTAAAAAAGTTCTAATACCTTGTAAGTGGTCAAGATCCCCACCCCTAAACCATATATATTCTGGTTTGTCATGCTAAGATGGTTTGAATGATATACGGGGTTAGTCCCCAGGGGTCATCCCGACCCCCTGCCATTTGAGAAAGTTCTAATATCTTGTAAATGGTCGAGATCCCCACCCCTAAACCATATATATTCTGGTTTGTCATGATAAAGCACATCAGATGAAATACAGGATTAGTCCCCAGGGGTCACCCCCACCCCCTGCCATTTAAGAAAGTTCTAATATCTTCTAAGTGGTCAAGATCCCCACCCCTAAACCATATATATTCTGGTTTGTCATGCTAAGATGGTTTGAATGATATACAGGGTTATTCCCCAGGTGTCATCCCGACCCCCTGCCATTTAAGAAGGTTCTAATATCTTGTAAATGGTCGAGATCCCCACCCCTAAACTATATATATTCTGGTTTGTCATGATAAAGCACATCAGATGAAATACAGGGTAAGTCCCCAGGGATCACCCCCACCCCCTGCCATTTAAGAAAGTTCTTATACCTTGTAGGTGGTCAAGATCCCCGCCCCTAAACCATATATATTCTGGTTTGTCATGTTAAGATGGTTTGAATGATATACAGGGTTAGTCCCCAGGGGTCATCCCGACCCCCTGCCATTTGAGAAAGTTCTAATATCTTGTAAAAGGTCGAGATCCCCACCCCTAAACCATATATATTCTGGTTTGTCATGATAAATCACATCAAATGAAATACAGGGTTAGTCCCCAGGGGTTACCCCACCCCCTGCCATTTAAGAAAGTTCTAATATCTTCTAAGTGGTCAAGATCCCCACCCCTAAACCATATATATTCTGGTTTGTCATGCGAAGATGGTTTGAATGATATACAGGGTTAGTCCCCAGGGGTCATCACGACCCCCTGCCATTTAGAAAGTTCTAATATCTTGTAAATGGTTGAGATCCCCACCCCTAAACCATATATATTCCTATTTGTCATGTCTCGAACATTTGAATGACGTATACAGTCAGTCCCCAGGGGTTCCCCCCCACCCCCAATCTTCTAATATCTTGTAAATGGTTGAGATCCCCACCCCTAAACCATATATATTCCTGTTCGTCATGTAATGAACATTTGAATGACGTATAGGGCCAGTCCTCAGGGGTTCCTCCCCACCCCCAATGTTCTAGTATCTTGTAAATGGTCGAGATCCCCACCCCTAAACCATATATATTCTGGTTTGTCATGCCAAGATGATTTGAATGATATACAAGGTTATTCCCCAGGCATCACTAATGCATATAACTTTATTGGACCAAACCAATTTTCACTAGACGTTGCCCAATGTCAGGCGACCCTAGGAATTACGAATTATGGGAGCTTCGTTTGGGAGACTTCGTAACAGCATCCTGTTACAATCATTTCTTGTTGACCTAAAATTTTATACAACTTTCAGAAACATTTGAAATATGTAAATTTCAGTGTCTGGGCTTCTTTTGGGAATGATAAAAAAAATTATGATTATTATAGTATTAGATCCAGATATTTCAAAGTGGGAAAGTGTTCTTGCTTGATATTGTTAAATTTTACACAATTTATAAATTTCTGATAAAGAATTGTGAAGTTATTATAATTATTTCAGCCTTTGTTTAAAAATCATAAAAATAATTACAAAATGTTGATTAATATAAGTTTGTTCCTCTGATTATATTTTCTTATTATTTATTTTCAATTCTGGATATTTCTCATGATTTGGCTTTAGTGTTTTTGTCCTCATTAATAAATTGATAGTATATCTATATCTTAAAAGTGGTGTGAGTTTTAAAAAAAAACTGTATTGAAGACCAATTGATGGCCTTGGGCTGTTTTATTGCTCTTTGGTCTGTTTGACACATTCCTCTGTTTCCATTCTCAATTTTAAAATAAAATTTTCCAGATTTGTTCCTTGGTGATCGATATGCTGGTTGCAGACCTGGAGCTAAGTTGGTGGTTCATTACACAGGCCTTGTTCTACCGCCATCAGCAGTCTGGTGTGAACAAGTGTCAGGACACTCAGCATTGATTGTTTGGAACAAAGGTAAGAAATCTATACTTTTTTTATTATTTAGTTTTACAGAAGCCATCACAAGTTGGTCGACCGTATGGAGTATCTGTGTCACAGATGACCATGGATATGTTCGAATTGTCCTTTTTGTCATGACCACAATCCTGACCTCTTTTCCTTGATTGTGACAAGGCCCAATGAGACTTATCTACAATTTTTTACTTAGCATGAGCAATTGTCCATCTCTTTGCATAATTTTACAAGAGTTATCTATTTTATGGCACAGAGTTCTCCTTTTGAGAGAATTACTTGGATTTCTATAGCATTGAAAAAATATGTTAAAAGAGGAATTTATTAACTGTTAATCAAATTATATTTGTGAGTGATTTTTTTTCCTTGTCCTTCAAGAGTAGAAAAATAACGCAAATATAATAGTCGCAAATATGTCAAAAAATGCTTTTTCTCTTATATAAATATAGGAACAACTTTAAAAATCAGTGTATTAATTCACTAAAAAACAGCTCAAAAAAGGCTAAGCAGGAAAGAAACTGTGAAAATAAGTTCGCTTAAAGTGAAACACTAAAAGTTTTAACAGCAGAAATTTTTCATAGTTATGTTCACACATTTTCTTGCAACTTAATTGCATTGGTCAGCTCAAAATGAATTTTATGAACTATTCAATTGATATTGCCCAGGTGAAACATGTAATTTCAGTTTACTTTCCCCGAAATTTACCTGAGCAATTTTGGATTCAACACATTAATTCTAAAGTTAGAGATCTTGATAAAACTAGAATTGCCAGGAAATTAAGGATTTTTGTCTCGCCTTGACGGAGTCAAAAAGCGAGTCATAGGTATGCTGTTTCCAGCGTCGACGACAGCGGCGGCTTCATCAATAATGTATTAGTTTGTGATTAGGTCTAGTTCATGGTGAACCACTAGTGGTAGGTCAATGATATTTGGTATGCAGTTGTATTAGCATTGGCACATCTCATTACCATGGAGATTATTTGGCCCCACCCCCTCAGTCAAGGTCTATTGACTTTGAAACTTTTCATAGTTTACATACATTAGTTTGTGATTAGGTCAATTTATGGGGAACCACTAGTGGTAGGTCGATGATATTTGGTATGCAGTTGTATAAGCATTGGTATATCTCATTTCCATGGAGATTATTTGGCCCCGCCCCCTCAGTCATGGTCTATTTACTTTGAAACTTTTGCTTAGTTTACATGTATTAGTTTGTGATTAGGTCAGTTTAAGATGAACTGCTAATGTTAAGTCAATGATATTTGGTATGCAAATTTATTGGCATTTGCAAGTATCGTTTCCATGGAGATTATATAGCCCCACCCCTGATCATGGTTCATTGCCTTTGAAACTTTTACATAGTTTACAAGTTAATGTTTGTGTTTAGGTTTGTTTAAAATGACGACTTATAATAAGTCAATGGTATATGGTTTGCAGTTGTATTAGCATTGGCACATCTCATTCCATGGAGATTGTTTAGCCATGTACCTTCAGTCATGGTTCATCGACTTTGAATATTTACATAACTTACATGTTTAAGTATTGCTATTTTAATTTCATCATTTACATAATCAAAATTACAAAACATCGAGACATATCTCTGTGATAACAGTTTATGGTATAATTTGATACAAATTAAGGCTTGAATATGTTTTAAAAAAAAAAAGTGAAAATTTGCTGTATAAAGCTTAATGGGAATACCTAAATGAAGGCAGTGAGGGGAGGGGAGAGTTTTGTTTAATTGGTTGGTGTTTAACACCACTTTCAGCACTATTGTGCTATTTCGTGGCAGTCAGTTTTTATTGGTGGAGGAAGTCTTAGTGCCAGGAGAGAACCACTGACCTTCAGTAGGAAAAATGACAATCCTAGTCAATTGAGATTGGAGTTAAGCCCACCTGCCACATGCAGGATTTAAACTTACAACTTCAGTGTTGACAGGTTAGTGATACAGTAGTATGAACACATCGATCACTCAGCCACCGAGGTTAGTTTTGACAGGAAAACACTTATCTCACTACTGAAATTACCCACAATACATCTGATTTTGGAACTGTTTATGATCATCTCTTCCTTTTATTGACCCTTATATTTAAGAATGCAGATTTTTTTTCCTAAAATATTGGTCCATTATACTGTTGTAGTCTTAATATTACATGAGAACAATCATTTTGGACTATTGAATTACATAAGTCTTGCTTTAGATAACCTTTGATAAAAAATTATATATTTTTTTTCCAATCATGTAATATGAGTTCTTATTGTTAGGTTGATATTTTAAACGATTATAGATATTTACCTGAGCATAGTCCATTACTACCTTTTTCCTCTATAGATGAGATGTCCGGGGGAATTAAAAGTGTTTTACAGACACAAGATAGTTGAGGAGCAACAACAAATACTTTTCACTCATTAAATTACAAAAACAATCCTTATAATCAAATCAATTTTAATTTTTTGTCATTAAATGTTTACAGTATGTTTGTGGTAATACAAATTTAAACAAACAAACAATTAACAACAAAATAAAAACAAAACAGTATACAAAAAAGACATAAGTGATAGATTTACAATTTTATAATATAAAAATGAGAAGATGTGGTATGATGTGGTATGATTGCCAATGAGACAACTCTCCACCAGAGACCAAATAACTTAGAAGTTAACAACTATAGGTCACTGTACGGCCTTCAACAATGAGCAAAACCCATATAGATTTTCAATTTAATTAATTAAGTTTAATACTTCATATAAACGATATAAATATTTTGTAAATTTTTTTTTTCATTATGTTTTCTACATGAAAGGATTTCTATTTGAGCTGCTTTAAGTAATAAATGTTTTTCCCTTTCAACTTCTGCAAGATGTTAACTACTTCTATCATAAAAGATTTACAAGAAATAGGACATTTATTGGGTATTGAAGCACCCTAATGACTTGTATTCTGTTTAGGACTAAATACCTCCTCAAGTACATATCTAATATAGACTTTACAAAATAAAATCTGATATGACCCGTGTTATTATCACAGATGATTTTTACTATACGTAGATATATATTGCCACTTAAAAGAATGTGTTGAGTGAGCAAACAATATGTATTCATCTAGATTTAGTATTGTTTGATATCATAAAATCTCAGGAATGATTTATTTTAAATCTGATCCTTATGTTCAACAATTTAAGCATTTGAAGGGCTAGGATAACAACGCTATTTCAAGAGATTGCTGATGTATTTATTTTACAGATAAATTTTAAAAGATTTAGGATCTTTCCTATTGATTTTTTCAAAGCTTAAAAAAAAGTAAAGATCCAAAATGTATGATAAAAACCATTTATTGTCATTGATAATTCATGTGGTGATTTAAAAAAGAGTTGATTATGATTTATTCAAATTGGTCTGAATTATTGAGGTTTTTTTTTTTTTTAATTATTTATACAATGTGCATTTGGTGCAGTAAAATTGGTACTATTAATAATATTCTTATTTTTACATCGCAATGACCTTGGGGTCATTCAGATGTATTGCTATCGCCTAGATTTCCATTATGTAAATTAGTTTTGGGTTTGTAACCGATCTATAAACATGGTAAATATGCGCACATAAACGAATGCAAAATAACATTCCTTATCGTTTGATATAAATACATCTCTTCAATGAATACTGATAAAAATATTTTTGTTTACAAGATAAATTAATAATATGAAAATGTTTTGTAGTTAGATATATATATATAAGTAAAAAATCATTGATAATATCAATGCAGACGTACCGAAAAATTGTGTTAAAGCATGCGGAAGAATATCTCAGAGAACTTTTTGCGAGGACCGGTAACTCTGTAATTGTTTTTGCGGGAAAATATGAATGCCTACTCGTATCCAATCTTAGAAAAATCGAATTTTTACAGAAAAGTGTCCACCATGTATACTGATTTGTATCACTACAATATAATAGTTATTACGGTGAAGTTGAATTTCCTGTAATTTATTCATCATCCACGCACGAACTTGTCTCAGAAAAAAATATATCTCTGTACATTAACCTCAGTTTCAGGTAAAGAGATATGTTGTTTTTTTTCTGAGACAAGTGCTTTTGACCATCCTCAAGAACTTGTGGTCATCCAATGTTCAGTACTTCAGTACTTTGATTCTTCACCCCAACATCAAATTTTCTAATATCTGTCTTTAAAAATTTGGTTTTTATCACTTAGAATTAAAATTCTTTTTTATCAACAATTTACTTTGATTATTGCAAAATTTATAAAATAAATTATATCTCAATAATCTTTAAAAAGGGTATTCGATTGGTACTTTCTTCAAGAGCTAGACAAAATATAAAATTCATTGTTTGAAACTTCCTTTAAAATGTTCCAATAATCTTAAAGAGACGATATTATCACTTCAGATATAAACAATAGCATATTATATTATCATATCAAAATATCGTAAATCGTAGTCACTGTATGGAACAGACAATACTAAAAATGGTAGCCATGTTCACACGATGGTATAATGTTTCTATTGATAGATAGGTACTTATTTCGGCTGTCGTGAATTGATATATATTTATTTGTCCTGTTGTAAAACGACGTTTACTCAATTGAATTTTGATGGTATAATAAATAGTGGGTGAAATCAACCAACAGTTTAGTGGCCGATGAGTGGGAAATGATTTAAAATTAATATTGTGTCACTCAAATTTTGTTTGTTGTTTCCGAACATAATTTTTGACGGATTTCTGATGTATTTGCACTGGTATTGTGTTTGGTACAAAGGATTTATAGTGTTAAGATGGATCAATATTGAAAAGGTTATATCCACGTCAGGTACAATCTTGTGAAGTATGCATACTTATGCATTTCTTTGGATTGAACATTCACCGTGGATAATGTGATTTTTCTCAGGATTTACATCTATTATTTTATATAATGTTCGAATTTTGGTAAGTTTTATGAATTTTATGCAAAGATCACTGTTCACAATTTGACTGCATTAGTAATAGGACACTTTCAATTATCATTAATTTTTATTTTAAGGTTAAAATTTACTAATTGATATACTGGAGAGATTAATTGATCATGTTTTAAAATTGAAGGACTGATACACTGAAATTTTTTTGTCAAGCATTGTATAACAAAATAAGTTTGAGGAATAAAGGTAAACTTGATTTTCTTTGAAATTTTTATCATTTATTATACAGTAAATTATAGATGAAAGAAACTTAAATTTTGAAATTATTTTCTTTGGTAGAATATTATAAAAGGATTTGTTGATATAACACCTTAGGATGTGACATACCGGCAAAACATACAAAGATAATAGTAGAAAAGATTTTTTTTTTATAAAGAAAACCACATTTATAACTTTTATGTCCAGTTCCCTCCTTTTCATCCTGTTAACTTTTGCTACTGATGATGGCAAGATTTGGTTTTCTTTATCTGCATTCTCACAGTATAGGGATTTCTGACACAAATATTTGTGCAAATAATCAGACTACATGAGGATTCTCTTGAAATTTGGTATGACTTAAATGTTATGTAACAAGTCTTGACAAAATTTAGTATATTTTCTTTAGCAAATAATGGAAGAACCTTTTGCTTAGAGACTACCTTTGTATCTGTAAAAGTTGTACAGATTTGAGATATGGGAACCAGTCTAATAAACGTTGATTCATATGTTGGTTTCCTAACAACCCAGTCAGACTAATGCTGGTTATTAAAATGTCCTGTTTATCTGTATTGATCTTAAAATAGGAAAATTAAATTTTTAATATTGATTAATTTGTAGTGTTAACATTTTGCAGATTACATTTTATCTTTTAAATTGTTAAGTTTTAATAAAGTCTGAATTATAAACAAATTAATATAAATCCATATCTAAAATTATAAAAGCTGTAGTTGTTCCGGCATTTAATTTGGTAAGCCTGTTTGAAAGGGAAAGAAAAACAAGTTTAAAAAACAGTATCTATGAAGATGGAGATGAGATAGGAAAGAATAGGAGAAAAAAATATGAATTTATTTGAAATATGAATCTGTTCTTATAGTAAGAGAACAAAAACCTGTTAGAGGATTGATTGATTACTGTTTGCTTAAAATCCAGTGGCAAATATTTCATGCATATTCACTTCAGGAATAGAATGATTAGATTGAATTTTTATTTTCTGAATGACAATAAAATAAAAATGTAATGTTGTTGTCTCTTTGACACATTCCCTGTTTCCATTCTCAATTTTAATTTCAAAATCAGTTGATATTAGTTTAATAATAGAAAAAGTCATTTATGAGGACTTTTTCTATCATTGTAATGTTTTCTACATTTCAAATAAGTATAGAAATTTCATTGTTCTTAATAGCACATTGGGCATGTTAAGAGATATGTCTTCATCATGATTTACTAATTCATTTTTGCTTCATTTGGTAACCAGTTATGATAACTTTAAACAGATTTAAATATCCACCTCACAGTATATACCTAAAAAAATAGCCAGGAGTTATTTATCATTCTTTGTATTGGTAACAAACTGCAAACAGTCTACTTTTGTACATTTGTTAATATTTATATTAAAATCTATATTGCATAGTTGATTTAATTTTGACGTTAATTGATTTTTAAATAGGAGTTTTGTATGAATGTCTTGTGATATACTGTATTTATGAATTAACAATCTACTTTTGTTGCTGTGTAATACGAATCAATAGGGCAACAGAATTCTTTGTACTTTTCAGTTTCATTTAAAAAAGTTTTCTAACCCATTTAATAACAAAAAGAGACCATTAATTGCACATAGAAGGCAATTCAAATCGTGGTGTTTTGATCATTAATTTATGTGTACTGATAAACTCTTAATGGTTGCTGTACAAATTTAGTTGTGTTTAAAGATAATATTATTGACATAGGAAATTTTACTAAGTGAAATCGGTAAGAATGAATTGATAAATATATAGATTTTCAGTCTGTAAATTTGAATTAAAAGGATTAATTTGACTTTCTTAAAGTTATGGATGAGTAATTCTGAATACTGAATCAATGTATTAATTGAATGTTGGTAAGATTTTTAAATAAAATTGAAATATTAAACTTAAATTTTGCAAAATTTGACCAGTTTCCTTTATTTTTGCTTATCCTTGATGAAAATATTGTCGATTATTTCTGCTTTAAAGCATTAGTACATGCGGCTAAATTGAAAACAGAAACAGACAGAAAAAAACTTATTCTTTTATCTGTGATAATCTCTATCATTGATAAATAGAATAGTTGCATGTTATCTGTAAACTTATGTTGTTAGTTTGCTGTCTCATTGATGTTTACCAAACTCTCCTTTGAATATTCTTTGTTTTTCATATTCATACATATTTGAATAAAATAATATTTAAAATCATAAATTTCAATATTTAATTCTTATACAAAGATATTGTATGGTGGGTGGACTTCAGTAACAGAAAAATAATTCTGATTTCTGTAGCCAGGTAGAATGTAAATAGTCGAATGTTGAAATTGAATTCACCTTTTAGATATAGATATTTTCCTTTAGAATTAGAATAGACATAAATCAAACTGAAATAAGATGTTCTCAAGTGCTTGAAAGACCCTTTTCAATCTTAAATCATAAATTCAAAGGACTAAATATGATTTAGAAATAGGTATATATGTAATTCATATTTACCAAATTTATTGTAACACTCACTTTGAATAGGTCACACAAAAAAATTAATTCAAAGAAATGATATACTGCAGAGCATGAAATGCAATGAAATTTATTTCTTTATTGAAATACATGGGACAATTTTAGAAATTTCATTTAGTTGGTACTGCCGTGTACAATGTTAATATAGAAAACTAGGCAGAAAGACTCTTTATCATTTGAAATAAAAAAAAAATATATAAATGTTCATAATGAGATTTTATAGTACTGATACATCTTATGAAAACCCTTGTTTGTACCTTATGCATATATTCACAATATACATGTATTATAGGAAAAAATAAAAATATTTATACATTTGTACCAGTTTTACAAACTTGATGGCCTCTAATGCTTTTCTCTTATTTCTAAACAATTGCACATCAGTCAATAAGCATATATTCCTGCTGTTTAAATAGACCCTCAGAAATTTAATTCTTGTCTTTCTTTTACAAAGAATTTGGAATTCCTTGAAATTTGACCGCAAAGTGAAACCCAGTGAACAATAAGTAGAATAGCAGGAGACAATGTTTGTATAGTATACAAATATTACATAAGTTTATTTGCAGACATGTAAAAGGCTGGTCTATATTAGTAAAAACGTATATGGAAGTGGGAATTGCCAACCCAAGTTCCTACCTTTGTTTGTTTAACTCCAATATGTCTTCTTTGAAATGAATCTAATTCTTTTTCAGACCTTTTTTTAGAGACTGAATGTTATGGCTCTCTGTTATTTGTTGTAAAAAAAAATTGGAGAAAACACAATAGAAAACCTAGATGCCTCTTGTGTCGAGGGCTTGTATCTGTCATTGATGTATACCACACATATATTATTCACATTAGGGTTTGCAGAGGAACATTTCTGATTGCATAAGGTTAATTGTTTATTGCAGGAACTGCATTACTCACCCCTCATAAAAATAAGTCAGTTCATTTTTGCAGGCTTTGCTTTTTTGTCCTTTTGGAAACTGAAATGCCTTTGGTTGTATTAGATGGCCATTTTGTAATGACAAATTATTGAATGTTAACTAATTGAATAACATACTGGAATTTTGAGGCATAGTTGAAAGATGAATTAAAGAACATAAACATTTTCTATAGTCCTGTGTGCAGAACTTGTGAAAACAAAAATAAGTATAAAGTGGATGGTAGTTTGAAGACAGGGATTGGGAGAGAAGTACTTATTCAAAAGGGGGAAGTGGGAATTGCCAACCCAAGTTCCTACCTCTCTTATGCTGTGCTGTAACACCACCATTGACCACTGTCCCAGGTAAGGGGAGGGTTGAGCGCTCACAAACATGTTTAACCCCATCACATTCTTTATGTGCCTGTCCCAAGTCAGGAGCATGTAGTTCGGTGGTTGTCTTTGGTTAATGTCTGTCATACTTGTTTTTTTCATAAATTGTTTTGTTATAAATTAGGCCGTCAATTTTCTCAATTGAATTGTTTCATATTTTTCATGTCAGGGCCTTTTATAGCCGACTATTTGGTGTGGGTTTTTCTTATTGTTGAAGGCCGTATGGTTGCCTATAATTGCTTACATCCACTTCATTTGAACTTGGGTGGATAGTTGTCTCATCGGTAATCATACCACATCTCCTTATTTTTATATATACATAAATATCATTATTCCTCAAGCAACAACAACAAAATTGAGAGCAAAAATAAAAAAATCTAAAGTACGTATGTGAACAAAGGGAGATAATATTGATAATTATAGAATAACTAATCGAAGATTTGAAATAGAGAAAAATATTCAACAAGTGACCGAACAACACATTAATTCACGAATGCGCATAGCGCATGAGTTAATTATCAGTGTTGTTCTGTCAGGAGTTGAATATTTTTCGATATTTGAATTCTTTGATTAGTTATTCTTTTTATTACATTGGCAAATGGCTTTTTTTATGAAATTAAAGTAGAAAATGTAAGGAACTATATCTTTTTCTACGCATTCACAATTTGTTTTGATTCGACGTTATGGACGTCTTGACAACGCCTATTGTTGTATGACGTCAGAGGAGTGAAATAACCACGTTTATTTCACATGCGAAATTATTTGTTTTTATTTCACTGGGAAATCAATGAAATTCATTGCAACCGATGTAATAATGATACATATTAATTTTCACTGGACGTAACAGCTTTATTGGGCTGTTGGTTGGTAAATAAGAAGGAGTTGTATTTTTATAAGATTTATCTGCTCTCAGTACTTTAAGGTCAATTTTGACTATAGTATGAATGTGATCATGAATCATTGCTGTTTACACATGCATGTATTTATATCTAACTAATATGTACATGTAGGAATACCTTTACAAGAATTGCCTGTGGAAAAGATTAATGGGACAAACATCCCTGTTCCAGGTGATCACATAACTCAGGATTAGGGATATGCTTTGAATTTAATGAATAATTAACTAAATATATATTTTGAGGTTCTAAAATATAAGAGTGCTATGTTTGAAATTAAAATTAACATATTCATATGCAGTTGACTCTGGTTATCTGAAACTCATTTATCTCAAAATTCCTATTATTTTGTGTCCCAATAGACCTTATTGCTATTTTGAATTTGTGACACTTGAACTATTGATGTCATACAACAATCACTTTTGCATTTGTTGTGTTAGACATTTTCTCTTAAGATGTCAAAATTTTCATGAACTGTTGTGATGGTCAGTAATGGTGGATAAATAGCAATTAGGTTTATTGATAAATCTGCATTATATTTACTGCTAAGATCTCAAATTATTTTTTTCCTTGACTTTAAGATAACAAGAATAGACTATGTTTGAAAAGACTTTAACTGTTTGCCTGTTTATATATAACCGTTGCATAAAATTAACAAAAAGCAGCATAAAAACAGTTTAAAATATTTTACAACATTACAAAATGTTTGCTTGATTTTTTTAATGTTTAACAAATCTGTCCCTTTTAATGGTAGACTGCAGATTTAATCGTCAAATTTTCTAACAGATATTTTATTTCAAATGCATTTCATGTTTTGATATAAGTATAAAATTTATTATACAATACAGAACCAAATGCCAACTACAAAAAACTTATTCCTGCCAATATTAAGCTATAAATCATTACTTTCATATCCTGATTTTATTTTTGCATCGTCTTTTAAATAAAAGCTTAAACATTGTATGTTTTAAAAATATGGAATTATCACAATTGAAAGACATTTGATAAATCAAATTCAGACAAGATTCTTACATTTAACTTTGTTTTGATGCCTCCGATTTGTTTTTGATGTTTCATGTTGACAGAAACCAACTATCTAACGAAAGTAAACATGGATGATGAGCAATTAATTCAATATTTTGACGAAAATAGATAAATTGTCAATAGAAGTCTTAAATCTGTTTGATTAAACAGGAGTTGTTGAGTACTATATTCATGTCATCTTGCAGTTTAAAGGGAAAATCTTAATTATATCACAAAATTTTTCACTTGTATTTATGCATTTAATCCAGTGTGATATTAAAACACACATGCATGGCTAATATTTAATTTTACTGATTATTTACGTTTCTGTCACAATTGATTGCTAATGTATTAAATATAATTTCAGATGATGAGCCAAGAAGTCATTTTATCAGACCTGAAAATTACCAGGTGACATGGTGGCCAGGAGATCGTCCTGAGGATGAAATCAACAGTGATAGCACAAATGGTAAAGTAAATTGTTTTATATCTACAGTGCATATTAAAAGCTTTTCTCAATAGCTTTAAAATAAGTTTACATTCTCTTTGCAAAAAAAATTCTTTTAATTGGTTGTATTGTTGACCCTTTTAATTAAGAAATAATTCATGGGGGCTTAAATATATCGTGATATCGCTCAGGGTAAAATATTTGTCATAAAGGGCCAACCCGTGGTAAAATCACGATATATTCAAGCCCCCATGAATTATTTCGATTCTAATAGGACAAATACGGCAATTGTTTTGGATCGAAGCGCTCTAGATGAAGGCATTATTTGCTGTTCCCATAAATAAACGCACTATTAAATTGACGTAAAAGACTGGAGCAAACTGAATAAATGACATGCTTAAACTATTTACAATAACATATTTACTATAGATAGGTTTGGATGAATCTAAATGATATATGTACTTATATGTCTTATATGTATACAAAAAATGGCTTATATAACACATTTTAGCATCGTTTGTTTACGTTTCCTTGTTGTGATGATTTTCGGTTTCACAAGCGTGTATTTTCCTGTAAAATGCTTATATTCTTACGTCATCGTTCTATGACGTCGGTTAGCTCATTCATAAAAAAGCATATGACGTGGGAGTACGATCAGAACAGCCCAAACAATATATTCATATTTTACCACGGGTGTGTACTCAAAGTGTTTGAAGAACGTCATGTTAGAATTTACCATTTCACTATTTTTATTGAAAAAACTTAAATAATTGAATGCATTTTGTGGAGTTTTTATAGTTATGTAAAACATGGATTGAAGCACATTTTGTATAATTTGCTTGTTACGAAACATCATCTTTGAAATTTTTTAACAACATCTTGACAAATCATATCATACATCTTCAATGGAAGACATGTATTTTATAATTACAAGTTTATGAAAGTGCTTAGACATTTTTTGTGAATATGGTTTAAATATTTTTGAATTAGAATGTCCACTGTGTTAAAAAATTATCTTCTAACCTTAAGCTACTTGTAAAAAAAAATTAAGGCACAAGTACTGTAAGATCTTACATTTTTCTACAATTATAAGAATGTTATCCGTTAATTTGTGCCATTCATTTCATTGATAGCAATAACTAATCAACATGTGTACTAAATATAAGGTTTACAATTTGTTAAATCGATTATATATGTACTAGGTCAGGGGAAGCACCACTACACTCCCCCCACCTCAAGAGTCATTATACAGTAAAAAGGTACTGATGCATTTAGTTCACAAACAAAAGAAAAGAACACATTATTATGAAAAAGTAACTATGGTGGACCAGTGGTAGCATAATTATTTTACAAATATTCATTCTACAGACTTAATTGCAGTGCCAATTGTTCATTTGCTTCAGCAGTTTTTTGCACCTAAGAAATTCATACTAATAAAATTACTTTTTATGGTAACTGAAAAGCGAGTAAATATTTTGATTTAATACTTTAATTCTGTAGATAACCATTTGCTGATAACCAATCTCAGACCATCAACTTCTTACACAGTGGTAGTTGAGGCCAGGAAAATGGAAAAATACAAAGATGTTGATGAAGGTTTGTAAAATAAAAATTGAAGAACTATTATACTGATTTCTCTAATATTTTATTAAGTTAACGCAGATAAATGTTATTCTGCAATAACAAAACATTTATAGCTTTTGATGACATACATATATAAAAGAAACTTTAGATGTATGCTAAGATTTCATCAAGTAGTTCATTTTGTTTGCCTTCTCTTTTAACATTTAGAGAGAATAATCCAAAAGATCATCTTATTCAGAAGATTCATTTTTGTAAATATCTACACACAATCAGGAATGACTTCTATTCAAATGTACTGTTATTTTTGTCGAGCCTTCGACTTTAGTCGAAAAAGCGAGACATAGTGATCCTACATTCCGTCGGCGGCGTCCAAAAATTTTCACTCTGTGGTTAAAGTTTTTGAAATTTTAATAACTTTCTTATTCTATCCTGGATTTCTACCAAACTTGGACAGAAGCTTGTTTATGATCATAAGATAGTATCCAGAAGTAAATTTTGTAAAAATAAAATTCCTGTTTTTCCGTATTTTACTTGTAAATAGACTTAGTTTTTCTACCAGGAAACATTACATTCACTCTGTGGTTAAAGTTTTTAAAATTTTAATAACTTTCTTAAATTATCCTTGATTTGTACCAAACTTGGACAGAAGCTTGTTTATGGTCATAAGATAGTATCCAGAAGTAAATTTGTTAAAAAAAAAAATTCATTTTTTCCGTATTTTACTTATAAATGGACTTAGTTTTTCTGCCAGGAAACAATATTTTCACTCTGGTTAAAGTTTTTAAAATTTTAAAAACTTTCTTAAACTATCCTGGATTTGTACCAAATTTGGACAGAAGCTTGTTTATGATCAAAAGCTAGTATCTAGTAGTTAAAATTTGTACCTGTTTATCCGTATTTTACTTATAAATGGACTTAGTTTTTCTTCCAGTTAACATTAAATACAGTCTGCAGTTAAAGTTTTTAAAACATTTATTAGATTCATAAACTATCCTGGATTTATACCAAACTTTGGCAGAAGCTTCTTACAATCAAAAGATAGTATCTAAAGGAGTATTTTTATTGATTTTTTTTCCTCATTTTTGTTGAGCCTGCGATTAACAGCAAAAGTAGGCGAGACACTGGGTTCCGCGGAACCCTTACGAATTTTTTACTTCATCTTCACAATCTTTCATTTTCAGAAAATAATATTTATTGTTTTTCCTACCAATTTATATCTTTGTCATTTTTTTATGATATTTTTTTTTACAGAGGAGAATAAAGGAAAACATTCAATAATGAATTCCTTCATTATTGCCTCCAAAGCAGAACCACTGACAATAAAAACAGCTCGGCCACCTGACCCTCCATCAAACCTGGGTACGGTGGCCACAACATGCTCTGGTATAAAGTTAGCATGGGATCAACCAAGAGAACATGGTGTAGAGGTTATAGGTTAGTTTATATTATAGGATTAAACACATTTTTTTAAGAGGTTTTAAATGTGAAAACTGGGCTATTAACTCACAAACTGAATAATGTAAAGTTTGTGAGTCAGCATTTTCCAAGCTTTAATGCCTTATTTCTTTTTGTTATGCATTTGAATAGAAATAACAGCAACATATATTTGTTTTTCTATCTCAATTTGCTTGGAAACCCTTGATCCCATGCATGTATGTTGCACATGGATAGATCACAATAATGGTTACGAAAGTAGTTTCGGCAACATGGTCTAAGGAAAAAAGTATAAAGAAAATACCTAACTCCAATGCAAGTTCAAAAAGGGGGAGGTCCATATCAACTGACAAAATCAAACACAATCAATCAATGAAACAAGTGAAAAACACAACTGCCTTATTCCTGACTTGGTACAGGCATTTTCCAAAGAAAATGGTGGGTTAAACCTGGTTTTATAGCTAGCTAAACCTCCCACTTTTATGACAGTAGTTTATAGTTCTGTTATTTTTACAAAATTGGGTGAGCTACCCAAACAGACATAATGGTTAATGTAACAATAATTGGGATCCAGTAGCCAAAACTGTGTAAACATACATTACAGACATACAACACAACTTACTAAAAAAATCAAATAAGCATACAAATTAATACATGAATAACAAAGACGCAAACAAAAAAGGTGTAAATAGTAAATTTGACAATGACGTCAACAATGAAATGTAAACCAAGGGAAAAATTTCTAAGGGACCCATCCGATTTAAGTATTTGTAGATATGCAAATCATATAAGAATTATTGCAGGATATTTCTTTCATCAAAAACCATTCAAACTATCAGTTTTGTTTTTTTTTGGCACATTATCAAACATCTTTTTATTCTATCGAAATCGGTTGAAATTTTTTCAACTAATGAAATATAATTTGCCATATAATGCAAAACTTGAGTAAATCAAAAGTAAAGTCATGTGAGCAGTGATGAATTTAATACAATATACTTACAATGTTTAGAATGGCACTTGTTGAAGTTGTCTTCAGCATGAATGTTCTATATTTGTTCTGTTTACAGGAATCAGGGTTGATGCAGTTTCACTAAATACCAGCGACCCACATCATGTTAGTGTTGACGTACTACCAGATTCCATAGAAGCAAATATTGAATATCTTCGGGAAAAGACTGACTATCTTCTTCGTGTAACTGCCATAACTGATGAATATTTTGATCGATTGCCAGAAAAACACAAACTTAAAAAACTAAGAGCATTGCCTAAGGACATGATGATTTCATCAGAAGATTCAAGATGGCTGCCAAATTCTAGTATTATCAGTAAAACAGCTGGCACTGAGCCGCCAGCAAACATCAGAGTTTCCAAAGCATCGACAAATAATATGAAATTGACATGGACACCTCCTATTGTGTATGGATCTAATAAATTGACTGGTCAGATTGTACGGTGGTGGGATGTTAAAGCTAGTAAACATGTTGATGATGATTTCCACATTGCTTGCCATAAAAACCTTCTCCCTTCAGATGATTCCGTTATGATTGATGATTTAGTGCCAGGAATTCAGTATAAAATTGTCATCGAGGCTGTGGTCAGTGTCAAAACAGCGTTGGAGAAAGAAAGGAATGATGGTGGCATTGAAGCAAATAGACGAACAGCTCATGTTATGTCAAAACCCATGTTTGCCAGGGCACGTGCTCCGACAGAACCACCAAGACTTTACATTACTGGTTATACTCAAACTACAGCACAGTTATACTGGGAGAAGCCTTTATTGGTGACAGTTACAGGAAAAGATGAAAACGGAAAAGTGAAATATCTACGCAGATACTTAGAAGGTTACAAATTGGAAATCAATGGGAAGACATATAGTTGTCTTGGACCTAATTCACAAAGTTGTGCACTAACTAAATGTAAACCTGGGAAAAAATACTTAATAAATCTTGTAGCTTTAACTTGTACAGAGGAAGGCAAGAAAGAAAGAAAAAGAAAGGTTTGTACTTAAATTTAAGTATTTTGAAGTATAGTCTAGAACACTTACAATAATAGATTTTTGAAGCATGTTTTTAATCACTATTATCAGTAGTATTAATTCTGTCTGTGGAACGCTCAATATCTGCAGCACCTAGAGGGGCAGTAACAGATGGTTCCTTGGTTTTTCAAAAAACAAGTTTACTGTGTGTGGAGAATTCCTAAAGTTGACCCAATAATAAAGACAGTAATAATTTTGTAAAAAAAGTTAAATATTTTGACACATTTTATATAGAAACAAAACAGTATTATCATGATTATTAATGTCTAGAATCTGAGCCTGTCCATATACAGCTTTCTCTTTGATTTCAATATTTTGACATCAAACAAGTTATTAGACATTTATATGTCAAAGGTTGCATTGTATCAGTAGAATATATATTAAAAATGCAAGTAATTTTAAGGTAATTATTTACAAAATTTCTACACTACAATCAAATATTAAAATCTGACAAAAATATTAATTTTCCAATATTTTCAATGTTCAGTGTTGAATAATTGGCTGAGGCTATCAGTATATCTATTCAGACCAAAAGTGAATAGTTGAAAGAAATGGAAAATAAAGAAAAGAGTTTATTTTGTAAATGTGTCTAGCAATTTAAAGCTAAACAACAAGAACCACTCAAAAGAAATTTAATGTTTGTGACAAAAACATTTTAATGTTAACATGATTACAACAATTTATGGGTAATAGTAACAAAATTACAACTTAATTTTAACAATAAATAATTTTAAAGTATAAACAGCAAATTATTTGATCTTCAGTATAAAGGCGTATATAGGACAGTGAATCCTCAGAACATTGATTACTCAGCCATTCTTGATGATGAAGACAATTTGGATGCATCACCTTCTGAAACATTAGAGGTCGTATTACCACGAACCCAGGAAGGTAAGTGTTCATGTTAGTTGTTGATCCTTCGGGTGGGCAGGTGGGGACGACTACAACCTTTTTATGGTAGGGGAGAGCAGCTGAGATATCGAGTAACCCACCCCTTGCATACCGGTATATTTTGAACAACAAAAACTTGTCAGATATTTATTAGAAATAGAGGTTTAGATACCTTTGCAAAATAACAAATTGTAGAATTTAATTCTCATACAAAATTCAAGACAGTCCTTAGCATTCCTTCAAAATAGTTTTCTCACAAAAATGGCCTTTCTACTGACGATAAGCTATCTCATACAAGTAAAAGACATCCATTTATGGCTTCTTATTTGCATTTTTGGCACAAGAAAAGAGGTAATCAGACTTCTCAGTATATATGTATCATAATGCTGGATAGGGGAATACAGGAGAATCATATTTAACTACCCCTTTATTTTCTTTTGGTTAATAGAAACTTAAACAACTTAAGTATTGTACAGGTTTTTCTCATTGTTGAAGGCAGTACCATGGCCTATTATTGCTTACTACCACTTCATTTTAACTCTGGTAGATAGTTGTCTCATTGGCTATCATACTACAACTCTTCATTTCTATATTAGATAATTTTGGTAATACTGAATAACTGTATAGCAAAATTTTACATCTCAGGAAATATAAATACCTTGAGCTGTCGTTATACACACACTGAGGACCGTGACAACAGAACGTTTGGTGACGTTGAACTTGATTGGGATGTTCAAGGAGAAGACGTAAATCTATTAAAACAGTTTAATGTTGTGTGGTACAATGATGATGATAGAGTTATACAGACCAAATATGTTAGTCCAGACTTCAGACATACCGTTGTCCCTGTCACCAAGAACAAGTGAGTTTACAAATTTTTTTCCATTCATTAAAAGAACTGGCAATATCAAATATACTTTGATAAAAAACAGACTAAAATTCTAAGTTAGCATAAACATGATGAAGAATGGAAAGTTAAAAGTCAATGGCAAAAAGTTGGAAAACATGTCTGAGTTGCAGATCAATAGTCATATTTTATCATTTCCGACAGCTTAATTTAATCTTTAAAAGAAAAAGGAACAAATCTGCCTACTGATAAAGAACAAGTTATTTTTTCAATTATCTAGTCCTAGTTTTCACTTTTTAAGATGTTTTGCTTATGCAAAAAAAATTTAACTGTATAAGAACTTTCTTTATCTGTTAAATTGATTTTAATAGACTAATAAATATATGTTTTTTGTTTCCTTTAGGTCAGTGTATTATATGACTGTGGAACCAACTTACTTTACTGAGACCCTCCCACAGAGACCCCAAAGTATACAACTAGTCATCCCTGGACCCCCAGACACTCCAGAGATCTTCATTAAATCAGTTAGCCCAGAAGAGTTTGTTATAGAATGGGGAGAGCCAAGATTGTATGGAGGAGTGAGGGTTCGAGGTTACCAGGTAAGATAAGGTCAAAGCTAGAGTTCATAGAGTCTGTAAAAGGTGACATAATACTGATGTTTTTTAAGGTTACATCAGAAACCATTACAGTGCTAATTTAAATTCTAATTGGTTTAGCTGGTCAGTCAAAATTGAAATTTACAAAGGTTTTTAGAAATCAATATATTGCAAAGGTGAAACAGATTGATAAAGCTAACTAAGTTTGAAATGAGTTAAGCCAGGTTAATTTATAGTTCAACACCTGATATTTTTTTCATAAATGTCTGCTCTGGTTTAAAGTATTACTCACTGCAAGAAAGGCTAACACATATAGCATTTATGTTGTAAGAAAAAAAGGATTAGCACAAAATACTATCATATCAATATCTTAGATAAAATAGAAGATTTTCCAATTGATTTTCTAAAGATAATAATATGCCAAAAATGGTTAACACAGATATAATGTACGATTTAATGGAAAAAGAAGAGCTTAGCACTAAATACCATCCCATCATAATATTAAGTCTTAATAGAAAATTTTATGATTGATTTTCAAAGCAAGATAAGAAAATACCAATAATTGACTCCTTTTTTCAGGTGAAAATAAAACAAAGCTTTACAATATAATTAAGCTTTACAAGAAAGTAATTTCCAATCATTACAGAATTATATTCCGATCAATGAAGTGTTATCACCTGTAACACGGGATAATATAATTGATTTCTATTAATAGGAAAGATTGTATTGTGATATATTGTTTTTCAATAGATATTCAGGTTCATAAAAAGTGAGGATTGAATAAAAACAATTTTTTTTTATGATTTTCAATTTAACTTGATATTGCATATTCACTTCTTGGAACCATTAAGATTTGCTGTTATGATTGACACAAAATTTTAGGGATTATAGATCAAGGCGTGTATTTGTAAACAATAATACTTAAAAATGAAAGGAACTGCTATCAGATTATTATTGAAGGCAATATCATTTAATTGAATATTGTATTTTTTTTTAATTTTTTTTTTTTGCACTTAGTCAGTTCATTTTGTCAAGAGCTATACTTAACCTTGTCAAGTGTTGAAACCAAACGGCTCCAGTTATACAGCTAAATGCAGTTGACTTTATCTTATAAATACTGGTACCTTGAGTTCTGCTTTAGCAATTTTGTTATCATCAGCTCAGATGTTTTTGAATAGCTCTTGATAAAAAGAGAACAGGATTAACTGCTTGCAAAAAGCCAGTGTAGGAGGTTGAAGAAGTCACAAAATATTTTTATAAATTTAACACAATACAAGGAACATAATTACTGTACCTTCAGAAAATGAAGTGAATTTCCTTTTTTTTTTTATTTGCTGCATAATTATTACTGTAACTTTTTTTTGTTTTAGGTTTATTTGAATGACAAGAAGGCTGGTAATGAGCTGAACCATTCACACAGGAAAGCTGTAATACCATGTAAACCTAATAGGTGAGCATATTTATTGTCTTCACATTTCAGACAAGAGATGTGCTCATTTTAAAAAAACTAGCAAAAATTTTTTTAGTGCTCACGATAGAGGAGAATGCTATTTTCTCTAATTTTTTCACTATTTTTACATTTCCCAACCGATTGTGAAAAAAATGTTCTCCTCACTTGTGAAATATCTGTTCTGGGCAAATGATTGGTCGAAATTTTCTTGGTTACTTCTGAATTTCCTATTGTGACGTCATGAAAAAAGGCGACCATGCCTGATGACATCACATATAAAGAACACAACTTTCTGCAAATCTTTGAAATGGAAGGATAAAAAGCATTAAAGAAACAAATTCCACCACTATAACTCATGTATTACAATATTTCTCCACTCTCAACAGTTAAATTTTAATTATTTAAAAAGCTCGGCAAGCCTGGCACTTTAAATATTAAAATTTAACTGTCTCGAGTGGAGAAATATCGTAACACAAATAGTGCAGTGGTGGAATCTATATTTCTTTTGAAAAAAACCCAACAATGGACTCCAGTTTTAAATAATATTTATAAAAGGAGATGGTGTGGTATATTTCAATGACATTTTCTATATTATTTCCTTTTTGGTGCTCCTTAGATACTGTGGATTTTTTATTATTTGTAAGATACCAAATTTTGTGGGTATAGGTAAACAGCAAATTTAAATGTTCAACAAAGTATAACATTTCTGTGGCTTGTATACAGGTAGTCAAATATGCGTTGAAATTGATATCCATCGAAATAAATGAAACCACAGCAAAACACTGTTCAATTTTGTCAATTGCTCAGTAGCATCTTTAATTTTCTATTATTTTAATTGTGCAATTGCAACTACATGGCAAGTTGCTTTGAAATGAAGTTTCACAATTTGTTCTTAGTATCCTCGTGTTGTTGTGTTAGAATCTTTATACATATATTTATAATTTATTTTTAACAGGAATTACAGAGTACAGCTAATCGCCTTGAGTGCCAACCCAGAATATAGTGACTCTCCTAAATCTAATGCCTTGTTTATATCAACAAACATTAATTCTCCAGGCCCAAATGGGCCTGTGGATGACTGGACAATAGATGATGACCAGGACATACCGGTCATGGTCACACAGATCACAGATTCCTCTATACATCTTGATTGGAGTAAATTCCTTGATATTGATGGAATTACTGGTTACAAGATACAATGGAGCAGTGTGGCTCAACCTGCTGTAAGTGTCATATACAGTGGAATCATTTTTATTTGTGAGACACCAATTTTCGTGGATTTCAAGGGTAAAGGCCAATGTCCAAACATACAATTAAATGTTCCAACAAAGTACAAATTTTCTATTTGTTTGTATATAGATTTTGGCAAAACCTTCATATCAGATATCCATGAAACTACAATTTTCCTTAAACCCATGAAAATTGGTATCCACAAAAATAAATGAATCCACATTACTTTGTATTGGTAGTAGCCATGGGGCCTCTCATACCTTTATACAGAAATGGCATTTGTTTTGATGTCATAAATGTTTCCAAATTGACATATTACCTAAAATGGCCAGTTTACACATTAGTATTTTGTAAAATTTAATATAAACAACAGCCTCACCCAAACAGATTATTTACTCATATTATTTAGTAGCAAAATTGCTTTTGAGAAAAAGCTATTGCTTATTTCTAAATATTACTGAAAAGATCACCAAATGAGGCTATTTTCAAAGATTTTGCACCTGTATGCTATAATTGAGATTCCAATTTCGATTTTATGAAGGACCTTTTTTTCAGGAAAACATGTCATAGGACATGTGACATAAAGACATTTGCTTTGTGATGTCAAATTTTTCTGGGAAAGAGCACCAATTGGAAGATAATGTATTCACAAGAAATGAAACTGTTTTTAGGAATAAGGATTCATTTTGAAATTTATTCACTGGAACTTCTTTTTGTTCCATTGAAATCAAAGCAAATTCTTAGGTTGAAATGCAATAAATGATAAGTTTGAAGAGAATATTTGGAGAAATTTTTAAAGAATTCAGCATATTAAATTATTTTTTTTGTTTCAGCAAAGAGAAGTTAGACTTTCTAGTCAGGACAGTTGTTGTGTCATCAACAACTGTCTGCCAGGTACCACACATTTTGTCCGTCTGCTGGCACTTGTTGATGATGGACAGATCAAAGAGAGATCAAAACAATATACAATTCAGACATCTGCTCCTGCAGATAGTCCAGTTCAAACTGTGAGGTAAGTAGTTTTATTAATCAAAGGTCAAATAGTAGAAGGAATCATACTTTTTGAGGGGAAAAGAGCACAGACAATTTAAACTCTACTGCCTGCTTTGCAATATAAATGCATTTCTTCACAATAACTATTGGTGAATTGGAAATTGAAATTTTTATTTATAATGTTACAAAAATAATTAGGGCTATTCCATTAAAATGTATGTGGGAGGGTAGGAAGGGACTTTCAAAATATCCCTACAACCAAGAACCATTTTTTAGATAATTTTGCATAATGGTAATAGACGCATAAATTTTGCATAATGGTAATAGACGCATACTGAAAAAAGACCCATGACCCACATTCAATAATTAAACTTCCCTTCCTACCCTCCCACATACATTTTAATGGAATAGCCCTTACTGCTTGTTGCTTGTTAAGTCAGTATTTTTTTCTTATCAAGCTTTTAAGTTCTGCAAAAGATTTAGAGTGTATTTGCTTAAACAGGCAAATGTTTTAAATTTTAGGGCCTGTAATTTCCGTTACATTGCTGTACAATGGGATAAACCTAATACCTATGGTGATGCTGTTATAACTGGATACAAAGTGTATGTTAATGGGATTGTTGAATCTATTCTCAATGCTGACCAGCTTAGCTTTACATTCACACATGGAAAATGGTGCCAAGAATATGCATTTCAAGTCCAGGTACTGTAAACAATTAATTTTGAAGTCTGAACTTTGTTTGTATCAACAAGATTGGGATAATACTAAAAAAATCTTATCAGCAGCTATGATTTGATTGGAAATATTTTATCCAACAAGGTTTACTGTGAAAGGGGCAACATTGCAATTAAATTTCACATTTAAACAGTGTAATTCAATGGAACCTGCTCAGTTATAATGAACAAACAGAATGGACCTTTCATCTTCATATTTATGGAATTAGTTTGAACGGTCCATATAGCTTAACTTTCAGTTTTGCCATAGTACTGAAAAATTATTTCATTTCTATATATAATATTGATAAGTTTGTTTGTTTTGGCAGAATAGAAACAAACAAAAAATCAAATTAGACTGTATGCCATTTAGAGCTAATTTGTTAATTAAAAAAAAATTACTTGGCAAACAGAGTAATGATATTTTATTAATGCCAACGGCCCAAGATGACAATAATCTTCATTCACTAAATTGTGATATCATTTTTGGGGGCATAGATTTTTACCCTCGTCCGTCTGTACGTACGTACGTCCATACGTCCCAAAATTGGTTTCCATTCTCTAACTTGAGTTTGCCTCAACCAAATGTTATGAAACTTATACACAATGATAATTACAACAAAGCACAGATCAAGTTTGAATTTTGGTGGCGTCACTTTAACCGTTCTAGAGTTATGCCACTTTATAAATGGACAAATTGCAAAATTTTTAGTTTCCGTTCTCTAACTTAAGTTTGCCTTAACAAAATGTTGTGAAACTTATACACAATACTTATTACCATAAAACACAGATCAAGTTTGAATTTTGGTGGCATCACTTTAACTGTTCCCCAGTTATGCCCCTTTATAAATGGAAAAATTGCAAAATTTTTAGTTTCCGTTCTCTAACTTAAGTTAGCTTCAACCAAATGTTATGAAACTTATACACAGTGCTTATTACCACAAAACACAGATCAAGTTTGAATTTTGGTGTCGTCACTTTAACCGTTCTAGAGTTATGCCCCTTTATGAATGGAAAAATTGCAAATTTTTAGTTTCCATTCTCTAACATAAGTTTGCCTCAACCAAATGATATGAAACTAATACACAATGCTTATTACCACAAAATACAGATCAAGATTGAATTTTCTTAGCTTTACTTTAACCGTACTAGAGTCATGTCCCTTCATAAATGGAAAAATTGCAAAATTTTTAGTTTCCATTCTCTAACTTAAGTTTGCCTCAACCAAATTTTATGAAACATATACACAGTGCTTATTACCACAAAATAAAGATCAAGTTTGAATTTTGGTGGCGTCACTTTAACCATTCTCTAGTTATGCCCCTTTATAAATCGAAAATGCAAAATTTTTAGTTTCCATTCTCTAACATAAGTTGCCTCAACCAAATGTTATGAAACTTATACACAATGCTTTTTACCACAAAACACAGATCAAGTTGAATTTTGGTAGCGCCACTCTAATCATTATCGAGTTATGCCCCTTTATAAATCGAAAAATTGCAAAATTTTTAGTTTCTGTTCTGTAACTTAAGTTTGCCCCAACCAAACATTATGAAACCTATACACAATACTTATTACTTTAAAACTCAGATCAAGTACAAATTTGGGTAGCGTCACTTTGAGTTATGTCCCTTTATAATGTTGTATGCAAGGGGGGGGGCATCATCTGTGTCCATGGGGACACATTCTCCATTTTTTTTTAAGTATGCAATCAGTGCTCTTATTAATGAATCCATGTGATTTTATATAATTTGTTCAATTTATTACAGGCCTTAACTTCATTTGAGAAACTTCATAGTAAAGTTTCTGAGCCATTACTAGTCACATGGCCTGGATGCAGGCCACCAACATTGAAACGTCTACCAACCCATAGTAGTTCTAACATGAAGATTGGATGGGAAGACCCATATCTTACTGATGGGGTCAAGATTAAACATTTTAGAGTGAGTAATTTTTAATTTTGACAGTATAATTTGATAAATATTTAAATAATTAATTATTTTTTATAACTTTAACTCTTGACTAGTGTGATTCTCTTTCCAATTGGAAACATTTCATAATATATACAATTTGTAATAAAAAGTAAAAGACAGATATTTTCTTTCATCTTTGAACATTTTTTAAGGTGGTACCGAACACCTTGACTAAAATTAATTTGGCTCGTTTAATTTTATTAAAATTTTGACAAAATATTTACTTTGATCCTTTGACAAAAATATAAAAATTTCAAACCACACACTTTATCGGAAAAATTTCATTGGATATATAGCAGTTTGACAAACACTAATTTTGATCATTGAGAAGCTTAATATTTCCTTAACATTAGAACGTGATTAAAACGCTCAGCTGATTTTTGTACGACCGCAAAAAAATTTTGTGGTCGTATATTGGTATGACGTTGGCGTCGTCGTCGTCGTCGGCGTCGTCGTCCGAATACATATTGGTTTTCGCACTCTAACTTTAGTTTAAGTGAATGGATCTTTTTGAAATTTGACCATAAGGTTAAATACCACAAAAGGAAGGTTGGGATTGATTTTGGGGGTTATGGTACCAACAGTTAAGGAATTAGGGGCCAAAAACGGGCCAAAAATGAGCATTTTCTAGTTTCCAGACAATAACTGTGGAACGGTGTATGGATCTCTCTGAAATTATACTACAAGTTTCCATACCACAAAGGGATGGTTAGGATTTGCTTTGGGGGGTTATGGCTCAAACCGTTTAGGAATTAGGGGCAAAAAAGGGGGAAAAACAAGGTTGTCCTGGTTAATGGACAAATACTTTAGTACAAAACATAATTTAAAGCAGTGTAAGGGAGATAAATCAAATACATCATTGAAATTATCTCCCTTACACTGCTTTTAAATTATGTATAAAGTAATGGTTAATGAACAATAAAGATAATCTAAAACAGTGTAAGGGAGGTAATCCAAATACAACGTTTTGGTTACTTCCCTTACACTGCTTTTAAATTATGTTTAAAGAAATGCATATTTATAAAGGAAGACCAGTAAAAATATCTGCAAATGTTTTCATCTTTGTTTTTTTACAAAAAAATCCATATGAAAGATTTGACACTATATTTTTATTAATTCTATTATAAAATAGATTAAGTTAGCACTATGGTAAATTTAAATGGGTAATTATGGTTGCCAACTCCATTGGAAATTTGAATTGAGATTATGACCATATCTTGAGGGAAAGAATTTTTTTGGGGGAAAAAGGGGGGGGGGGATAAAAAGAAATTGTGGGGGGCCAATTTTTTCTCATTTCAGATTTCAGAAATTAAAAAGAATTATTCTTCAAATATTATTTTTTTTTCAAATTTCAAATATTGAAAAATTTCAAGAAGTAATCTTTAATTGCACAGTATGGCGCATTAGATTTGTAAAATCTTTGATCTCATTTATTTATTTGTTATGCCGAATCTAACAGTGTATTTAGATTTTTAATTTTGGGTCCAGTTTTCAAATTGGTCTACATTAATGTCCAAAGGGTCCAAAATTAAACTTTGTTTGATTTTAGCAAAAATTGAATATATGAGGTTCTTTGATATGCTGAATCTAAACATGTATTTAGATTTTTGATTTTTGGCCCAGTTTTCAAGTTGGTCCAAATTGGGGTCCAAAATTAAACTTTGTTTGATTTCAACAAAAATTGAATATATGGGGTTCTTTGATATGCTGAATCTAACCATGTATTTAGATTTTTTATTTGTGGACCCCGTTATCTAATTGGTTCATATTGAGGTCAAAAGGGTCCAAAATTAAACTTTGTTTGATTTCATCTAAAATTGAATTATTGGGGTTCTTTGATATTCCAAATCTAACCGTGTATTTAGGTTTTTAATTTTGGGTCCTGTTTTTTAAATTGGTCTACATTGAGGTCCAAAGGGTCCAAATTAAACTTAGTTTGATTTTAACAAAAATTGAATTCTTGGGGTTCTTTGATTTGCTGAATCTAAACATGTGTTTAGATTTTTGATTATGGGCCCAGTTTTCAAGTTGGTCCAAGATAGGTTCCAGTATTTAAACTTTGTTTGATTTCAACAAAAATTGAATATATGGGGTTCTTTGATATGCTGAATCTAAACATGTATTTAGATTTTTGATTATGGGCCCAGTTTTCAAGTTGGTCCAAATTGGGGTCCAAAATTAAACTTTGTTTGATTTCATCAAAAATTGAATATATGAGGTTCTTTGATATGCTGAATCTAACCATGTATTTAGATTTTTTATTTGTAGGCCCCGCTATCAAATTGGTTCATATTGAGGTCAAAAGGGTCCAAAATTAAACTTTGTTTGATTTCATCGAAAATTGAATTATTGGGGTTCTTTGATATGCCAAATCTAACCGTGTTTCTAGATTTTTAATTTGGGTCCCGTTTTTTAAATTGGTCTTCATTGAGGTCCAAAGGGTCCAAAATTAAACTTAGTTTGATTTTAACAAAAATTGAATTCTTGGGGTTCTTTGATATGCTGAATCTAAACATGTGTTTAGATTTTTGATTATGGGCCCAGTTTTCAAGTTGGTCCAAGTTGGGGTCCAAAATTATATTTTTTTTTATTTCAACAAAAATTGAATATATGGGGTTCTTTGATATGCTGAATCTAACCATGAACTTAGATTTTTTATTTGTAGGCCCCGCTATCAAATTGGTTCATATTGAGGTCAAAAGGGTCCAAAATTAAACTTTGTTTGATTTCATCAAAAATTGAATTATTGGGGTTTTTTGATATTCCAAATCTAACCGTGTATTTAAATTTTTAATTTTAAGTCCCGTTTTTTAAATTGGTCTACATTAAGGTCCAAAGGGTCCAAAATTAAACTTAGTTTGATTTTAGCAAAAATTGAATTCTTGGGGTTCTTTGATATGCTGAATCTAAACATGTGTTTAGATTTTTGATTATGGGCCCAGTTTTCAAGTTTGTCCAAGTTGGGGTCCAAAATTAAACTTTGTTTGATTTTAACAAAAATTGAATATATGGGGTTCTTTGATATGCTGAATCTAACCATGTATTTTGATTTTGGACATTGGACCATAATAGGTAAATTAAAAAAATTCAAGTTCTTAGACCACATTCTTTCTGTGTCAGAAACCTATGCTGTGTCAAATATTTAATAACAATCCAAATTCAGAGCTGTATCAAGCTTGAATGTTGTGTCCATACTTGCCCCAACTGTTCAGGGTTCGACCTCTGCGGTCGTATCAAGCTGCACCCCAGCGAAGCATTTTATTACAGAGTTATCTCCCTGTAGTGTTATGTACCTCCTTAAGGGGAGGAAATATTGTTAGTTTTTGCAAATTTATCAAAGGGTTTTTTATTGATATTATCTGTTAGTTATTGTTATAATTAAAGTTAGATCTTTCTTCCTTGTTGGCCATAGACATTGAAGTTACCCTTATGTAATTGAAGACATTATTTTTTTTAATAGGCTTGTTGCATAGAGGAAGGGACAGAGAAAATGGTCCAAAGTATTGGTCCAATACATCCAGATAGCCGTGAAGCAGAATTCAAGCATTTAAAGAAAGGCAGCTATAGTGTTTATGTAGAAATTCATGTAAGTATTTGAAAATATGATGCCAACCTCTAAAAAGAAAAAGAGGGAGCCTCCCTCCTAGAACTGGTGCCTTGGCAGATATGATATAAGATAATGTTGATTATTTAATATTCATGAGATACCAATTTAAGTGGATGCAGCGGGAAACAATGAATGTTAATACTCATTAAACTAAATACAAATTTGTAGATATTTTGATAGAGCAAGTGATGAAACTATGATAAGTAATATATTGGTACCCTGAAAATACTGCAAATTCAGATATAATTGCATGCATTTATTATTGCGTTTTTTTAAGAATGAACATATTTGCGAGAATAATTATTGCAATTTCAGGAAAATTTGCATATAGATAAATGTATCAGATATCAGAATGCGAGTTCTAATTATTGTGATACTCACCCAGTTGCATTATTCTCATTAATAAATGCCTTTTAATAATATCGGAATTCACAGTAACAAATATTTCTTCAAATTATGAAAAAATGATACTAATCCACTGTAATTAAAAAATCAGCAGTTAGGCATTTTTTTAAAAAAGCATCATATGTTTAATGGTAAAATACAGTATATTTCTTTTTAAAAATTGATGCAATATAGTTTTGACATTTTTGTTATAGTTATATGGTACCAGTGAAATAGTTTGTACTGAGGCCATCAGGTTACAGCCAGCCTTGTCACCAGACCCTCCACGTATTATGGTGACTGTTGTAGGATTAGAGGAACGTAGGACCCTTGAGAAAGTTACATGTGATCTAGTCAACATCAGAGACAGGTGTGTATAGTCATTTGTGATCAGAAATGGTTGGTTTTTTTTGTAGGTTCTGTTGAAAAAAAGTGTTAACAGTGCCACAAAGTTAAATCTGTATAGTCAAAATATCATCAACCATACCAATTTTTCTGCGCCAGATGTTCATTTCGACAATTAATGTCCCTTCAGTGATGCTCCAGGCCAAAATTTCTGAAAATCCAAAACTTATTAAAAACCAAAGAACTAATAAACCAAAAAGGACAAAAAGTATAGCCAAAGCCTGGCAAGGAACCAGAGGTTTGCATGAGGGAAAGTTGATTTAAGTTTACTATGAACTTTGCAATTAGTTTATGATTTATGCTTATTTCTCTACATAAGTAAATTTTCAAAAGAGAGGTGAAAGATACCAGAGGGACATTCAAACTCACAAGTCGAAAATAAACTTGACGACGCCATGGCTAAAAATGAAAAAGACCAACAGACAAACAATAGTACACAAAACACAACATAGAAAGACTGAGCAACACGAACCAAGTCACAGCAAAATAAAAACCTCTATAACTTGGATAGTGGTTATTATTTTTTTTTATTTATTAGATATAATGACTTTATTGAGATACCTTATCTTTGTGTCCTTGTGTTTAATGGTTGCTGTATCATTGGTGTATACACCACATCTTTTAGTCATATTCAACTATTTACAAACAGATAACTCTTTGTTAATAAATCATAAAAATCTTAGATATAAACATTTATGTTTAATAGACAGTTGTAACTCTTTTTTATTTCAGGTTGATAAGAAGAGTTGGTCACAAATTGAAGGAAATTGGTGCATTGTCCAACCCAATGCGTGCTGAGAAGAACAAAGGTGTGATAGAAGGAGCCCATACTTTGTCTCGAGTTGAGGAATATTTAGAAGATTGCTTTTTGGCCTTACAGCATTTCACAGGTTTGTTTCTATTTTTTCATTATTTCTATACATTCAGAAAATTGATAGGGGAGCAGGGCATGTTGTCCTATGGACACATTCTTCTTTACACTTTTATTTAGTTGTGAAATTATAAATGAACATGTTTTCAGATATATATATATATTTTTTTAATTTAAGGTTATTTGGAAGCACATGTTAGCTGGTCTTGTCCACAAACAAGACCTGAAATGGTTGTCGCTGGTTACAAAGTGTTGATTGATGGAAAGCAGTATGGTAGTGCCATGCATGAAGGAGTGAAAACTGTTAGAATTAAGGTCAGCAGGTTTTTCATGTTTGACTATAGGTGCTTGATTTCACATATTTACAATTACGTCCTGTAAACAAACAAGAAGAATTGTTTAGTATAATCTGTTAAAAGAATTCTTTAATAACCTGAGAAGAATAAAAATTTATTGAATCTCAAGTTCATTTGTACTATATTAATGTTAGTTAAAGTTGAATGATTTGTGCAGTGATTTTTATTTCTACTCCTTGAAAAAGGCCAATAAAAGGTTAGAACTAAAATTTAGAAATGTGATATGCACTGTAACATTCTAAATCATTGAATTATATATTAAAAGTTTTTAAGAGAATGACGATAAACATTGGTCAAAACTTATTCTGAAGATCAGACTTTTATTTAATTTATTTCATATATCATGTAAAAACTTGTTGCAAACATTCTCTAATATTTTACCATTACAAATTTTCATATATTGTACCATTACACATTCTGATATATTTTACCATTACACATTCTGATATATTTTACCATTACACATTCTGATATATTTTACCATTACATGCCGTAACTTGATTCTTGTTCATTCTTCACCTTTATCAATTCTTTTGTTAAAAAACTTGCAACCATATAAGACTAAAAAACAAACCGTTATTGTACTTACAGCTAGGACTAGAACAGCCAGTGTACAGATTGTCAATGATATCTATGACAGACAAGCCACAGGCTACCAGTGAAGATTCTAATGTTGTAGAGTTATTATCGGATCAATTCAGACCATTTGCCTTCTATTGTTATCATGCCGTTCATGCTGAGGGCATGAAATGGCCAAACCAAGGCTGTTGCAAGTTCTCAGATTCACTAGCTTATGAACGGCAGGCGGCTAAAAAATTGGCCAATCAGGGATTACTAAAGAAACGAGTACCTCCACCATCATGTAGCCTGTTGGATATATTTGATGGTGAATACAAGCCTTTCTTATCTACACACAGTAAACAGTATGCTACAGCAGTCCTGTTCTGGACACCTTGGTAAGTTTATTTTACTCTCCTTCAAGTATGACAGTAATAACTGAGGATTTAGAGGCATGTGGTCAAATATTTAATGGTTGAAATTGTTAGCCTTTCTTATCAAAATAGTATTACCTATTTTCATGTACAGTAGTTTTGTTGAGTTCTTTGATTATAAACTAAACAAATATGATATCAATGAGGCATTAACCCAAGAAAAAAATGACAACCAGATGTACAACAGTCAACGAAACATTTCATAGAAAAAAAACTTTTAGAGAGAGCAGCATAAACACCAAGGGTTGAAGTCAAGTGCACCTCATGCTTATAAGAGATCTGGTCATTTTAAATCATATTAAATAGATAAATCCCACACAGGTTCTGAGATTGTAATGAAGGGGGAAAAGTTCAAAGTCATATTGCATACTGTGGATTCATTTATTTTCGTGGGTACCAATTTTCGTGGATGAAGAAAAACTTACATGTTCGTGGATATCTAATTTCGTGGTTTTGCAGAAGTCTGCATACAAGCCTATAGCACATTTGTTATTCGTTGAACATTTAATTTCGTGGTTGACCTGTACCCATGAAATCCACGAAAATTAGTATCCAACGAATAATAATGAATCCACAGTAGTACAACTAAGTTAAGAAGTATTGACTAATAAGATATAAAACTTTTTGTTGTTTATTTCAGGTGCCTTGCTTCTCAGACTTTCATCAATTACTATACTAGATTTGCAAAAGAACATTCATCACAGGTATATATATATTTTCCTTTAATGTTCAGTATGTATTACTTTAGATAGAAGTTTTACACTTCATTACCCTAAAGTACCAATTACAGTTCCAGTGGCACATGTTTCTGGAATAACCATAAGATCAAAATTTAGGAATTTGCATATATGAAACATGAGCATAAAAATTTTAAAAAAAAACACAGTTTAAACTGTTAAATGTTAACCTTATGCTATGGAGTTGCACATTGAAAATTAAATAAAATACTTTAAGCAGAGATATTTAAAGTGGTAATGATAAATAATGGTGGCTTTGAAGAAACGCAATTGCTAATCTTTAAGAAAAATCAGAAAAAAATAAAACAGCAATGGATTTTATTCATTTTTTGGTCATTATGACTGATTGATGTCATCAATGAAACAGTTTTAGATTCATTTTTTTTAACTTTTTTTGTCGATTTTACAGTACAACTTTATAGCAGTGTCTTGTGGTGTGAATGCCACATCTGCAGCCAACAGGAAGTCACTTATCCACAGAATAACATCCAGTGGCTGGCGGGAGGATAGATCAGTGTGGCATTGCACTAGTCAATGTGCCAGTTCTATAGATGAAGCCAGCAGTAAAGTGTGGAAAACTACAATGTCAGGTATGTATGTCAGTGGGGATGCAGTTATACAGAAAAAGGGAGATAAATTAGTGTGTCACTTTACTTGTAATTGGGCCAATGTAGTCAAGGTAAAACATAGTAAGTATGTGAAAAGAGACCAAATATGTTTTTGTCATATGTAGATTAGGATAATATGGAAATATTGAAATAAATATGTATCATTTTTCTGATCATTTATTAGTAAATAGGATCAATTGAATTTAACTGGGTTTTTTTAAGTAATCTTGTTCATTTTAAGGTGATAATTGATTCAGAAAATTGTGAACCTCCTATGGTCTTATGGTCTTGCTGAACATTTTCGGCAAACTTTTGGAAAAACAAAATCACATTATGTTCAGTTCATCAATATTCGTGAATTTCTTAATAATACATTTTAGGTGTTCCTAAGAAACCTGAAGACAGCAATGCTCCTAATGTTGATTTGACAGAGATCCTGGGTATAGCAGGAGTACCAACATTACTTGTAATACATCCTGATGGTAAGTTTAATAGTGTTGTTATGGTAGTCTGCTCTTGGTTATTATAGGGAATCTAATAACAAAAATAAGAATAATGCTTTGCTTTCTCTGGAAAGAGATTACAGAAATAAATGGACTACAAATTTTGAGTCTGGAACAATTAGAATATTGTATATTAAAAATTCGTAAGGGTTCCGCGGAACCCAGTGTCTCGCCTACTTTTTTTGTTAATCGCAGGCTCAACAAAAATGAGGAAGTAAATCAATAAAAATATTCCTCTTGATACTATCTTTTGATTGAAAGAAGCTTCTGTCCAAGTTTGGTAAAAATCCAGGATAGTTTATGAATCTAATAAATGTTTAAAAACTTTAACTGCAGACTGAATGTAATGTTAACTGGAAGAAAACAAAATTTCCTTCTAGATACTAGCATTTGATCATAAACAAGCTTCTGTCCAAGTTTGGGACAAATTCAAAATAGTATAAGAAAGTTATTAAAATTTTAAAAACTTTAACCACAGAGTGAATGTGTTGTTTCCTGGCAGAAAATCTAAGTCCATTTAAAAGTAAAAAATGGAAAAAATGGATTGATTTTTTTTACAAAATTTGCTTCTAGATACTAGCTTTTGATCATAAACAAGCTTCTGTCCAAGTTTGGTACAAATCCAAAATAGTATAAGAAAGTTATTAATATTTTATAAACTTTAACCACAGAGTGAATGTGTTGTTTCCTGGCAGAAAATCTTAGTCCATTTAAAAGTAAAATAAGGAAAAAATGGATTTATTTTTTTACAAAATTTACTTCTGGATACTATCTTATGATCATTAACAAGCTTCTGTCCAAGTTTGGTACAAACCCAGGATAGTTTAAGAAAGTTATTAAAATTTTAAAAACTTTAACCACAGAGTGAATGTAATATTTCCCAGCAGAAAAACTAAGTCCATTTATAAGTAAAATACGGAAAAAATGGAATTTTATTTTTACAAAATTTACTTCTGGATACTATCTTATGATCATAAACAAGCTTCTGTCCAAGTTTGGTAGAAATCAAGGATAGTTTAAGAAAATTATTAAAATTTCAAAAACTTTAACCACAGAGTGAATATTTGTGGACGCCGCTGACGACGCCGACGGAATGTAGGATCACTATGTCTCGCTTTTTCGACTTAAGTCGAAGGCTCGACAAAAAGCACACCAAATTTATATAGCGTTATTTCATTTTGCATATTTAATATTACTACACATTGTCAGTATCAAAATACTAATTCGTGCATAAAAGCATTGCATATTACTGTACAAGTTTATAGCATCTCATTTTTTCTCAACAGTTGTGATATTTTTTTTTTTATTTTACTGTTGTTTTTTTTGTGTGTTTTATACATTTCTTTCTGATAACTTTGCAAATTTTAATGTGCTAGTTCTTAAATTACTCTTGATTATTTTAGGATATATTGCATGGCATGGGAGATATCGTGCCTATGACTACGCAGGTTTTAGTTCTTTCATGCAGCATACATTGAGTGAAGTTCTCAATGTACCTAGTCCTGCCTATGGATATGATGCCTTCAAAAATAATATTACACTGGATGACGATGCTGTTGGTAAGTGCATTTGTATTTGCAAACATTTTCTTTATTTTGGATATAGAAATAAAAGAAAACTTTGCGGTTAATTTTCATTGTGACAGTAATTATCAATGCATTAAAATCTTTAACACATATATTGATGCAAAGGTATCACTTCTCTTCCCATTAAATTATTTCAAACTCACGTTTTATTCTAATCTTTATATTTTAGAGCAAGATCTGAGTTATAACAATATATTTTGCCTTTCAGTCAATTTTTTTGTTATTTTGTACTAATCAATGAACATAGTAAATAAATAAATATACTTTTTAGAATAAAATTGTACAATTTCATTATTTCATAGGTCCAAGTATAAAAATCCTACATTTATCAATATTTAAGAATACATACACTGTGGCTCAGTTGGGCTTCGTTATTTCCATCCATCCATTGCTAAAGTGGACTTACAGACGATTTTCCCATACATGTTTGATGTAACAATGCTTATGTTATTACGTCACAGAAGGAGTGGATTGTTCAATGTCATTTATGCCGATGGACCTCAGGTCAACTACAATAACTCGTTTATAAAAAAGAACATTTTTTTTTTTAAATCATCTTTCATGTAGTGTAATTTTAATTAGAAAAATGTCAAAACAAACATGAAAAATTTCAGCACTTTTAGATTAGTTTCAATATGATGTTGAACAACTTGTTCTGAACTTGCTTTTTTTGTTTGCAGAATCAGTATTAGGATATGTAAGGGATCCTTCAAGAAGTAAAATTGTAAGAATTCCATCCGAGAGACCACCAAGTCCAGAACCTTTGATGGAGAGCAAATATGCTGATGAAAAGACCGTGGAACAATTATTTATCAAACGTAAACAACAAAGTCCAAGATCCCGCAGGAAGAAATTAACTGTCAATCATCGACCCTACTCTGCCTCAGCATATGTGCAGTTACTGAAAAGTCCATATATGCAGAAAGTTGTCCCCTCTCCAAAAGTGCTAAATAAGATGCTACGACCAGCTAGTGGCGGTCCACGGTTAGGTTAATGGATTACAAAAGTTTATCAATGCTAATGACATATGAAACGAAATGTTAACTGTTATGTTTGAAAAAGTCTTTTCAACTGGTTGGTAATGGTTGAAGAAAAGTAATGAAACTAATTTGTTTATCATTTTAAAAAGTTTCATTAGAAAAAACACATCAGGGTGAAAATGTTAGAAAAAAAGATTTTTGTGTAAAAGATTTCACCAATCACCTTTATTTAAGGTCCAGTGATAGTTATGTAGAAAACTGTCAGAAAAAATAGATCAAATCAAAATATCTGTAATAATTTATTTTGTTGAATTTGCATTTATTTCTGTTGAATGAAAATAGTGTGGTTTTTTTCTAGCGGTGTATAGTATTTTCCTTTACTTAGCTATTTTAGATATAATTAATTCAAAATTGCCTTCCACATTCTTTTCTTTAAAAAAAAAATATTGGTAACTTCAAAGGTTAATAACTATTCTAACACATAGGTATTTCCAATATTTTAAATATAAAACACTAATTTAATGTGAAAAAAATATTTTTAAATCATAATTTACTAGTTTTATCACCATTTTCCCCAAAACAAGAAAATACTTTACTCTTTTGTAATGTTAGAAGGTCAAAGTGAACTTTTTGCACAAATTTCAATGGTCAATAATAATTAAATCATCGGCAATATTTTGTAAAATCCATACAAATTTAATGTAAGCATTTAATCATAGATAGTGTATGTTGAAGGCAAAGATAAAATAATTGATGCATACATTTGTTTTTAAAAATGTATGCTGTAATAAAAAATAATAATGTTAAAAATGCACCTTATTACATTGCACTTGTTATGTTGTATATAATTATTTAGTTTATTTAATTATGAATCAAAATCAGTAAATATCAAATTTACTATCAGTAAATTTCTTTGACTATACCAATATCTTAAAATAGTAATTTATTATATGACTGCAGAAACTCCTTTCTGAATGGCTGAGATCCCTAGCACTAACATTATTAATTTAAATTTTATAATTGCGCAGGAGAACGAATGGATAATGTAACGTTTAAATGTCTGGCACAAAGGAAAGTCAAAGAACATATTGTAACAGAAGCTTCTTTTGAGAATAAATGCAAAATTATATGAACATGTTATATAACAAATCTGTAAGTTTAATTCAGTACGTACATGAAGTAGCTTCAGTATCCTATGTTAAAATGTATTAAACTCTGCCTGTGACCTTTAAAATGTATAATGATTACTTTTCTACTTACCGGTAAATCATTAGTCATTGTAATTTCTCCTAAAAGATGGGAGTTTTGTTGAATTGCTAGTTTATATATATTATTTCCTAAATTGATACTTATGTATGTATTGTTTGAAGGTTGTGTAAGAATGAAAGTTTATCTTGCACATTCATATTTGTACAGAGTATTTAATAAAGCGTTACTGTGATATCAGAGACTTTTACCCAGCCTGCTTGAGACATTTTAATTTTTATACGACCGCAAACAAATTTTTGTGGTCGTATATTGGTATGACGTTGGCGTCGTCGTCGTCCGGCGTCGTCGTCGTCGTCGTCGTCGTCGTCGTCCTGCGTCGTCCGAAGACACATTGGTTTTCGCACTCTAACTTTAGTTTAGGTGAATGGATCTTTATGAAATTTTACCACAAGGTTCAATACCACAAAAGGAAGGTTGGGATTGATTTTGGGGGTTATGGTAATAACAGTAAAGGAATTAGGGTCCAAAAAGGGGCCAAAAATAAGCATTTTTGTAACTTCCAGACATAACTTGTGTGTTAGTGTATGGATCTCTCTGACATTGTACCACAAGGTTCCATATCACTAAAGGAATGCTGGGATTGATTTTGGGGGTAATTGCCTCCAAATTTTAGGAATTAGGGGCCAAAAAAGGGGCAAAAAACAAGCATTTTTCTAGTTTCATGACAATAACTTGTGTGTAAGTGTATGGATCTTTCTGAAATTGTACTACAAGGTTCCATATCACAAAGGGAAAGCTGGGTTTGAGTTTGGGGGTAATTGCCCTAAACGTTTAGGAATTTGGGGCCAAAAAGGGGCCAAAAAACACATTTTTTTCTAGTTTCCAGACAATAACTTGTGTTCAAGTGTATGGATCTCTCTGAAATTGTACTGCAAGGTACCATACCACAAAGGGAAGGCTGGGATTGAGTTTGGGGGTGATGAATCATAATGGGGGTTCAAAAAATTTTGGGGGGGGATTTATTTTTTTTTCCTTTTTTTTCTTTTTTTCCTTTTTTGTTTCTTTTAAAATTTTCCATTTTAAGTTGGTTATTTCTGATTTATATTTAAAATCAAATAATAATGATATGGTAGGAGATACACACCAAACAGGATGTGTAAATTATTATATAATAAGTATTGTGCAATAGCAAGAAATTTCAATTGCACAGTATTGCACAATAGCAAGAAATCTTCAATTGCACAGTATTGCGCAATAGCAAGAAATCTTCAATTGCACAGTATTGCGCAATAGCAAGAAATATCCAATAGCACAATATTGTCCAATAGCAAGAAATTGTCAATTGTACAGTATTGCGCAATAGCAAGAAATATTTAATAGCACAGGATTGTGCAAAAGAAGATACTTCCTATAAATTGCTTATTTCTTGACCAATTTCAATGGGGTTTTATTCTTGATTTCATGGGGTTCTTTAATATGCTGAATCTAACCGTGTATTTTGTTTTTGGATTTTGGGCCCCGTTTTTAAATTGGTCCACATTGAGGTCCAAAGGGTCCAAAATTAAACTTTGTTTGATTTCATCAAAAATTGAATTATTGGGGTTCTTTGATATGCCGAATCTAAACATGTATTTAGATTTTTGATTATGGGCCCAGTTTTCAAGTTGGTCCAAATCGGGGTCCAAAATTAAACTTTGTTTGATTTCAACAAAAATTGAATATATGGGGTTCTTTGATATGCTGAATCTAACCATGTATTTAGATTTTTGATTTTTGGGCCCCGTTATCAACTTTGTCCACATTGAGGTCAAAAGGGTCCAAAATTAAACTTTGTTTGATTTCATCAAAAATTGAATTATTGGGGTTCTTTGATATGCCGAATCTAACCGTGTATTTAGATTTTTAATTTTTGGTTCCGTTTTCAAATTGGTCTACATTAAGGTCCAAAGGGTCCAAAATTAAACTTAGTTTGATTTTAACAAAAATTGAATTCTTAGGGTTCTTTGATATGCTGAATCTAAACATGTATTTGGATTTTTGATTATGGGCCCAGTTTTCAAGTTGGTCCAAATCGGGGTCCAAAATTAAACTTTGTTTGATTTCAACAAAAATTGAATATATGGGGTTCTTTGATATGCTGAATCTAACCATGTATTTAGATTTTTGATTTTTGGGCCCCGTTATCAACTTTGTCCACATTGAGGTCAAAAGGGTCCAAAATTAAACTTTGTTTGATTTCATCAAAAATTGAATTCTTGGGGTTCTTTGATATGCTGAATCTAACCATGTATTTAGATTTTGGATATTGGACCATAATAGGTGAATGTCCATTTTAAAATTTTTAAGTTCTTAGACCACATTCAATCTGTGTTAGAAACCTATGCTGTGTCAAATATTTAATCACAATCCAAATCCAAAGCTGTATCAAGCTTGAATGTTGTGTCCATACTTCCCCCAACTGTTCAGGGTTCGACCTCTGCGGTCATATCAAGCTGCGCCCTGCGGAGCATTTTATTTAAATTGGTCTACATTAAGGTCCAAAGGGTCCAAAATTAAACTTAGTTTGATTTTAACAAAAATTGAATTTTTGGGGTTCTTTGATATGCTGAATCTAAACATGTGTTTAGATTTTTGATTATGGGACCAGTTTTCAAGTTGGTCCAAGTTGGGGTCCAAAATTAAACTTTGTTTGATTTCAACAAAAATTGAATATATGGGGTTCTTTGATATGCTGAATCTAAACATGTATTTAGATTTTAGATTTTTGGTCCAGTTTTCATGTTGGTCCAAATTGGGGTCCAAAATTAGACTTTGTTTGATTTCAACAAAAATTGAATATATGGGGTTCTTTGATATGCTGAATCTTACCATGTATTTAGATTTTTTATTTTGTGGGCCTGCTATCAAATTGGTTCATATTGAGGTCAAAAGGGTCCAAAATTAAACTTTGTTTGATTTCATCAAAAATTGAATTATTGGGGTTCTTTGATATGCCAAATCTAACTGTGTTTTTAGATTTTTAATTTTGGGTCCCGTTTTTTAAATTGGTCTACATTAAGGTCCTAAGGGTCCAAAATTAAACTTAGTTTGATTTTAACAAAAATTGAATTCTTGGGGTACTTTGATATGCTGAATCTAAACATGTGTTTAGATTTTTGATTATGGGACCAGTTTTCAAGTTTGTCCAAGTTGGGGTCCAAAATTAAACTTTGTTTGATTTCAACAAAAATTGAATATATGGGGTTCTTTGATATGCTGAATCTAACCATGTATTTTGATTTTGGACATTGGACCATAATAGGTAAATTAAAAAAATGAAGTTCTTAGACCACATTCTTTCTGTGTCAGAAACCTATGTTGTGTCAAATATTTAATCACAATCCAAATTCAGAGCTGTATCAAGCTTGAATGTTGTGTCCATACTTGCCCCAACTGTTCAGGGTTCGACCTCTGCGGTCGTATCAAGCTGCGCCCAGCGAAGCATTTTATTGGAATGTATAAATATCATAATTTTTATATAAGTGAAGCATCATTCGTACATTAGGGCACTTAAACTAGGCTAACATTTTATTAACATTTTGATGATATACCAGTAAGGGAAATGGAATTGAATTATGAAGCAGAAATACTTTCAAACTTATAGTATATTTTTCTGAAATTTATCAAATTCTTAAAAAGCTAAAGATGTTTATTTACTAAAGCATAGTGTAGACTTAAGTTTTTGTGAAATTAATGTTGTAGTATATTTTATCATATTTGGAAGAAAAGTTTCTTTATTGTTATGTTCTCACTAAATTGGACTATGTTAAACATCTTCTGAGGAGTTATTCCCAAATCTGAAGATAAAGGTTTTTTTTAATACTATATTTTTTCACGAAAAATATTAAAAATATCCTTTTTAGGAAACTACTGGAACCAGAATGCTTTTTAAAAAAAAATACAAAATCTTCATAAATCTACCCTTGTAAGTAACAAGTTTTAAATCTGAAAACGTCGTGCATGGTAATTGAATGAATGCCATCGCAAATTCATAAAGACCAATCAACTGAGATTAAATATTCCTGTAGGATTTAAATATTCCTGTAGGATTACAATATTCTATATCTGCATTTATATTTTGGATAAGATAGAGACTCTCTCTTTTTTTAAAATAAATACTCTCATTTGTTTTTTTTTTTTATGGATTACAGATTTCAAAATATTATTGTAAATATGTGCAACTGACCGTCCCTGATAAAATTGACGAAGGAGTTTTAAGAACTTGGAGCTGGGACCAATATCAGTATTAGTCCCAGCTTAAAGCTAAATGTAATTTTTATATTATTTATTCATTTCTGGAAAAAAATTGACACATGATATATTTGATATAGCATACTGTTGAGATATTTAATCAGGAATCTCATTTTCTTCTAGAAAGGGTAGAGTTTATTTTTTAATATATCAGGGTCCTCAACTAGTAAACACAGGGGCAATTCTATACATTCCCAACATTTAATAACTAATATTTTATAGTTAAAATGACTTTTATTCAATATACTGAAGGATATTAAGATATTACCAAATTTAATATGATTATTATGTTTCCTCATTATAAGACAGTATTGGAGAAGGTGTATGCTGGCACCTTTCATATATTTCTGTTGATATATAAAAAATACTGATGTATTCTTGGCAAAATTTCTTTATATTTAATACTTTCCGTCCTATTCTTCAATGTGATATTTTGTCTTTACACCGTCTTTTATTTGTGATCACTGACAGCTATTTATTTAAGAAGTATCTATATATTTGTCCAACATTCCATTTTGTTATTGAAATGTTTTCCGTCCAAAACATACTTGTGATAAAAATATCCACATACACCTTTTTTGTGGAATGTTTTGGCCATATTTATGTTCTTTTTTTATTGTTTTACAAATTATATATCTACTTTGTTTTGTGTAAACTGTCTAACATTTTGTCTAATTTTAGAAGTGTTTTGGGTTGACAGTATGGGTATAGTTGATACATTAATACATTCAAACATCAATAGTTTGATAATAAATGAGTAGAATCAAATTGTTTTATGTTTCATTTAAAACAGATTCTGATGCCAAAATCTAGAATTTTGCTAGAATAGGTGTAAATTTGCATAGCCGAGTAAAAAATGTTTTAGTGTTCTTGGTCTTAAAAAAAACAGGTTTCAAGAAGATAAAAACCATCAAGAATGACAAGACAACACCATGACTAAAAGAAAAAAAGTTAAGCAAACAGCCAACCACAAAACACTACGTGGAAAACAATTGATTGAGCATCATGAACCCCCCTGGGGCCTTGGTGGTTGAGTGGTCTAAGTAGTCAAACTACTGTATCACTAGCCAGTCAACACTGAGGTTGTAAGTTAGATTCCCGCACAGGGCAGGTGCACTCAACTCCAATCTTAATTGACTAGGATTGTCAGTTTTCCTACCGAATGTCGGTGGTTCTCTCCGGGCACTGGCTTCCTCCACCAATAAAAACTGACAGCCATGAAATAGCACAATAGTGCTAAAAGTGGCGTTAAACACCAACCAATCAATCAATCAATCATGAACCCCTTCAACAACTAGAGGTTTGCTCAGTTGCTATCGAGTCTTTAGCAGTTACTGCTCCACTTATGACACCTATTGCTTTGTCCAAAAATAAATTCCAACAAAAGTTACCACAGTTGGTGATAAGGCTTCATGCAATAAAGAATTGGTAGCTGTATTTGGCAAAACCTTTCAGAATTTTGGTTCCTCAATGCTCTTCAACATCATACTTTATATTATGCCAACTGACATACAAAATTTTAATCCTGGTGTCTATGATGAGTTTATTGTCCAACACAAATGACCATACTCATAAACAATCAATTTGTGCAATTTCTCTTATTATAAACCCTAAAACATGACCAAATGTAAAATTTCAAAATGAAAATACAAACAGGAGTAAGGATAGATAAGATCATGGCAAGCAGAAACAATAGACACTGAAAAATAGATCTCTAAACACAATACATGAAACTGAACAAAATACAAAAGGAACTTGACATGAAAAGTTCATGGTATACCCAGATGCTCTGGATGCTTTCAATTTATATTTGACTACCTTATTATCTTCTCACCTTCTTATATTGTCTGTTAAACCATGGTAAAAAAGTCTAATGATTGTTAAAGTGATTGTCATGTTGTTCAATTCTGACTTAGGGAGCTACCATTTGATTTTTATGGGGGGCTAGGATGAAAAATTTTGTCCTGCCTATTTATTTTTCCCTCTATTCAGTCCTGCCTTTTTATTTTTCACTCTATTTCGGTCCTGCCTTTTTTTATTAGTTTATCCTGACTTTTTTTTATCCTAAATTGTCATCCTGCCTTTTTTTTTGCAAAGTGTCTCATCCTGCCTTTTTTTTTACTCAAAACTCCTGTCCTGCCTATTTTTTTTCAAATTTCATCCTAACCCCCCCATAAAAATCAAATGGTAGTTAAATGGCATGTTCAAAGATAATGTTGTGACAAAAGGGACATGCATTCTTTTCTCTTAATCCACGTGTGGATGCCACGAAATACATTACTGAATAAGCAAACATTTCTGTGTGGCATTGAAATGCATTTCTCATAGCTTTTTGTATGTTGAACAGTGTGAAAATAAAAAATATATGTATGGGGTTGAGATAAAACAGACAACAGAGATGCCAAAATATGACCATTTAGAGGTAACTGTTTGACCTTATCAATGAACAAGACACTTCCACTGTGCATATACTCCTATGGCCTTCAAAAATGGCAAGATAATTTGATACTTAGAAACTGTACATGCATAATTTTTGGCAGATGTTTAAAGGCTTTCCTGTTTTAAGTTCACTTTTTATTTGACATTTAGCCATCTGCTTCCATACTCAAATTGCCTAAAAAAATGACAAGATAATTTGATACTTTAAAACTGTATAATCATAATGTTTGGCAGATGTATAAAGGATTTTCTGTTTAAGTTCACTTTTAATTAAGACATTGGGCCATCTGGTTACATGAGTACCTCGAATATAGAATTGAATGCTGTATGCTGCAAAGTCAGTATCAAATTTTTTTTTTTTTCACCTGCATCGAAATTTGTAGAAGCAAGACTGAAAACACTGAAAAGTGTACAATTGTCAGCATCCACAGTGAAAACAATTGTTTAGGTTGTTATTTAGTTACAAAGGCATAACATACAGGTTTGGAGAATATTTAAGGCATTCATAAGGTTACCTTTAATGACTTTCATAGTGCAGTAGACTTTTTAATGTTAATTTGTAAGACAGAAAAATGCTCACATTACAGATACTAAACAACACAGGGCATCTGTTTACCACATACAATACCAAGAAAATTAGACATGTACATACATGTATGTTCAGTAGCCATCACTGAGCAAAAATGTATGTTCTTTGCTTTTCATCCAGTGGCATTTATTTCATGTGTATTTTTATAAAAATGAAAATAAACAAGTCCAAGGACCATAACTCTGCACAAAACCATCAGACCGGAACAAAATTCAAACTTGATCTGTAACTTGTCATGATAAAACAATACACCAAATATCAAATCAATATCTTCAAGCACGAAGAAAATAAATGGGGAATGTGTCCATGGGACACAGATGATGCCCCTGTTGCATATCATATAAAGTTACATGTAGAAAGGGACATAACTGAAGAACGGTAAAAGTGATGCTACCCAAATTTGTACTTGATCTGAGTTTTGTGATTATAAGCATTGTGTATAAGTTTCATAAAATTTGGTTGAGGCAAACTTAAGTTAGAGAACGGAAACCAACTCTAGGACGTACAAGGGTAAAACTTAATGCCCCCTCCATTACGGCAGGGCATAAAAAGTGTGGAAAACTGATTTGCCGGACTGACGGTGGACAGACAGACAGATGGAGTGCAAACCTGAAGTCCCCTTCGACTTCTTCTAGGGAACTAATTAGCACTAATCAAGTAGTTAAGTTCTGCAAAGTGGGTCTAAGCTGTTGAAGGGCAGGAAACTTGAATGCCATCAGAGAACATAAATAAATAAAAAGACATTTGAATTTGATTTGCAACCATTTCCAGTAAAACCTTTTGGAAACCCATTCAGAAAACATTTGGACAGGTTCCCTTTTCACAGATGATGGAAGAGATATTATTCTTTCATAAAAGAATAAAACATGTGGTCCAAATGTTACAAGTTATTTGTAACCATTCGAGTCCCAGGACATTGAAATGAATGAAAAAAGGTGAAAACTTATATCCAATAAAAACTTTAATTAAACTAGGTGATAAAAACAAAATGAAACTGGAACCAATAAGCTGTTGATATAGAGATACATAGATATAAGAAGATGTGGTATGAGTGCCAATGAGACAATTCTCCATCCAAGTTTACATAAAAATGAGAATGGAAATGGGGAATGTGTCAAAGAGACAATGACCCAACCATAGAGCGGACATCAGCCGAAGGCCACCAATGGGTCTTCAATCCAACGATTTATGTCTCACCTTTTTATGACAGTATAATGCAAATGTTGAAATTAAGATGGCAATATTTAAACATGAGAACTATGCAAAACATTCAAAGTCAATGAACCATGATGAGGGGCGGGACCATATTAAAATCTCCATAGAAATCAGACTTGCTAATGCTAATACAACTGCATACCAAATATCATTGACTTATCATTAGTGGTTCATCTTAAACTGATGTAATCTCAAAATTTAGCATGTAAACTATTGTTCTGTTGCACCACTGTCACAGGATTAGGGGGAGGGTTGGGCGCCCGCTAACATGTTTAACCCTGCTACATTCTGTATGTGCCTGTCCCAAGTCAGGAGCCTGTACTTCAGTGGTTGTCGTTTGTTGCTGTATATCATATTTGTTTTTTTTCATTATTTTGTACATAAATCAGGCTGTTAGTTTTCTCTTTTGAATATTTTTACATTTGTCATTTCAGGGTCTCTTATAGCTGACTATGCGGTATGGGCTTTGCTCATTATTGAAGGCCATACGGTGACCTATAGTTGTTAATTTCTGTGTCAATTGGTCGCTTGTGGAGAGTTGTCTCATTGGCAATCATACCATATCTTCTTATTTTTATATGCACAACATTTGAAGTCAACGGACCATGACTCAGTGGACAGAGCCAAATTATCTCTGCGGAAATTAACGTGCCAATGCTAATACATCTTTGAGGTACCACTATTGGTTCCCCTTAAAATGACCTATCAGTGAATAATACATGTAAACTAAGCAAAAGTTTCAAAGTTGGTAGGCCATGACTGAGGGGGTGGGGCCAAATTATCTCTGTTGAAATGAGATGTGCCAATGCAAATACAACAACACCAAATATCATTGACCTACCACTAGTGGTTCCCCTTGAATTGGCCTAATCACAAACTAATATATATGTAATTAAGCAAAAGTTGCAAAGACCATGACGGAGAGGGCAGTGGCAAATAATCTCCATGGAATTGAGATGTTCCAATGATGATACTACTACACACCAAACCTGTTGACCTACCACTAGTGGGTTCCCCATGAACTGACCTTATCACAAACTAATACATGTAAACTAAGAAAAAGTTTCAAAGTCAATAGACCATGACTAAGGGGGTGGGGCCAAATAATCTCCATGGAAATGAGATGTTCAAATTATGATACAACTACACACCAAACATTGTTGACCTACCACTATTGGTTCCCCATGAACTGACCTTATCACAAACTAATACATTGTTTACACCGCTGGAAACAGCACTCCTAAGTCTCACTTTTTTTACTTCATCCAGGCAAGACAAAAAGGTGATGCATGTACATGAAGCTTAATATAGTGACCTAGTATTAGGCTTGATACAGTGACCTAGTATATATATTTGTAAATCGAGGCTGCCTCTTTATTAACAAAAAAGTTCATCGATGTATGCTTTTATTACTTTTTAAAGTTACACATATATAAAACAAAATCTTACATAACAAATTTTGCTGTATCAAATAATCTATATAAACATAATCAATACTATTTACATTATTACATTCATTGACTAAAAGAAAAGTTCTCTAAATTCAGAAATATGCACACAGAAAATTTATATTCTAAATTGAATTATGGTTGGTGATAGTAGTTTAATATGCATTTCAAAAGATAATTTACCCATGCTTTAATTATTATTTGCAAACTAACCCCTTTTAGAAAAGTACTTAGCTGAATAATCAAAAATTGAAATAATGAAAGTTTAATTGAATCTGAAAGAGAGTGATAATGGCGCGGGACCTTGTATTTTTACTTAAATAACATGAAGGCGGAATTTTCTCATGATTAGAAAGCAACAATAATTAAAAAAAAAATAGGTTGGGCAAGTCACTGCTTTGTTAAGTATGTGTAGGGATTTGTATCGTAAATTCATACAGCATATTCCTATAAACATTTACAAGAAATAATAATGCTAGAAATAAGACAGGCAAAAATAAATATTTAGTATATTAATATAGATATAGAAAACAGTTTGTAATGGGTCATATAAAAATATTTTTATACAATGTAATATTGTCCTTTTTCATGTATTCTAGATTTCAGATTGGTTTTTCAATTTTTATTTCTTTTAAATTCCTAGCAATCTTTTGGGAAAAGCAAAAATAAAAAAAAAACAAAATTCTTTGCCAAAAAGTCCCCATATATTTTTGAAGGGAGATTGAGAATCTAAAAAATTACATTATGCAGCCTCTAAGTTAATTATTAAAAGAAATTATAAGTTCTGCCTGAAAATTTAACAAGTTTTGAATTTTGAAAAAAATTAACTGTCTCAATTCGCATATAAAAAATTAGCACAAATAAAAATACACATAAGTATAAAAAATTCATCGCAGGTGAAACTATGTGTTTTTCTAGGCTCAAGGTTTATATTTTGTAAAAAATAAAAATTCTTTCAAATAAATAATGTTACAATTGTTTGTGATTCATAGTGTTACAGATTTAGATTTTTTAACTCAACTGCAGATTTTTGTTTTATTAGTCATTAAAATACAAAATGTATGTAGTCTTAGTGTAAGTTAGTCAATCAGTATACTGAACACATATTTCAGCCTGTTTATTAAATTTATTTATGTTATCTTTATATTTTCAACTTTCAGTCTATAATTTCTTTGACAAAACCACAACAAATGTACATGGAATTCCACAACATTATGTCCATAAATCAGATCTTGTTTCTCTTGTCTTCATTGTAATGTTTCACCTTTAGTAACCTGTAAATATATCAACAATACAAATTCATATACTGGTAATAATATTGGTTACTTTACATGTCATACTTTGACTTTTTAAACCAGAAATGGAATAAAAAAAAAAATCATAATTTTAAAACAAAGAATGCAATGTTGGAAAATACATCATTATATTAAAATATTTTTAGGAAAGACTATTATATCAGTGTTGAAAGTGGAGTTAAACACCAACAATCAATCAATCATTATCCATGCACAATACCATACGAGTTAAACACCAACAATCAATCAATGATCATCCATGAACAATACCATACGAGTTAAACACCAACAGTCAATCAATGATCATCCATGAACAATACCATACGAGTTAAACACCAACAATCAATCAATGATCATCCATGCACAATATATACCATACGAGTTAAACACCAACAATCAATCAATCATCATCCATGCACAATACCACACAAGTTAAACACCAACAATCAATCAATGATCATCCATGAACAATACCATACGAGTTAAACACCAACAATCAATCAATGATCATCCATGAACAATACCATACGAGTTAAACACCAACAATCAATCAATGATCATCCATGAACAATACCATATGAGTTAAACACCAACAATCAATCAATGATCATCCATGCACAATACCATACGAGTTAAACACCAACAATCAATCAATCATCATCCATGCACAATACCATACGAGTTAAACACCAACAATCAATCAATCATCATCCATGCACAATACCATATACAAGTACACAAAACTGTTTCCATAAATTCACTGCTCAAAAGTTTTGAAATTATGAAATGACTTCTTCTGAGGTGGCTGTCATAGATTTTTGACCAGCAACAAACATACAAATGTGATAAATATTGTAAGGATAATTGAATCTTGGTTTTTGCTGCTTCTCTGCTAAGCATGTGACATTAAGAAGTAAGAGCTGATTGGTTAACTCAGTCAGAATAATGTGTCTGGGTAGGGTGATATGTCTTCATGTGAACTGTAAAAATGTGCTAGTACTTTAAAAATTTAGTGTTGGGCTTACTAGTACAAAGCCAGATTCATATTCATATCACATTTACATGTCTTTGTCCTGTTATACATGTGATATTAGACATATGCGATGGTTCCTTATTCATCACCATACTGACATATGACACTGAACAAGTAACCTGTATTAATGTTAACCTGTGTGTTTTCTGCTTGTGATGCAAATCAACCTCTACTATCTTCACAAATGATTATATTTTTTAATATTGTAAATTAGTAGTTTGCAAGAAGTAGAGTATCATTTCAACCTTTCATTAGGTAAAAATTGGGGCTGTAATTTCAAAATAAATGGTTTAATTAAAAACTTGCATGACTTGTATGATTTAATCATAAAAGATATCATATTTGATGAGAACTACTAGTTCTGTTGAAAGAATTATGAGTTCCAATAGACATGTTTAAAAACTCATAATTCAGGATTTTTTATGAAGTTGAAAATTGTAGTTCTTATACAGATGATACATATATGTTTCAAATTTTAACGTGATTTGCACACCAAAAGACGAAAGATTAGTTACCTAACACAATAAGAACAAACTGACAAATGTTGACAATACAGTTTACTCTTTAGTCTGTGTGTTAAGGAGCGAAACAATAATTATTAAGATCAATTTGCAAAGAAGTCAGAAATGATCAGAAATGAGAAATTTGTATAAAGGTATGAACAAAAATTATATACCATTACAAAATAAATGGGGAATGTGTCCATGGGACACAGATGATGCCCCCGCTTGCATATCATATAAAGTTATAAAGGGACATAACTGAAGAACGGTAAAATTGACACAGTACCTAAATTTGTACTTCATCTGAGTTTTGTAGTAATAAGCATTGTGTATAAGTTTCATAACATCTGGTTAAGGCAAACTTAAGTTTGAGAACCGAAACGAAAAAAATTCAGCAATTTTTCCGTTTGTAAAGGGGCATAACTCTAGAACAGTTAAAGTGACGCCACCAAAATTCAAATTTGATCTGTGTTTTGTGGTAATAAGCATTGTGTATAAGTTTCATAACATTAAGTTGAGGCAAACTAAAGTTAGAGAACGGAATGAAAAATTTTGCAATTTTTCCATTTGTAAAGGGGCATAACTCTAGAACAGATAAAGTAACGCCACCAAAATTCAAATTGATCTGTGTTTTGTGGTAAGAAGCATTATGTATAAGTTTCATAACATTTGGTTGAGGCAAACTAAAGTTAGAGAACAGAAAACAACTGTGACGTACATGTATGTACAGACGGACAAGGGTAAAACTTAATGCCCCCTCCGCTATGGTGGGGGCACAAAAATAAACTACAAAAATGTTCAGTCATGTAAAAATAATTTCGAGAAGGCAAACCATTAACCTGCCATACAAGAATCATAGATGTGTTAATGATAACAGGATAAGTGTATATGATTATATGTAAGTGCAAAGGTGTAAATAATGGTGTAGAGACAAGTGTGTTTAATATTCTGAAGCCTTCAAACAAAACATTTACACCATAACACAAAAGTGCCTTTGGTAGGAAAATAAACTTGAGGTCCTTAAGAGCCTGTGTCGCTCACCTGCATCTTCAACAATTGCCAGGTAAAATTCATCATGAAAGGGCATGTAATAATTCTATAAAGAGTTAACTGACAATTTCAATCATATGGACGTTTTGTATATCTTGTCCTGCTGAAATATCAAGCTTTTAAGTAGTTGTTAACGCCGCCGTCGCATCACTATCTCTATGTCGAGCTTTCTGCGTCTTTTGTCGCAGGCTAGACAAAAATGGTAAAATTTTACATTTAAGGCAATAGCTCCTATAAGAAGTTATCTGACACAGTTTTGACATAAATAGACAGCAGGTAAACGTAACATTTGTGCCCCTGTCAAATTTTCTCTATTCAAAGTGGTTTTCAAGATATTAGACAAAACTTGCATTTTACCCCTATGTTCTATATTTAGCCATTTTAGCCATATTGGTTGGCATGTCGAAACATCAGACACATTTTTTAAAATTACCAATGTAGATACCCTAATGATGATTGTGGGCAAGTTTGGTTAAATTTGGCCCAGTAGTTTTAGAGGAGAAGATTTTTGTAAAAGTTAACGACGACGACGGACGCCAAGTGATGAGAAAAGCTCACTGTGAGCTAAAAACGAGTGTCTATTTGGATTTACACAGAAAAACAAGAAGTTGCAGGTTATGTTTTTCACTCATGATTAAACACTGACAGATAAATGTATATCCATGCTCAGTGGATATATCTAAAATTCAAAGTATTGTCAAACAGGAAGTGACTCACAGCAAATTTGAAATTGCTTTAATAAATGTTACAATCCAAAATCAAGTCATTCCCTAATACAGAAACAGAGAAGACAAAAATAAGGACAAACAGACAAGAAACAGTCTCATGGGTATACCACCTATTCCTTCAGTGGAACTGATTTACTATGTTTGTGTGCATCGTCTGTTTTCTTTTTCATGTACCTGTGTCACCGTATATACAAGTTACCAATTCCACTTTGATTGATTCTTTATATGTTTGCATATATATATTTGATTGGAGAAAATGATTTTACATTATGGCAAGGGTTTGTACTATTGCAAGACTCAACTCTTTTCTTGCCCACATATGTTAGGATTATCTGAATGTTTGCTTAATGTTTTTTCAGGCTTAGTTTTTTTTTAAATAGTATACTTTTCTTCAATCTCTATATTCTATGGTTGTCAACGAGTAACTCTGTGAGTAAAAGGAAAGGGTTTAAACATTCAGAATGGGAAAAAAAATCTGTTTTCAAAATATATTTATAAAGTGCATCATGAACCACCACAGCAGACATTTACTTCTCTATGACATTGTCTCTTCTGCAGAATCAATGTTTTCTATAATTTCATCTTCTGTACACTAAAATTATATCATATTCCAGAACTATATACAGTAACACCAGTCTTAAAGACTGAAGATATATATTGTTCAAGAGAGACAGATGTTTGGTTATTAATACAGGGTTCAATCAATTAAGAATAATTTTGGTCTCATTAATAAATTATACACTGCTTTGTTGATAAAAATAATTTTGCTCAATCATGTCAATACTGCATACTTGTATGGATTTAATATTACGTGTGTGGAACTAATTTTCGTGGACTTCATGGATAAGCATGTAGCTATATATATGTACATAGATGAACCATGAATTTAGGTGTTCAATGAAATACAGATTGTCTAAACCAAGAAATTACAATTTTTCCTCAATCCATGAAATTAGGTATCCACATTAATAAATGAATCCACAGTATGCATATCATTTTATGTGCTTTTTTTTATTGTTATTATCAAGTACAAAATGCCAACTCTTTTGGGTAAGAATGTGCCTATCAAATTAAGACAACAACTTTGTTTTCTCCTTAGACATGTTAGAATTTCTTCGAAAAATTACATTTCATTGCTATGAACTTCTCAGTTTAATTGATCTAAATGTATATGGGGTCACTAGATCATTATGGAAGAAAGCTATTTTTCACACACTTTTGTCAATGGATTTAACTTTTCCTTATTTTAAAGATATATCTGGATATTCACCTGTTTTCACTTCTAAAAATCGAGGATGGAAGAAAATGAAGCAAGATTTTAAGAAAAATGAGCTGTTACAATTCATCACATTTTTAAATTACCCGTGCTTCTATATATTCAACTTTTCTTTCCAGCTGTGTTAACTTCTCATTCAATGTAGCCAGTCTAGATCTACATGATGTGTCTGAAAAATAAATAATATTTATAATACTTTGAAATAATAAATAATACAGGAATCATAACTTCATAACATCTTATTAGTACAACATAGTTATTAGCATGGGTTTGGGTTGATTTAGTTTTAACACATACCATGCATACAATAACACTTCTGGAATAGTTCAAATTTATATTTATACACTAGCCAGCAGTATAGGGGCTCAGAAGTCTTCATTCCTCCAAAACCTACTAACTTTACATTTCAAATTAATGCATGAGAGTATACTGTATAGGTACCAAATAAATCAATTTTGTTTCACAACTTTATTATTTCTTATTCCATTATCATGACTCTGCTTACTAAATATAATAAAATGCTTCGCTGAGCGCAGCCTGATACGACCGCAGAGGTCCAACCCTGAACAGTTTGGGCAAATTTGAATATAATATTCAAGCTTGATACTGTCCGAATTTTGATTGTGATCAAATTTTTGACATAATATAGGTTTCTGACACAAAATAAATGTGGTAAAAGATCTTACAAATCTATTGCACAATACTGTGCAATTGAAGATTACTTCTTGAAACTTTTACAAAATTTGAAATTTGAAAATTTTTGAAAAAAATATGAATTCCTTAACAAAGTTGGAACCCCCCCCCGCGACTTTTGGAATCCCTCCTTGGAGCAATTACCCCAAGACTCGATCCAATTCTTTCCTTTGGAGTATGGAACCTTGTAGTACAATTTCAGAGAGATCCATACACATCTAACACAAGTTATTGTTTAGAAACTAGAATAATGCATGTTTTTGGCCCCTAATTCCTACATGTTTGAGGCAATTACCCCCAAACTCAATCCCAGCCTTCCCTTTGTGATATGGAACCTTATGGTACAATATTAGAGAGATCCATACACTTACACACAAGTTATTGTCTGGAAACTACAAAAATTGTTGTTTTTGGCCCCTTTTAGGCCCTTAATTCCTAAACTGTTTGCCCCATAACCCCTAATATGAATCCCAACCTTCTACTTGTGGTATTAAACATTGTTGTACAATTTCAGAGCAATCGAAATACTTCTACACAAGTTATTATCCTGAAACTAGAAAAATGTTTGTTTTGGGCCCCTAATTCCTAACTGGTTGGGACCATCATCCCCAAAATCAATCCCAACTTTCCTTTTGTGGTATTGAACCTTCTTAAAAAATTTTAGAGATCCATCAACTTAAACTAAAGTTATTGTCCGGAAACCACTGTGTCTTCTGACGACGATGCAGACAACATCATACCATTATACGATCCCAAAATTTTTTTGCAGTCGTATAAAAATGAATTGTTATGATTTCCAATGAGACATCTACAAGTTTTGGAAACAAATTAACATTCACCAATGTCAACTGAGTAGGAGGGGACTGTCATCCTGAATTCCCTGCAAAATAAATGCTTAATCCTGACTTCCCCGAAAAATAAATGCTGAATATTGAGTTCCACCTCAAAATAAATTAAAGCATTCTTTCCACAATCCTTAAAAAAATAATGTTTAGTTCAAGAGTCCCAATGAGTGTGAATCCTGAAATGCAGCAAAAAAAAAAAAGGTCCAATCCTGATGTCCCTTAAAAGGTTGCAATATCATTATATTGTTTAGTATTCAGAAAAAAATTATGTGAAATAGAATGCTCCTTTTGATACTAAATTGCAGGAAATCTTGTGCCTTTTATAATGTTTTAAACTAAAAAGAACGAACCAAGAGGTATTATAGCCTACATGCTGTTAAAGGTTTTTCACTGTGATAGTGTTTAGACCGAATTTTCACAGGCACTTGTCTCAGAAAAAAAATTTCCTATATACCCTAATATAACACCTTGTGTTATATTAAGGTATATAGGGGAAAAAAATTCTGAGACAAGTGCACGTGCCTGTGCCGAAATTGAACCTTTTAAAGCATATGAATACATTCTCAGTTGATTAACTGATATATATTTATAATGAAAGGAGAAAGAAAAGCCACAAAAGGATAATATGGAAGACTTCATAATTTCGTCCAGCATGTTATATTATTGTAAAAAAATATCTGCTCGACACAGAAACAAAAAGTTGATGAATGCATCTTTTGTACAAGAGGTCCATTCATGTTAATGTCTGAGTGGTTTGTTGTTATGAGTTTGCAATGGTACAAGTAATGAAGTTGGCTATTCCTGGTACACAATGACAACAAAGTTAGCTTGCAATGATACTAGTTAACTTTAATATAACACCAATCTTGAGTTATATTTTTTATGAATGAGTTACACCAGTTGACCTGAGGTCAATCCGCGTAAATGTCATCATCAGACAATAGGTTAGTACTGTGACATAATAACATAAGCATTGTGACATAGATTATTTAAGGGAAAATGCATGAATTCGAAAGTCATCTATTCCATGTATGCACAAAACAACAAGCTTTCTCAATCATGCATTAGACGTGTAAGAAATAATGTTTCTAGATAATAATTGCAAAAGAACAGAGCTGAATAATGAAACGTAAATTCTCTTGGTAGTAGCCTTACAAAGGAAAAATAACTCAATTAAATTTGAAGTGGGATCAATTGAGGAATTATGCATAATAGTCTTCAACAGGTACTTGATTTCTGATGACAGTGATGTCACATGATAAGAAATGAGGGGCTAAATTGTATTACCAAACGAGTTTAAAAAGTCGGATATTTTCTTAATGCTTCCAGTTATAACTTCAATGTATTCTCTATTGGCCCAATCTTGTTGAATGGGCCTCTGATGTTGCCCATGACCATGTTGTGCCATTGTTGACAAATAAATTTATTTCCTTGAATGCGTAAATAAACCTAAATTTGATTGGCCAAAATAAACCGTTCAGCCAATCAAAAACCATAAGACATATAAGTTCTGTAGAATAGCTGTCAAAATGACAACTCCAAAATGATGCGAATTTTGGAATCATGACTTAAGTCTTCACCAAAATTAAAGCTTTATACATATCCAGGTAATTGAAAATAAACTTGGCAAAAAGTAAACAAAGGAAAATTTAAAACAGATAATCATGAATCGACATTGTATTCATTAAGGTTCATCTGAGACTACTATAAGTTATAACACATATGTGTTCATCTGAGACTACTATTTATAACACATATGTAGTCTCAGGGTTCATCTATACACTTCCACAAAAATGGCTGTGTTTACACCATGAAATTTTCTCTGAATGCAGACAAAACTGTGTAATACTAATAGTTTTAAATCCTGGCAGCACCTAGATATATACAAGTTTTCATTTTGTGTTTTAAAAAGAAAAAAAAAATTTTGTGGATTTTGCTAAACATTTTCTTTCCTTGCCACAGGTGGTGTAAAAATAAACAAAGGCATATGAAATCTTTGATATGGTCCCCCTCAGGTAATGATTGTATTGTTTAATATTGATTGATATGGACAATAGAGGGACAATAGAAATCTACTCACAACAAAGATGATTTAAATAGTGTAAATGAGTGGACTGTATCAAAGAAAACTCTGGTGTTTGTTTATTTCACCATCTTCTATGGCAAGGAAAGAAAATGTTCATCAAAATCCATAAAGTCATGAAAAAACATGGAAATATTAAAAGAATTAACATTTGCTTTTTTTGGAGTATTAATTGGCTACATTGCTAGATTTGTTTTTATTTAGAATTACTTTAAAAGACTGTTGATTGTAATTTAGAATGCTGATTAACATGATTAAGTATAATTATGATGTCTTTGATCTCACTGATATACATATTAGGTGATAGGACGTGCCGCTGGAATAGGTAAAATTTTCCAGCTTGAAAATATGTGAATAGGTGGGGAAAACTATCAGAAATATATGATAAGTTCATTAAAGATGAAAAGCCCTATATTTTTTTCGCAACCGTGAAAAGTCTCGCCGTGAGTAAACATGACGTAAGGAATCTGAGCCTCAGATCTGAGCTTCGAGCAAAGGTGATATGTTCTTGATAATGCCATAACTTTGTTTCTTGTCTGCTTCTGGACACCACACGAAACCCAACCAATGTGGGAAATGGTTACATTTTGACCTACGCAACATATGAAAAGGTATACATTTTTGTCGAGCCTTCGACTTTTGTCGAAAAAGTGAGACATAGCGATCCTACATTCCGTCGGCTTCGGCGGCGGCGTCCACAAATAATCACTCTGTGGTTAAAGTTTTTGAAATTTTAATAACTTTCTTAAACTACAGTGTATCCTGGATTTCTACCAAACTTGGACAGAAGCTTGTTTATGATCATAATATTCAAAAGTAAATTTTGTAAAAAAAAAATTCCATTTTTTCCGTATTTACTTATAAATGGACTTAGTTTTTCTGCCAGGAAACATTACATTCGCACTCTGTGGTTAAAGTTTTTGAAATTTTAATAACTTTCTTAAACTATCCTGGATTTGTACCAAACTTGGAAAGAAGCTTGTTTATGATCATAAGATAGTATCCAGAAGTAAATTTTGTAAAAAAAAAAAATCCATTTTTTCCGTATTTTACTTATAAATGGACTTAGTTTTTCTTCCAGTTAACATTACATTCACTCTGTGGTTAAAGTTTTTAAAATTTTAACAATTTTCTTAAACTATCCTGGATTTGTACCAAACTTGGACAGAAGCTTGTTTATGATTAAAAGCTAGTATCTAGAAGGAAATTTTGTTTAAATTTTGTTCCATTTTTTCCGTATTTTACTTATAAATGGACTTAGTTTTTCTTCCAGTTAACATACAGTCTGCAGTTTAAGTTTTTAAAACATTTATTAGATTCATAAACTATCCTGGATTTTTACCAAACTTGGACAGAAGCTACTTACAATCAAAAGATAGTATAGAGAGGAATATTTTTATTAATTTTTTCCTCATTTTTGTTGAGCCTGCGATTAACAGCAAAAGTAGGCGAGACACTGGGTTCCGTGGAACCCTTACGAATTTTTAAAATCTAAATTGTATGCAAGGGTGGGGTAACAGAACCCCAGGGCAACACCCTATCAATTAATAATTAAAGTGTCCCCGCTACCCAGGGAGAACAGGTATTAGGGCGACAAGTACCAGGGGGAATGTACTTGTCAATCGGGGCAAAGGGACCAGGATTCAAGGTTCATGTGGACCCTCTGGCTAAGAGGGCTGCGTTTACACCACAATTTTTTTTTTCTACAAATGTAGGTGCAAAGGTTATTCTGCACTCAGAGTTAATTGTGTGCATGGTGTAAACACAACCATTTTAGCCAAAGGGTGCAGATGAACCGTAAATGAAGTCATCGTATAATTGACTCTTACTGTGACGTACATGTAGTAACATTATCATTGTGACATATATTGGATATATGTATAATAAAAGCCATGAATGTGATAGACGTCTATATATATTATCAAAAGAAATTAAAAGGTACAATTACAACATGTACAAAGAAAGTCAAGAACAAGTTGACCAAACATTAAGATGACAATTAGAATATTACTGCACTTTTCCGAACCCACACACAAATGGAAAAAATGAGACCTCTAAAACAAGTACAGAGTCATGCAGCAAGATACACATTTAAAAGAAACCATATAACTCCAGGTGTGTGTCAGACATGCTTAACACTCTAAACTGAGTTGTAAATACTCTAGGTAAAAAGATTTAAAACTAGGCTTACTATATTTCTATAAATTAGAAAAACAAAAAAGCATGACAATGTTCCTATTCTATCTTAAAAAATTTGTTATTAATTCATACACATGCTTCTCAGTCATGTCAATAGTTACATGTAAACTAAAACAAGATCTGCCAATATAGTTTCCAACATATACATGTACAGAAGGGCACAATAGTCCAATTTCAAGTTCTTTTAAATTATCAATACATTTATTTCACAGAATTGATAGATTTATTTATTCTATTTTCCAGCTTTGTTTCATATTTGAAGATGATGCCTTTAAAATCAGTATGGAAAACTCTAGTATCAAATGATCAGAGCAAACCTCCTGCAAGAAATGAAAAGTCAATGGTTGTTGATTCATTGATGTCAGAACTTGATTACAATATTAAGGAACTAGAGAAAGTAAGAATCGACAAAGAACAAGAAGAAACACGAAAAAAGACTGGTGTAGACTATAGTTGGTTGATAACTACACATCCAAAAGGATATGCAATTCCTCAATTACAACGTTTAGAACTGGAGGAATTATTTTATCAAGTAAAACCAGAGGAATGTGGGAACATTTTAGCTTTGTTTAGAGATTCACTTTTAAATGAACCTCAATCATGTGAACTTCCGTCCATATTAAGAGCTTGTGTCCAACAAATTCTACAACAAAGGCCTAAGGAACAGTCACTTACAGAATGGGTTACACAGAGAACTATGAGTTTAACCAGTTTAAAAGGTCGTCATTCTGCTCAGGTGGTGCCATCTGGTGATGCTAGAGATCCAGAGGATGTTCAAGATATACAACTATCAGAAGATGCACAAAATGGTAGAATAATTCAAGTTGTTCCAATGTTTACATCAGATGTAGAAAGTTTGCCTGTTTAGAATACAGCTTAAGAAATGTTATACTACTAGTTGTTGTTTACATGCATTGATCGTTGTCTCATTTACTCAATGTCTCTGATATTATAGTTTATTGATGTTCATATACACAGTATTCTCTAGTCACTGTCACTGGCAGGCCAATTGCCCAGGATAGATGAAAGTCAAATTAGTAAAACAAAATTCTAAATCTATAATTCAGATTTTAAAATTTAAAACTTGACAAACAATGTAGTTCGGGCAGTTTAATAAAGAAATAACATGAATAAAGAAAACTGTGAAAAAAATTTAGAATTTTGAAGTGAATGTTAAACCCTGACTTAAATCTTGTCATAAAAAAGTGAAATTTACTCTAATGCTATACTTTTTATCAACAAAATAAAGATCTTATTAGAAAATTAGCGGATGATACATGTAGATGCATAATTGAAAGGTTCTGAATAAAAATGTCCTGCCATTTATATTATAAAGTCAAATTTGTTTTGGTCAAAAATTGATGATTTATTTTGTGCATAATACATATATTTTTGTTATTGTGTGTTGTACATTCCATGAGAGCTATGCTGTGTTCATTATTGTTGTACAGATGTACAATCATATTTTTCAAAGTCCCTAATATTGAGATATTGTATATTATATACATGTAGGAATTTAGTTCATTGTCCATTTTATCTTCCTTGCTAAATCTAGATTAAATGAAACTCTTTGTTTGGATGCCTGTACATTGTTACAATGTATATTTGTTTAGATTACATGTAGAGATTTCAAAGAACAGCAGTGTTTGAAATACATGATCAATATAAATGAGTGTCTCAAGCTCTTACTAGGAAAAGAAAATGTAACGTTTTGTTCATTGTATGTTTTTACCAGTTAAAATTAATTTTTCATTCATTATGATTTGTCATATATGCAAATTTACCTAACTAACCAAATATATTACAAAACACACACTGTGTTGTATGGTCCCTTTTTTTTTTTTTACAAGTTTTTGTTATTTTTTGAAAATGTATTTTTTAATTTGTTAATTAATTTATTTCATCACTTATTTATTATGCCGATGATTTGTATTATTGATCCTTCTCTTGTTAACATTCTTAAATCATGTTTGATATTTTATTCTGTCCAGTGATCATGATAACCTGTAAAAAAAGCAGCTGCAAACTCATTTTGATATTATATATTAGCAAATCCATTTATTGTTTTACAGCAAACAGGGTAACAGAAGCAAATCCAATATTTGATATGGGTTGGGATGTTGGGGAGATGGGGATGGGGCGCTTCTGAGAATAATATTTAAGGAGTTAGCTATATAGAGGAGCATTCAAAATGTACACTGTAAATAGATGATGTGAATTAGAGAATAACAGTTCTGTAGTTGTAGAGTTGCCACCATCAATTGGCGATTTGAAAGTTGCAAATGCAATTTTACTGGTGATACTTAGCGGAGACAGTAAAACAGATAATTGCAACTGTCAAATCAAAATTGACGACGGCAACTCTTCAACTACAGTCCTGTATTCTGATTCTAATGCATTACAAAAAGAAATAATATGTTAAAGCTTGGAAAAATGTACAAATTTGAAATAAAATAAAATCCGCAAAATTTCATGAATGATGTTGGCACATAGATGCCATCGCTAAACGTGAGGTCATACAAATGAAAACTTAAAAACTGCAGGTTGATATGTTACTTCTATGATTCAAATTTGGTTAAATCATATTAAAACAGCGTATTTAGGTAGGTGTTGTTATATTTTCGATGAAATTGTAGTAAATCATTTGTTGATCCTAGCAATTCAAAATGGTGGGTCACTCCTTATATAATTTATAGTTATGATACGACATGTCAACTGTGGATTTGATGGTAACTTTTATCCAATGAGAAAAATTGTTAAAAAAAATAGATTTTGAATGAATTGTCAGTTTTGTCAGTCAAATTAAGCAGAATTGTATTTGAAGATTTGGGTAAGCAGTTGGCAATTTTATGATAAAAATTTGATTTTACTTGTTACATATTAGTCGGGACAGTAATTGGATAGTTGCCACCATCAAATAAAAAAATAGATGCCTGCAATCTCAAAATACAATGCTGCAGTATCACCAAATAATGCAACTGAAAGAAAACACAACTAAATCATACATTTTTGAAATCAGTCATACAATATCTCCACTTGCACGAACGATTTCTTATCAATCATGGATTTGATGCTCTGAAATTTGTAGCATTTTACAAGCAAAATGAAAAATTAAAAAAACAATGTTTGTAACTTCCTTGTATGCTTCAGCACTGGCAGTTAGTTATTGCAATTGCAAATGTACATGCAATTTGATAATAGTAACAGTGGAATAGGATCCTTATTTTGTCTCCCGGTATTAAAAAAAATCAGTTGGTTCAAAATTATGGATATAATATATATAACTGTATGTTACATGTAAATATGCCAACTTAACAAATCTGATTGGGTAAAAAATATTGTTGAATTTATGCTTGCCTTCTCAAGACAGATATATATCACTTGAATACCAAAAAAACTGCTTCAATCAGCAAAGTTGAGAGTATTTATAAAAGATTTAACTATGATCCCAAGTACATAGATAACAATATTTGTTGATACATTAGTTGAACCGAAGAATCTTTACAGTATTTAAAATTTTTGGTGGTTTGCAGTCTTCCTCATATTTAACTTAGGTAAAATCCAACTGAAACCTTAAAAACCATTTTCATCTTTTTTCATTAAATATTGAAATTTTAGGCTTCTTCCTCTAGACATGACAGTAAGTTTAGTTTTCTGGAATATGAATATTTTAGAAGAAAACAAAAACATTTTTTTGAATCTAACAATTTGTAGTTAAAAGATTGGGACAAAACAGGTTCTAATCACACCCTCTCCCTTGCTATTTATAGATGTACATGATATAAATGTTTTAATTAATTTGTTCTTTTCTCAGGTTAAGTTAAGTTGTTAGTCAAAAGATTTTTTAAAACATACTACACAATTTGTTCCACTATACTTGCATATTTTACAAAAGCTAGTCAAAATGTTATATTGCTTGATATATTGTCTCATTTGTGCTTTAATATGAATAATTGATTTTTTGGCATGCTGTCTCATAACATCCATTTATTCCAGTTTTATATAAGAACTCAAGTCTGCATCCTTTTGTGAGAAGTCTTGCTACAGTGAATTTTTATTTATTTTAATTATAGTTGCATTATTGTTTATGCATTTTCAACAATAGGTAAATTTGAGGCTCATGTTTGGCAGTCATATCTCAGTAACTGGAAATTAATATGTTGTTGAAAGTTTAAGCAGGTACTACATGTAAGTGGGTTGGATGTATTTGGGGTCACAACCATAACAATTTTTAAAGTATTTTATGCCAAAAAAAAGGTTGTTTCCTGAGTTTAGAGTGTTTCACGTCTGATATGCCCTGCCTAAATCTGCCCCTGTCAAATTTTCTGGTAAGGTGTGCATATGACCTGATATTAGGATACATCAAGGGAGAATGACACCCACTGATTAAAAGTGAAATTTACTCATGCATCTTTTGGTGAACAGCAGATTCCAAGAAAAATTAGGTAACTCTTACTTATACCTAAGGTCATCTATATCTTCATGTTTAAAAGGACTCATTAAAGACATCATTACAACCTCAAACCAAAACATCACTCTGATTGGTATTTTCCTTTTAACACCATTATTAATTTCACAAGAACATTGTGAGACCTTACACCCTTATATCAGAAAAAATCTTTTATTGAAGAGACAATTGTAGGAATTATTAGGGGTCATCATCCCCCTTAACCCCAAATCTTGGATACGCACCTGGTTTCAACTTTTCTTACCATTGATAAGTTAAATACTCTCTCATAACATAACCTTGTAGTTCATCAAAATTTCTGTTTAAAATTTTCTGCCAGCAGGTGCCAGTCTTAGACATATATCTGTGTTAAATGTATTATTTTATGTTTACATTTATAATTGTAGTAAAAATATGTTAAACAGCATTTTAATTGGGAAATTTGATAGCTCCATGTTGTTCTGAATTTTTATTTTATTTAGTATTTTCAATAAAATTTGTTGCACCGTTTTTTTGTGTTTAACTAAAGGTGTTTGGTTGTGCTCAACTTTAGTCGTAATTCCTTCAATGGACTTATGGATTTTGATCAGATACACTCATTCTATAGCACAGTTTAATGAACAGATCAACTTCAAGGGCATTACATAGAAAAGTTACTAAGTTTTGGTTGTCCCAGGTCTCTCTTGTGTGAAAAAAAATTTTTCACTTCAATTTCTGTGAGATTAATCTAAACGATCTCTATTTGTGTTGTTTATCTTATTGCTTTTAAAATGCATATGTAGTCATTTCAGCTATTTCAGTTGATATTTTATAGTGTGTCTTTCTATATTGTGATGTTACACTATTGTTTCAGGAAAAAGGGTGAAGGTTTGGTACCATTAAAACGTTTAAACCCGCTGCATTTGTTTGCATCTGTCCTAAGTCAGGAATCTGATGTTCAGTAGTTGTCGTTTGTTGATGTGGTTCATAAGTGTTTCTCGTTTCTCGTTTTTTATATAGATTAGACCGTTGGTTTTCCTGTTTGAATGGTTTTACACTAGTAATTTTTGGGGCCCTTTATAGCTTACTGTTCGGTGTGAGCCAAGGCTCCGTGTTGAAGACCGTACTTTGACCTATAATGGTTTAATTTTATAAATTTTGACTTGGATGGAGAGTTGTCTCATTGGCACTCATACCACATCTTCTTATATCTATGAACAAAAGTACAAAAGTACTTTTCTATTCTGTAGACCAAATTTTTTTCCTTAAACATTTACAGTCTGGGGTTAAAGTTTTTTAGACATCAATAGCTTTATCAAACGTTCATGGAATTTTAGAACACTCACACAGATCGAAGCTCCTCATGATCAAAAGACAGTACTCAGAGCAACATTTCAATATTTTGCTGATAGATGGACTTTTTATATGACCGCAAAATATTTGCGTTCATATAATGTTATGACTTTGTCTTTGTTGTCGTCCAAAGACTTTCGGTTTCCAGACAATAACTTGAGTAAAGGGTACAGATCTAATTGAAATTGCACCACAAGGTACCATACCACAATAGGAAGGTTGGGATTAATGTTGTGGGTAATTGTCCTTACTGTTTATGGAATTAGGGGCCAAAAACAAGCATTTTTCTTGTTTCAGGACAATACCTTGTTTATAAGTGTATGGATCTCTATGAAGGTTAAACATTTTTGTGAGTGCTCAACCCCCAATCCTCCCCCCCCCCCCACCCCCCCACCCCCCACCCCCTTTCCTAACCTGGGACAGTGGTGTAACAGCACAACATAAGAACAAACTATAAAAATCAGTTGATAAAGGCGTTACTCATCAAGATGTTAGTGAGACCACATTCATTCTGTGTCAGAAATATGCTATGTCAAATATTTAATCACAATCCAAATTCACAGCTGTATTGCACAATCAATAGAAATTTTATGTAGAGTCATAGTTAAAAACAGATTCAGCATCAAATCTAATTTTAGAGAAGAAAAAATGTATATGTATAGTTTGAAACTAACCGTTCATTATTAAATATTATGAAAATGATGAAATGTAACTTTTATAAATTTTTTAAAGACATTGTATTAATGATGTATGATATTTTGAAAATTGTTCTTTTAATTTTTTGTAAATTTTTTTAAGAACTTCATGGTAGGTTTGTTTGTCATTCTGCATAAATTAATTTTCAGAATGCTATATATATATTTGATGAAGCGAACCCTTTTAAAAACTTAGGTAATATTGTCCATTAATAAATAAATATATTCTATTCTTTGTGTACAAAAAATGTACTTGGATATGCTGAATCGAACTGTGTATTAAAATTTTGGATATTGGACCATAATAGCTTAAGTCCAATTTCAAATTTTTCAGTTCTTTGACCACTTTCATTCTGTGTCAGAAACCTATGCTGTGTCAAATTTTAATCACAATCCAAATTCAGACTTGCCCCAACTGTTCAGGTGTTCGACCTCTGCGGTCGTATCAAGCTGAACCCATTTAATTTTAACTTTACATTGAAAGATTTTTATTCATTTTTGTCTCGCCTACAACGAAAGTCGCAGTATGCGAGACATAGGTATTACAATCCAATGGTGGTTGCGGGGATGGCGTTATCTATTTTTTGAAAGCTTTATATTTTCAGAAGGTAGAAGACCTGGATGCTTCATACCTTGTGTGCAGATACCTTATGTTAGGAAGTTTCTGTCTGTCATATGTTCATTGTCCTTGATCTCATTTTCATGGTTCAGTAACTGCTTGAAAAAGAATTACAGTTTTTTTTCACTTATTATGAGTAATAGGATAACTATATTTTGGTATATGGGTTCCTTGCAACGTCTACATGTCTGTCAGATAGGGTTCACCTGACCGCGACCTTATTCTATGGATCAGTGATCATGGTAAACGAGGTCAAGTTTGTATCTCAGATACTATAAGCAATAGGTCAACTATATTTGGTGTATGGAATGATTGTAAGGTGTACATTGGCTAGAGGTAAAGGGGGGAATGTTGAGATCTCACAAAACATGTTTAAACCTGCCGCATTTTTGCGCCTGTCCCAAGTCGGTGGCCTCTGGCCTTTATTAGTCGTGTATGTTTTTTGAATTTTAGTTCATTTATATGTTTCGGAGTTTAGTGTGACGTCCATTTTCACTGAACTATTACATATTTTTGTTTAAGAGGACAGCTGAAGCCCGCCTCCGGGTGCGGGATTTTCTCGCTGTGTTGAAGACCCATTGGTGGCATTGGACTGTTTTCTGCTCTTCGGTCGGGTTGTTGTCTCTTTGACACATTCCCCATTTCCATTCTCAATTTTATGTCCGACTGACATGTTTCATCTGACATTGACCTCAGTTTCATGGTTCATTGGACAATGTTTAGTTTTTGTGGTTTGGTCTAATTCTCAGATAATATAAGCAACAGGTCACTATATTTGGTGTATGGACTGATTGTCAGGTGTACATGTCCGTCTGGCAGGTTTCATTTGACCTTAACCTCATTTTCATGGTTCTTTTGACAATTTTTAGTTTTTGTGGTTTGGTCTATTTGTCAGATATTATAAGCAAAAGGTCAATTCTATTTGGTGTATGGAATGATTGTAAGGTGTACATGTCTGTCTGGCAGGGTTCATTTGACCTTGACCTCATGCATTTTCATGGTTCATTGGTCAATGTTAAGATTTTGTGGTTTGACCTGATTCTCGGGTACTATTAGCAATAGGACCACGCGCACTATATTTGGTGTACTGAATGATTGTAAGGTGTCAATCTGGCATGGTTTATCTGACCGTGACCTCATTTTCATAGTACATGTACATTGATAATGTTAAATTTATGACATACTTGTAGCGAAACATTCATATTACAAACTTTTAACATGAATTCAATGGTAAGTTAAACAGGCGAGATATTTCAGCGTATGCACTCTTGTTTGGCTTTTATTTATAAATTAACTTATGTTTTTTTTTTTTTACACAATTGCGTATTTAGGTAGAAACGACGAAAAACACAAAGGAGGAGTAGCAATTATAATGAACAGAAACATAACAAAGGCGATGATAGAGTATGCACCTGTATTAAACGAAACAATAATGCGAGCTCGCTTCCAAGCAATGCAGGGAAAACTAACCATCATTCAATGCTATGCTCCGACAAATGAAGCAGACGATGAAGAGAAAACAGATTTCTATCTAGCTCTACAATCTGAGATAGAAAAAGTACCAAAACATGATGGTACAATAGTGATGAACGATTTAAACGGCAAAGTTGGAAATGATAACAACGAGAATAAAAGAGTGAAGGGGGAAAATACGTCTGTCGCAAAATCAACGACAATGGAGAACGCTTAGTAGATTTATTTGGAGTCAATAACTTAGTAATAGGGGGTACTATCTTCCTTCTTCCCTCATAGAGATATACATACGCTGACATGGATTTCTCCAAATGGTAGAGACAAGAAGTAAATAGACCATATTATCATTTATGGAAAGTGGAAAAGATAATTGCGAGATGAATATGTTATGAGGGGGGGGGGGGGGGAGGGGGGGGGCAGATCTTGCTAGTGACCACCATCTAGTAATTGCAAACACCAAACTAAAACTTAAAAAGTTATATACCCATGTAAATGTAAAAAGAAAATTTGATGTTGGCAAATTACAAATTACAAACCCCAAAAATCCAGCAAGAGTTTAACCTGGAAATAAAAGAACAGGTTTCAGCTATTAGAAAACCTTATAACTGACGATACAAACACAATATCAGTCAATGATGAATGGCACATAAAATCTACACAGCAACCAGTAAAAAGTTCATCGGAAGATACCAAGACCTTGTTGATAAATATTCCGTATCAACTTCACAAATAATACACGATGGTCTTCAAGTATAGATTCTAGGTACTGACGTTGTTTATCATCTTAATTACGTGTTATAGTGTTCTTTTATTTGTCTTTGTAAATTATTTACGTTACTGTTTAGTCCATTTTTGGTAATATCCTCTTGGCGTTGCTCGGTACTTACATATTCATCCCACCATTGTTTTATTGTGCAATCGTCATTTTTGTCGAGCCTGCGACTTTTGTCGCAAAAACGAGTCATAGCGATCCTTCATTCCGTCGTCGGCGTCGTCGTCGGCGGCGCCCACAAATATTCACTCTGTGGTTAAAGTTTTTGAAATTCTAATAACATTCTTAAACTATCCTGGATTTCTACCAAACTTGGACAGAAGCTTGTTTATGATCATAAGATAGTAACCAGAAGTAAATTTTGTAAAAAAAAAAATCATGTTTATCCGTATTTTACTTATAAATGGAGCTTAGTTTTTCTGCCAGTTAACATTACATTCACTCTGTGGTTAAAGTTTTTAAAATTTTAATAACTTTCTTAAACTATCCTGGATTTCTACCAAACTTGGACAGAAGCTTGTTTATGATCATAAGATAGTATCCAGAAGTAAATTTAAAAAAAAAAAATCCTGTTTATCCGTATTTTACTTATAAATGGACTTAGTTTTTGTGCCAGTTA